GTACACCTGCAGAGGGCAATCAGGCGACAAAAGGCGAGCGCTGATCGCCACCGCAGTGAGGCCCCGGTGTATGCACCGGGGGATCGGGTCTGGCTCTCGACCCAAAACCTGCCCCTTCGCCTGCCCTGCCGGAAGCTGGGTCGGCGGTTTGTGGGGCCATTTAAAGTCCTGAGGAGATTGAACGAGGTTTGTTATATGCAGCTCACTCCACCCATCCCCTGATGGTGCCAGAGAGACTAGGGCAGGGACATGTGGGTACGCAGACATGCGAGCAACTGCAGCCCCTCATGATGAATTCAGATTTTTTTGTGGCCCCATCCCATCCCTGGACAAGCAGGATCATAAACTGTCTCCCCAAACTCACAGTGACCTCCTCTACCAGGCCTGGCAGGCCACCGATAGGTTGCTAGGGAGGTTGCTAGCGGGCAGAACACCTGACAGTCCTTCTGCGGGCTTAGGTGAGAGCCTCCTCAGTCTCTCTCCAAGTAGAGTGCGTGGACAGAAGTGAGAGTTGTTGTTATTGAAACGTATGCATTTACTGTTGGTTGTTACTATTGCCAGTTGTTAATAGTAGTTGATGCTATCTATGTGTTATACAGTCCTTTGCTTATGTCACTATCTCCTTATACCAGGGGTGTCGAACTCATTTTGCCCCGGGGGCCGCATTCTGTCTTCAACAAGGTCCGGAGGTCCGCACTGAAAATTGGTTATACTGTATTTCCTTGCCATCAAAATTACCTACAAAATTGTCCTATATCCATAATTTTGTTTTGTTTCCAATGCTCCCGGACTGTCTAGTGATTGTTAGCGAGCTGGACAGTCAAGAAACTGTATGAATGTAGGTCTATTGACTGTGCACAGTGATTATTAGCGAGCAGGACAGTCAAGAAACTGTATGAATATAGGTCCATTATCATTTCTACACAGTTTCGATTTGGTTTTAGTCATTTTTAAGTATATTGAGTTAGTTCCCCTCCCCCCAAAAAAAGAATCACGACGCGGGTGTTTTTTTACTCAAACCACCTGTGGGCCGGATTGGACCCCCTCGGGTCTTATGTTAATCAGTGGTGGAAAAAGTACCCATTTGTCATTCTTGAGTAAAAGTAAAGATACGTTAATAGAAAATGACTCAAGTAAAAGAGAAAGTCACCCAGTAAAATACTACTTGAGTAAAAATCTAAAAGTATTTGGAAATATACTTAAGTATCAAAAGTAAATGTAATTGATCAAATGTACTTAATTATTAAAAGTAAAAGGATAAATCATTTCAAATTCCTTATATTAAGCAAACCAGACGGCACCATTTTCTTGTTTTTTGAAATGTACGGATAGCCAGTGTGCTCCAACACACATAATTTACAAACGAAGCATTTGTGTTTAGTGAATCCACAAGATCAGGTAGTAGGGATGACCAGGGATGTTCTCTTGATAAGTGTGTGAATTTGACCATTCTCCTGTCCTGCTAAGCATTCAAAATGTAACAAATTATTTTGGGTGTCAGGGAAAATGTATGGAGTAAAAAGTACATTATTTTCTTTAGGAATGTAGTGAAGTAAAAGTAAAAGTTGTCCAAAAAAACCCATAGTAAAGTACAGATACCCCCCAAAAATATGTAAGTAGTACTTGAAAGTATTTTTACTTAAGTACTTTATATCACTGAATATAATTGCTCTTGTGCTGTTACTCACTCTAATGCTATGTCTATTATGTACAGTATATTCATTCATATCTCTTATCTGTATATAACTACATCCATCTCATATGTATGTCCTCTGGAAATAATGTTCTCTATTGTGTGTAACTCTCTGTGAGGTTGCCTTATTCCTCTGACTGGAAAATGTGTCAGTGAGTCACTGACCAGCCCAACTGGAGAGCCGCTCTCTTTCAGTTATGACTGTTCATAACACTGTTATGACTGGTTCATGAAGGCATTATGACAAGCTGCTTCAAGTAAGTAATGCACACAACAAGGACGTTGTCAATGCTGCAGTCTGGAAATGAAGCTTTGAAACCAAGAGAACATGCAAATCAACTCAGTAAAATACATTTATTGACAGTAAAAGTTCAGTCGTCTTAATAGTTCCTTTTTAATTTTTACACAAAAATATCAAAATACTTTACAGGGCATTAAATCTGAATATTGGCAAATTCATTGTTGATTAATTATCTCAAACAAATACAATGTACATTGACAACAATGCTTGTCCTTTCTCAAATGCAGTGCTCAATTTAAATTTCATAAAACATTTTTTGAGAACAATGCATTTAAAAACGATGTGTAGTCTAACTTGGTATTTAGCTACTGATTTGCGAGACTTAAATGCATTTCATGCATTTTATGTCCCAAGAAGTTTGTTCCATTTTCATCAAACTTCATTGAGAGAGAGGTGCTTAAATATGCTGTAATACATAACAGATACACAGTACAACATACATACATAATAACATGTATTATCTTGGTTACCCAAACTTCAAAGCTTAGAAAATGAATGTGTCTATACACAAACACATTTAAGTATACAATTTGTACTCAAACAATAAAAAACAACAAAAGTATATATACATTAAAAAAAAGGTATACATTTCATTGGGCCAAATCGCCCCAGTGCAACATGGGAAAGATTCCCCTTCAAGATTCCTTCGCAGTACTCTTTCAGTCAAAACAATCTCTTCGACATGTTCTTTCCTAGATTTTTACCTTAATCATACAACAACTCATAAGGACGTACTTGTTCAACTGCAGACCTCCTTTAGAAGTCCTGTCAATATGGAGGAATAGGCTCATGTGTTATCAACGTTAACATTCTCCTATAGTCTCGTTGCTACAGTATTTGACCAACTAACATAGTCGCTTGAAAGTTCCTCACTGACAACTATCTACAAAAACAGAACAGTTCTAATACTTACCGATATCACATGTACGGGAGGTCAATATCGAGGTTGCAAACAGAAAACTAATACACATTTGGAAATGATCTTTGACCATAGTTAAATGTGGAAATTATTAAATAAGTAACGAACACCACAAAGGAAAAATATTATTCCAGTCTAACAGCGAGTTAAAAGACCTGGGAGAATGGCCGATGTTAACAGATTAGCTTGATCCCAGCACAGAAGGACTTGTTATTATGTGCCACACAAGAAAGTAGATGCAGTAAAAAAAATAACATATCAGAGTTCCCGAGTTGCCTATGTGTTCTGAATGGTAACATTTATAACTTGACATCATGATCTCAGTCGTAAGACATACTATACATTATGCTGTTATTAGAATGACGTAACAGATGTCATAGGCAGTCATATCATAACAGATAAAGTCAGCAATAATGGATTGAGTCACGGTTGTATAAGAACATAGTCACAAACACCATGACCGCTATGCCATTACTATGACAGCATTTTATAGATCTTACATTTACATTTACATCATTTAGCAGACGCTCTTATCCAGAGCGACTTTACTTATGACAAAGTAAAGTGATACCGTCTAACATGGGATGTTACTTGTCAGTTCTTCTAAAAACTAGAACATTGAGCAGCATCTTAAGACACTATTACAGATGATTTGAGACTTATCAATAAACATATTTTCATTTTACAATTGTTGACATATCACTGTTGCCTATCAATATTATAAATGATAAGATTGAAAAGAGTGCTTTCACCTAAATCTGAAATAATGGTAAATGTAACCAGAACAAAAACTGAGAAGAGAAGAGAACCTGCCTTTTTGCTGTTAAGAGTGAGTTGTTTTCCCTCAGTAACTCTAGCATCATTTTAAGGCATTGACAACTATACAGTATTGCTAAAAGAACAACTAGTTTTCCGGGCATCAAAAGAACAATATGTACAACAGAAACAAATCAGAAACACTAACAGTTCAGGATAGAGTGCAAAATATTCAAACTAATCAATCACTAACTTGTCAGTTCCATGTAGCCTAGTAACAGTAAGTACCAAATATCCCTTATTAGGTTCTATATCGGTGGTTCATTTTCGAAGAAAAGTATACATGGGTTGAACAAAATTAAAATAATAATCGTACATATTTACTTTGACTATTTTCAAATGTTTGGTTTGGTTTCATTAATCTCGGCAGCGGCACACATATTGAACTTCATACAATCTCTATAAATTCTCAGGGGTGGACTGAGGCATAGTTGGCACTCTACCCTGCCAATGCCAGTCCCCAGATAATTTGGTGCCAGTCTGTAGCTGTGACATTTAATAGGATAGAATAGGAATATCATAGTTGTAAAATATATGAGAGGGAAGAAAATGAAAGGAATTCAGACCTTGAGGAAGACAGTTGATGTTTAGAGAGGTGGCAGACAGTTCGTCCTCAACAAGGACGTTTGGAGGGATACATTGGTTCCATAGGGGTATAATTGCTGAAGTGGAGGGTCAGTGCTTCAGTAAAGTTATGGCCTAAGGACACTTTGGCCCAAAACACTCACACCCAAATTCCAAGTCGACACTTAGCCCAACCCATAGACACTCCGGTAGATCTAAAAGGATTGGATAGGTTTAAAATGATAAGGTAATTGATTTACCTTGCCTTCTGATTGGCTGGGTGGAATATTCACCATATTGTTTACACCCATCTAATCATTTCAGATCTCAGGAAGTGCCTTGGGAGTAGCGGCTAGGGGTTCTATGCTGGACCCCGATACCCTCCACATCTACCTTCAGGACACCAGAGTCTCTGGCTCTGCTACAAGAGCAAAACCAATTGGTCTTGTTAACAGATTAGTGCAATTCAATTACAGACCACTGTATTCATGCTCTCTGAAAGCTGCCTACACATACATACGGACCTAGAAGAAAAAAACTTCCTCAAATAAAAAATAACAACCGTTTAAGTCGGTTCCATTATACATTCATAAAAGAGGGGGAAAGACAGAGACGATAGAAGACAGAGAGTTCAAGAGTCTTTCAGATGGAGATTAAAGGTGACATTAGTTTCTGATGGAACAGCTCAATTACCTTCCTTCCCACCTGTTATAGCTGCTGTTATAGCTGCAACAGTTCAGACATGAAGAAGACATGTCAGCCATTCTTGTCTCCGCCCTTCTCTCCCATCCCCTGAAATCAAACACATTTAAAACTGACCTGTGAGTTTAGATGTTCAGCCCACACATATATTTGTCATCATTTATGGAGTATACACCTACAGTATTTCCTCAGGTTTAACAGCATCACAAAGCAAGTCAACATCAACAAAAGCAGTTTATTCTTTAAAGCTTCAGTTGATCAAGCATTGACATTGCTAAATGGCATATTATAATAATTATTATTATTATTATATACAGTGGTCTATTCAAATAAGGAGTCTTGAACAACTGCATATCGGCACTCACCCCGGGCTTGTGAAGTGCATTCTCCTGCAGGCCGAAGAGGGCGTTTCCCTGGCCACCCTGCAGGGGCGAGGCCCCCAGGTTGGGGGACTGGGCAGTGGGGGTGGAGGTGAGGGCCCCGGTCAGCGTGAGGCGCTGTAGCTCCCTCTGCCGCTGCTGTTGCAACATCTGATAGACCACCACCTGCTGCTCCTGGGACACACACAGCCCAAGAGATAAGGGACTTGGAAAATGGGTAGTGATATGCACATCCCAAATTAATCCATCGGTGCTGGGCCAAAAAAAGACCGCAGCATATACTGTATGCTGGGGTTTTTTCTCAATTAATTTTTTGGGACCAAAATAAACCTGGCCATGGTCACACTCATTGAATAATTATGGGTAACAGCCAAGCAGATTGGTAACTTTTTTTCTAATTTGGCACAGAGAAACTAGAGGCCATGAGTAACTTGGGCAAAAAGAATGCCACCGATTGGCCTATAGGTGGCACTGTTATAAGCAGTCTCACTTAAACCATCATATCCACCACCCCGTTTGACCTAGAGACTTGAAACTTTGTATGTACAGTTCCTTCAGAAAGTATTCACACCCCTTGACATTTTCCACATTTTGTTGTGTTACAGCCCAAATTTAAAATGGATTAAATTTAGATTTTGTGTCACTGGCCTACACACAATATCCCACAATGTCAAAGTGGAATTGTATTTTTAGAAATGTTTACAAATTAATTAAAAATGAAAAGCTGAAATGTCTTGAGTCAAGTATTCAACCCCTTTGTTATGGCAAGCCTAAATAAGTTCAGGAGTAAAAATGTGCTCAACAGGTCACATAATACTTTGCTTGGACTCACTCTGTGTGCAATAATAGTGTTTAAGATGATTTTTGAATGACTACCTCATCTCTGTACCCCACACATACAATTATTTGTAAGGCCCCTCAGTCGAGCAGTGAATTTCAAACACCATAAAGATTAGGGAGGTTTTCCAATGCCTGGCAAAGAAGGGCCACCTATTGGTAGATGAGTAAAAATAAAAAAGCAGACACTGAATATTTCTTTGAGCATGGTGAAGTTATTAATTACACTTTGGATGGTGTATCAATACACCCTGTCACTACATAGATACAGGCGTCCTTCCTAACTCAGTTGCCGGAGAGGAAGGAAACCGCTCAGGGAAAAGAAGAAAGCCTGTACAGAGTAAACATATTCCAAAACATGCATCCTGTGTGCACTAAGGCACTAAAGTAAAACTGCAAAGAAATTAACTTTATTTCCTGAATACAAAGCGATATGTTTGGGGAAAATCCAACACAACACATCACTGAGTACCAGTCTGCTTTCCAACAGAAACTGGGAGACAAATTCACCTTTCAGCAGGACAATAACCTAAAACACAAGGCCAAATATATAGTGGAGTTGGTTACCAAGATAACATTGAATGTTCCTGAGTTGCCTAGTTACAGTTTAAACTTAAATCGGCTTTAAAATAATAATGTGCAACTATTGTACAATCCAGGTGTGCAAAGCTCTTAGAGACTTACCCAGAAAGACTCACAGGTCAAAGGTGATTCTAACATGTATTGACTCAGGGGTGTGAATACTTGATACTAGATATTTATATATTTAATTTTCAATACATTTGCAAACATTTCTAAAAACATGTTTTCACCTCGTCATTATGGGGTATTGTGTGTAGATGGGTGAAAAAAACAAATATTTAATACATTTTGAATTCAGGCTGTAACACAACAACATTTGGAATAAGTCAAGGGGTATGAATACTTTCGTATGGCAACGTTGGTGTCTTTCCTCATGCTGAACTAATTTGCCTCAATGACCCATAACATCCGTCAGGACAGATTTTCCTCCATCTTGGGAATTTTGTTCTGTATTATTCAGGTCCAACCCCCATAACCGGACACCAAAGACAACCCTTGACCTCGTCCATCAGGTCAGGACAATCCAATCCAACAGCTTCTGGCTATGATGCAAGCTTTAAAGGCAACCGTCAAAAATCATGGAGTAATCTTGGAGCAGCTGAGGTTTCAGACGGTACCTTCTAGCACAAATTCCAGTCCAAAACAGTACTCCACACCAACGCAGCTCCCAGTGTTGGCATTAGCTACACCTGATCAAGCTCAGGCACCACCTGAACCACCAGCAGTGGGCCGCCAATCCAGGGCTGTAGCCGCAGCCTCCCCCTACCAATCACCTCGGCCACCTCACCCCCAGACTCATCCGATCCAACCTCTTCCTATCCAGCTCCAGCCTGTAGCACCCCCCTATCCAGCTCCACCAGCCTGTAGCGCCCCCTAACAAGCGTCTAGCTCCAAATAAAAAATCTGATTTGACGTGTCCATTTAAAACACTGTACATCCACTCCACAGTGGCTTATTAACTTGAAACTTGTCATCGCTATCATAGACGTCCCTAACATGAACCACACTGAATTTGGTAATGATATCTAAAAAAAACAAGGAAACTATTAATAACAACTCATTCTTCGCATATGTAACACTAATGCTCAAAATCATCTTCTCATGAACCATACGTCAGATTCACACAATGGAAGATAGTTCCTACATGATCGAGTGCTTTCTTTGTTATCCAACTGATCTTGTGTCCTTTTTGTCATCCTGTGAACCCCGTTCATTGCTGCTCGCAGCTATATCTCTTATTTCGGTCCTGACAATTCATCCATTAATACTGTTTCAGTTTTATCTTAACTTCTTATGATAACCATCTTATCATCACGGTTGTGTTGTATTGCGTTACCAAACATCAAGAGCATTTACTGCAAGTGTTTGCATGGCTGAGTGTGTTTGTAGGGCATGGTAGAGTCATTACTGGAGTGAAGTGCTGCTGGAGAAGGAGCTGCTTCTGCTGCTCAGACAGGAGGGAAGACCTGAAACACAACCATGTTAAATATTACTCATCATGGGACACTTCCAGTCCAAATAACACTTACCCAGCCAACCCATTAGTCACAACAAAAATCTATTACGGTAACAGTCTAGACCTAAATCAGTCAGCACAGCCATTCACAACATCAACCAACACAGTCACAACAAGAAATCAACTGTCTGTCACTGTCAGATTATATAAAAATGTATCGCTGTCACAAAAAGAGTGGCCGTGGCTATCACAACAACAACAACAACCGATCAACAGCAATAGACCAACAACATCATCACAAAACAATCAACCAACACTATCATTATACTTTTTTGGTGATCAGACAGGGAGGAGGTACTCACGGACTCATGCTCTTGGGGAGTTGCAGGCCCTGTGCCAGTGCCTGGGGGCCCAAAGGAGGAGGCTGGGGCCGCAGGGCAGGCAGGGTGGGCTGGGGGGCGTTCTGGACAGGCGACTGGATCACCCCGTTCAGGCTGCCCAGCACGCCGTTCATGTTCAGCTGGGGACTTCCTGCTAGGGAGGCCATGAGCCCGCCCACCATGGAACTGCTGGCCTGATTGAGGCCCCCCAGGCTGTCAGTCAATCCCCGCCCACCCAGCCCGTTCAGCAAGGGCTGGCCGAAGGAGGCGGGACTCTGCTGAGGAGGCGGGGTGCTCTGGAAGGAGAGGGATGAGCTACTGCGGGAGGGACTACCAGAGTGGAGCTCCTAGAGTCGGAAGATAAAAACACAGGGTAAAACTAATAGGACAGTTATGGTTCATTTAAAGGTGCAATCTGTACGTTTCATTTCCCCATATTTCACACATTACCATTCCCTCAATGTAACAACGCGCATGTCCCGCCCACCTGAGGATCTCTTTTCAGCCATCTATTTCCTGTGTTTGAGGGGTGAAAAATCCACTTGTCACTTTAATCTCACTGGATTAATTCCTTTCATTTCACTACTGCGACTCTTTCATACTCTTGCTTGTGCCTGTCATTTTTCCCCGTTAACGTTACGAGTGTGGAAATGTTTGTAATGACCTGTCAAACACACTCTGGTAATGGCTAAAATGGTCTCAATAGAATAAATTGTCTTTACATTGAATCTATAATAACGCTAAAGCTTCGTCAGGTATTTAACGCACCGTCTTGACACTTACATCACAAGAAACATGACTTTATTTTGATGCCCTGAAATGAAAGCAACTTCCGAAAATGAACACTCGGATTATAGTGATATTATGTTTGATCTCGCAAACAATGTAAAGTATGTTTAAATAGGTGTAATCTAGAGTGAAGCGTGTTGATTTTTACACCGAGGGTACCCTGCTATTGACGCACATGTTGAATTATGCAAGACAAAGTGACAACAACAGTAATTAATGAGGCAGTCTAGACAGTGCAGGTAGGGTAGACAGAGCAAGTGTTTGGTTGTTGCAGCCCTGCTCCACCCCTTTATGTTACTCTGTTGCATATAGTCATAAATGTAAAAATATATATATATTTTGTAACTGGTGTATTTATGCAAATGATGCACATAACATTTTCTTAATTTTAACACAAAATATAAAACAATACCTGATACAATAACAACATTTATATATGAGTGCATTCTAAGAAAAAAAGTGAAATTTTACAATAAATTGAATACCTGAATTCCCACCAAAATCCCTAAACTCCATTCATTATTTGTCCGTGCCAGTAAGATATTTTATGTGTTATAATTCTGTCAATATCTGATGGATTATAACAATTCTAAAAGTTTGGAGTATCTTCATCCATTGTCCTTCCGTTGCATTTATTCGAATGTTTTTAAAAACCTTTTAACAATTTAGATGGCCGTTGCTACTCAACGTACAAACAAGTAGAGGCAGCACTTTTGATTGGAAATTAAACTCAGATGTCACCTTTAATGCTACAGTTTGGGATAAAGGATAAGTGTAATGTATAACTGAACAGTGGGTTCAGGTATTGGTTGATACTATGGTGGTAAGGTATGGTGGGCACAAAGGGGTTCTCACCTCGGATGAGGTGATGAAGGAGGTATCATTCAGGAAGCAGCTTTTAGACAGGGGACTCTTATTGGTGCTGAGGGGGTCTATAGGGATAAGAGAGGTACACACACAGGGATATAGATACAGGGACAGGGAACCAACTCCAAAAACACAACACACAACCATCCAGATTATGATGACAAAAACAAGGTTTGTGTTTGGGGATGGTGGCATGTGGCACTCTTTCCAGACTTGGCCATAGATGTCATACAGACTAGCAAACTAACTCTAACAACAAATGAGGTAAGGAGGATGGAAAGCTTCTGAGAGGAGGTGAAGGAGGAGTGGAGGATGAGGAGGGTTTTCTGAATCTGACCGTGTGCGGAGGAGAGGAAGCTGATGTGGGTGGGGGTGGGCACTAGGCCCTGGGCGGAGTGGTGGGAGTGGTGGACCTGCAGGGGGAAGGAACAGGCCAGCTCCACGTTGAGCAGCTGCAGCCGCTCCTTCTTGGCCGTCAGGCTGAGGATCTGGTCCTGGAGACGCTGGTTCTCCTGCTGCAGCGAGTGGAGGGACTGGAGCATCTCTACAACTGGAGGAGAGAGAGAGATGGAAAGGGGGAAGGAGATGGGAGAGGGGGTAAGAGACAGGGAAAAGGGGTAGGAAAGAAAGTGAGAAAATTAGAGAGTGAGAGTATAGCACTGTATTAGAGTCACTTCTGTTTTTTGTTACAGCTTCCATACTGAGTGTTGTGTCGCACAGTGCTGTTTGTGCAAAGACAGGTCCTAAGGGATACACTAATGTTCATTGCTGAAGAGCACAGCGCATTTGAAATGATCTGAAAGCAAGAAGATCAGTGTATCAGACTGACTCGGGTTGATAAGAATCCATTTAATCTTCAAAGAGTCCAAAAATACATTTTACAGTGGGTGTGTATGACAGACTGTGTCATAAAGGCAGACACATCGCCCAAAAAAGACAAACGGAAAATTCTCAGAGAATGAAGATATATTATAGACTGCCACAAAGCATCCCAGTGTACTTACTGTTGGCTCCCATCTCTCCGTTGCCATGCTTCTCCAGGAGGAGCTCTATGTGGAAGCTGGATGGAGGGACGTTTTCAGGGCGACCTCTGACCCCAGGGCCCACGCCCTCTCTCTGGTCAAACAGCAGGGGCAGACTGCTCATAGGAGACCTGTGAGAAGAACAGTGGTAAATGAACGGGGATACGGCTACAGAGAACAGAAACAGATTGAAATGGAATAAAGGTGATACACAAGAGACAGAATGAAATGGAAAGGTAAAGTATACAAAAGTAAAAGTGAGTGTGAGAGAACAGTGTTGACAATAACAGTGAGAGAGATTAGTGTTGATAGTAACAGTGAGAGAGAACAGTGTTGATAGTGAGAGAATAGTGTTGATAGTGACAGTGAGAGAGAATAGTATTGATAGTGACCGTGAGAGAGAACAGTGTTGATAGTAACAGTGAGAGAGAACAGTGTTGATAGTGAGAGAATAGTGTTGATAGTGACAGTGAGAGAGAATAGTATTGATAGTGACCGTGAGAGAGAACAGTGTTGATAGTAACAGTGAGAGAGAACAGTGTTGATGGTGTCAGTAAGAGAGAATAGTGTTGATAGTAACAGTGAGAGAGAACAGTGTTGATGGTGTCAGTGAGAGAGACCAGTGTTGATAGTGAGAGAATAGTGTTGATAGTGACAGTGAGAGAGAATAGTATTGATAGTTACAGTGAGAGAGCGTAGTGTTGATAGTGAGAGAATAGTGTTGATAGTGAGAGAATAGTGTTGATAGTAACCGTGAGAGAGAATAGTATTGATAGTGACAGTGAGAGAGAACCATGTTGATAGTACCAGTGAGAGAGAACAGTGTTGATAGTAACAGGGAGAGAGAATAGTGTTGATAGTGACAGTGAGAGAGAACAGTGTTGATAGTAACAGTGAGAGAAAACAGTGTTGATAGTAACAGTGAGAGAGAACAGTGTTGATAGTGAGAGAATTGTGTTGATAGTGACAGTGAGAGAGAATAGTATTGATAGTTACAGTGAGAGAGTGTAGTGTTGATAGTGAGAGAATAGTGTTGATAGTGACAGTGAGAGAGAATAGTATTGATAGTGACCGTGAGAGAGCACAGTGTTGATAGTGAGAGAATAGTTTTGATAGTGACCGTGAGAGACAATAGTATTGATAGTGACAGTGAGAGAGAACAGTGTTGATAGTGAGAGAATAGTGTTGACAGTGACAGTGAGAGAAAATAGTGTTGATAGTGAGGGAATAGTGTTGATAGTGACCGTGAGAGAGAATAGTATTGATAGTGACAGTGAGAGAGAAGTGTTGATAGTGACAGTGAGAGAAAATAGTGTTGATAGTGACAGTGAGAGAGAACAGTGTTGATAGTGACAGTGAGAGAAAATAGTATTGATAGTGACAGTGAGAGTAGAGTCATAGAGAAACTTACTGTGAGGAAAGGCTCTCTCGTGGCGAGTTGTCGTGACATGGGAAGCGACAGTCGTCCATCTCGGACTCTGAGAGGAGAGAGGGCAATCACGATAAACTACCAAGTAGCTACAGTAAGGGAGAGTGGGGTAAGTTGAGCAATTTTTTACATTAAGCATCACTCCGTCAAGGGAAATATAGTATTTCTTTCTGTTTTGAAAACATAGCTTGTCCAAACAAAAGTGGTCTCTTGGCACAACTTAGTTGAGCCGTGGGACAGGGTAAGTTAAGACAACTTAGTTGAGCCGTGGGACAGGGTAAGTTAAGACAACTTAGTTGAGTCGTGGGACAGGGTAAGTTAAGACAACTTAGTTGAGCTGTGGGACAGGGTAAGTTAAGACAACTTAGTTGAGCCGTGGGACAGGGTAAGTTAAGACAACTTAGTTGAGCCGTGGGACAGGGTAGGTTAAGACAACTTAGTTGAACTGTGAGACAGGGTAAGTTAAGACGACTTAGTTGAGCCGTGGGACAGGGTAGGTTAAGACAACTTAGTTGAACTGTGAGACAGGGTAAGTTAAGACAACTTAGTTGAGCTGTGGGACAGGGTAAGTTAAGACAACTTAGTTGAGCCGTGGGACAGGGTAAGTTAAGACAACTTAGTTGAGCCGTGGGACAGGGTAAGTTAAGACAACTTAGTTGAGCCGTGGGACAGGGTAAGTTAAACTGCCTACAAATGTCTGTACTAAATGTAATATTACCATTACCTTTTTAAAACCATGTCTATCTTTATTTCCCCAACACAATTCAAAGCAATCACAATCGCTTTTTGTCTTTTAATAATTTTAAGCATCTTTTAACAGAGGCTTAACACCTAACAAACACTTTGTACTTTTTTAACACTTTTAACATAGGCCAGGCCCTGTTGTTACCTCATATCCCAGAGATAATGCCTTGCAAAATTATTAATTTTGTGTATAGTTTCCTAGAAACAAGGGTGGCTCAACTTACTCCTTTGGTTCAATTTACCCCACTCTCCCCTATGTAACTTCATAGCAAACATAAGTATCTCACTAACGAGCGTGTGTGTGTGTTACCTGGAAGTGAGGTCTGGGCTTGGCTGAGTAGTGAGGGCAGTGTAGAGGCAGTAGAAAGGATCCTGCCAAAGGGCTGAGAGGAGCTGAGGTTGTAGGAAGAACTGGAACATGGGTGGACCTACAAGGGTTTAATACACAGAGAACAAAGTTAGGATCTAATTTACCTGGCAACTGAATACATGTGGGATACTATTTTAGTTTTAACATGATATCATTGATAAGCTCAGTCATGGGCTGCGTTTCAAATGGCACTATATATTCCCTGCATAGTGCACTACCTTGACCAGAGCCCTATGGGCCCTGGTCAAAAGTAGTGCACTACAGATGTAGGATCTTAATTTGATCACCCTGTTGTAGGAGAACCTTCCTGCAATGCAGGACATTTTTAACTTGTAGTGTATTTGCTTTAGCAAACTGGTTCAAATTAAGATCATACATCGTGGTCCTCTGTAGCTCAGCTGGTAGAGCACGGCGCTTGTAACGCCAAGGTAGTGGGTTCGATCCCCGGGACCACCCATACACAAAATATGTATGCACGCATGACTGTAAGTCGCTTTGGATAAAAGCGTCTGCTAAATGGCATATTATTATTATATTATTATCTGTATATAGGGAATAGGGTGCCATCTGGGGTGCAGACTAAAGCTCTGCTACCTGACCCAAGCTTGACGGGCTCCGACATTATACATCGGGTTAGGGCTGGGTAGGGCCTGTTTTTTCATCAATAACTAGGATTTACTAACTGAGGAAGGTTTCGGGTTTCGGGCAGGGCCTTACATTTGGCAGAGGCAATCGGACCTGGGTAGGGTAGGGCCTGAATGTCATGGACATGTGTAGGGCTTAAAATGAATGTCCGTGCAGGGCTCTAACGCAGACATGATGTTGATTTCTGGAGTACCTGTGTGTTGGGGGCAGAGTTGACTGGTTGAAGTGACAGTGTGGAGACGTGAGATGGCAGGAGTCCTGAAGAGAGAGCGGTGCTACATATGCCCCCGCCCAACGATAGAGGGGTGGTGCACACCCCTCCGCCCAAAGACAAAGGGGTGTTACAGACACCCCTACTCAAAGACAGAGGGTCCTTGTGACTGATGTAGTTTCCTAAAGAAGAGAATAATATCAGACTTAATTCATAAATGCAATTAATTTATAGAACACACACATGCACATATGTACAGACACATACACACACACACAAGCGCACACCTAAAAGTGCTAAGGTTCTATCTTCTGAGAGTAGAGCAAAAGCAGGATGTCAACCCAGCCATTGACGCACACGCTCTCACTGTTGACACTACACACAACACCACAATCTAGCAAATCTCTTTACTACGCACAGATCACTAACTACCTAAGGCCAGATTTATTATGTATGTGCAAAGCTTGCACTTCTAGTTCTGTTCAAAAAGTCATAAGCAACAAAGGGTTCTTTACTCTTATTGTTACTCAATCTGTTACTTTTCTTCATCCTTTTCTTTCTCTCTAGTGCAAATATGTACAAGCTTAAATCTGGCCCCCATTTTCTAAATGAGGTATCTTGCTACCTGAACATCTCTAAATACACATACTTATACTTATAACGTGTACGTTCATCATTCACAGTCACAATACATAGAAATGCGGTGTATTATTTCCACATGCAAGTGCACACTTGCAGTCACTTGTGCGCTCACAGGAAGCTAGAGGGCTACCACACAGCACACCCACTCAGACGGATCTGGTGAGAAACTCACCGGAGCCGAGCAGCGTATTGCCGCGGCCTGTGGAGAAACTGACGCTAGAGGAAGTGGAGGAGGAGGGGAAGGAGGAGGAGGAGAGGGAGGAGGTGTGCAGGGTGGAGGAGTACGCTGTGTGGGGGAGGGTGGGGGAGCTGGGGAAGAGCGAGGAGGACAAGGTGGAGGAGGTTAGGGGTGGAGGTGGAGCAGGAGCCGTGTGGTGATGGTGCTGACGGTACTCCTCCTCTCGCCTCTCCGTCCGCTCCCGGTTCTTGCTCCCCCGTGGGCGCCCCGGTCCGTGCCGGCTCTTCTTGTTGCCACGGTGCCTCCTCTCCCGGTGTGTTGGCAGCGGTGGTGGGGGCGTGGCCTTGTCTTCCTCTAGGTCGGCCTCCTCCAGTATAGGGGGCGTGGCTAGGTGCGGGGACTTGAGAAGCGACTTGGAAGGCTTGTAGTCCCCCGAGGAAGAGGAGGAGGAGATTTTGCGGAGCTTGCTGCTGCCGCCGCCTAGCCCACCCGAGGAGGAAGTGATGCGCATGATGGAGCCGAAGGTGGAGATGGTGACCTTGGTCTCGAAGGAGCTGGCCTCGCCCTCTGACCTCTCGTGACCCTGCGACGACCCTCCGTGAGGTCCGTCAACCGGGGTCAGGGCCGGGGGCTGCATGGAGGCCTTGTTGTGGTATTTACTATTGTCCAATTCCTCTTCCTCTTCTTTCTCTTCTTCCCTTTCCTCCTCCTCTTCTTCGTCATCTTCCTCAGGCGCTGTCCGTCTGGTCCGCTCTTCGTGGTGCTCCTCAGCACCGTGCTCGTCCTCTCCTCGGTCGGGGTCACACTCCAAACGAGAGGTAGAGGAGAACGGGAGGAAGTCTTGGGAGCCGCCACCTGGGAATACACACCATAGTTATACCTAAACACAGCACAATAACCAGACAACACTATACGGTGCAGTTATACCTAAACCATTATAAAACAAACGTTCAGACTAAACACAGTGAAGTTATACCAAAACAAAGAGCTAAAAATCGAGCAGTTCTGCACTAGAGAGTTATGGATTTGGTTATTCACAAACAAACAGAACTGAATGAGAAGTTACTTGGACACAAAATGGCCGGTTGGTTGGTCCATAAAGGATTAGGTTTGTACCAGTGTTGAAGGGACTGGAGGAGCAAGAGGAAGAGGAGCAGCTCTTGCCAATGCTTCCTGTCTTCTTACTGCGATGTCCCAGCTGACTGTGAGAGCTCAACCTCTTCGAATTCCCCTCGCTGTCCTTGTTGCCGTGGTGACCCGACGACAACTACATCAACAACACAGAGAGGTCACGGGGGAAAATGTGTCATTATAGAGTGAGAAGCGGTTTGATGTAATAGATTAAAGCCATTTACGCTCATTAGAAAGTATTGTTAGACGGTCCTATTACAGTTTTTCTCAATTGCTAAAACACTAAACCCTATTGTCTGAACCAAATGCTCAGTTGCCTGAACCCACTGATTAAATCAATCACTCTTTTGGCAAAACCATAAGCACTTTTCACCTGTTTAGACATAACTTGCCAACACATTTTCATTGTGATGCACCCGTGCTGCATAATGGTGAGCACAGGTGACAAAAGTCAAACACAATTAGAGCACAGGTGTCACCACTTGAACACAACAACTCAAAATTGATCACACTTGTGGCTAATGATGTGAGGGAACATATACAGTAAGCCAGTTCAGAGAGCACTGGTTTGTGAGGCCCTACAATGGATAGAAATCTGAGAGGAAGAGTTCGTGTGAGAGGAGGTCGAGGTGGTCGAGGTGGTCAGCGAAGACAAAGAACAGTAATATCTGATGAAATCAGAGCTACTGTGATTGACCATGTTCTTGTCCATGGTATGAGCATGAGGGAGGCTGGACAAAGGGTACAACCAAACATCAGTAGATTCACTGTGTCCACCATAATCCGAAGATTTAGAGAAGAGAACAGGTAATTACCTTTTTTTGACATTATAGTACAGTATGTAAATGTTGACAGCAATTACTGTATGACATACTATATACTGTACCACAGTATACTGTAAGTAAATATATGTTTCAGTACATCACTGTACCAATGTACTGTAGTATTGTAACGGAGGGTTGGTCTAACTGTTTGTAGGACTAGTATTCCATGTATATTTTTTGTAACTCCATGTTCTCTTTTTGTAGAATTGAAAGACTGCCACATGGGGGTGGGAGGACAGGTATGTTCTCCCCACACCAAGAGACCCTAATTGTTGATATGGTCCGTGAGAACAATGCCATTAAACTGAGCGAAATTCAGCAGAAGATCATTGAGGACCATTTAAATTTTGAGGGTATCAACAGTGTCAGCCTCTCTACTGTTGATCGTGTCCTCAAGCGCAACAGACTGCGCATGAAACAGCTATACAGAGTGCCCTTTGATCTCAACTCAGACAGAGTCAAAGAGCAAAGATTCCAGTATGTACAGGTTGGCATATATCCAGACACATTCAATGTTGATTACTCTAAGTAGTGATTTACTGTAGTGGCCTAAATCACTTTTTCCGTATCACTTACAAAACTATATCTATTTCTACAGAGGGTTTTTCAACTGGATGCAATGGAAAGACCCCATCAATACATCTACATGGATGAAGCTGGGTTTAATCTCACCAAAAGGAGGAGAGGCTGTAATGTGATTGGCCATCGGGCCATTGTTGGTGTTCCTGGGCAGCGTGGTGGCAATGTCACATTATGTGCTGCCATCAGCAATCATGGGGTTGTCCACCATCATGCCAACCTGGGGCCCTACAACACTCACCAGCTCCTCATTTTCCTCAATCACATGCGAGATGCTTTGTTAGGGCAGCAGGATGAGCATCCCATCTATGTTGTTGTTTGGGACAATGTGAGTTTTCACAGAGCCCTCCAGGTTAGAGAGTGGTACAATATGAACCAAGGTTTTATCAATCTTTGCCTTCCACCGTACTCCCCTTTCCTAAACCCCATTGAGGAATTATTCTCCTCATGGCGGTGGAAGGTATATGAACGCCAACCTTACACCAGGGTAAATCTCCTGCAAGCCATGGGACTTGCCTGTGGTGACATAGGTGTGGAGGCATGCCAAGCCTGGATACGGCATGCCAGGGGTTTTTTCCCCCGTTGCCTGGCCAGACAAAATGTGGCCTGTGATGTGGATGAAGTCCTGTGGCCTGACCCAGTACGGAGACATGATGCTGTGGCTGAGTAATGCACTTATTTGTATATTTTTGTACTTTATTTTTACATGGGCTTACTGTACACAAGTGGCAAACGCATAAGATTTCTGTTTGTTTTTACAAGTGCTACATGTAAATGCACAAGATTTCTGTTTTGTCTTTTTGTACAAGTGCTAAATGCACAGTTTTTTTTTGTTTTGCAACATGCATTTAGCCTACAGTGAACAATAAACATTTATTTCTCCAGCTTCATGTCCTGAGCATTATGTTTTCTATGTTTCTACGTAGTGTTTAGTGACTGTTCAGTAGTGTTTTTTATTTTGATTGACTCGGGGCACGATTTGACAACATAGTTCAGTTTTGAGCACAGATTGAACTGTTTTGAGGTGAAAGTTTGGTTTTGCAAGAAGAGTCTGAGGTTTTGTGAATGTAGCTTGAAAATTGGGTTTTGTGTTCACAGTTAAGAGAAAAGGAGAGCAGCTTTCAAGAAATGTGTCTTAGCAATCGAGAAAAACTGTAAGAGAGTTCAACCAAGGACCTCATCTGGATAAAACCATTTTCACATATGTATCAACTTAGCAATACGCAATAGTTCAAACTATTTAGGAGTCCAAATGGTTATATTAGAACAATGTAGAAAGACAGATAGGACGGGTGGATGTGGGGAAAGATAGAGAGAGAGAGAGAGAGAGAGAGAGAGATATGAGAGAGAGAGTGAGAGAGAGAGAGAGAGAGAGAGAGAGAGATAGAGAGATATGAGAGAGAGATATGAGAGAGAGAGAGAAAGAGAGAGAGAGAGAGAGAGAAAAGAGAGAGAGAGAGAGAGAGAGAGAGAAGAGAGAGGATATGAGAGATATGAGAGGTTAGAGACTGAGTGCACGTAGGGGTGTAAATATTGGGGTTGGCTAGGCTTTACCTTGTCCATGCTGCTGGACAGTGAGGACCCCTGACCATCAGATGACTTTTTATGCCGCTCCTTTTGCCTCATCTTGTCCTTGTGACTCTGAATGAAACCAAAGGGAGAGGCTGAGGATTTGAGCATTCATGCAAATACAGCAATACAAGCCACACAAAGCAATAGTCAAATGCACGTTCAGTATGTACACAATACACACACACTCACCTTCCTGGGCCTGTGGTGGTGGGAGCCGTGTTTGTCCTGGGAGGGGGAGGTGGAGCGCCCCCTAGAGTGGCCGAAGGAGCTGCGTTCGGTGTTCTCCCCACTGGAGCGCATCTTCTTCTGCTACAGGAACCCACAGTGGAGAGGCAGAGAATCACACTGCTGCCAACAGTAACAATCACAGGGGCAAGTACAGCTAGAGGGGCAATAGCTAGAGGGGCAATAGCTAGTGGGGCAATAGCTACAGCTACAGGGGCAACTAGGTGGCAGTAGCTAGAAGGGAAACTGTCACAGGGGATATTTCTCTACACAGGCTTGAAAAGCTATGCCTCCTTGCCTTCCTCAATGCAGTATGTGAATGGAAGTTACAAATCCAACTGAAAAGTTGTAAATCCTTTCCAAAGCCTTCTTTTTACACCATATAACACATTTACACATTTCATGCCATTTAAATAAGAATTGGAGATCTCATGGAAAGCTGAAAACAGAGTCGAATAGATTGCCAGTCTCTTACCATCTTGCTGTAATGGTGCTTGCAGTAGCCACAGTACTTGACGTTGTCAGCCTCAGGGCCCTCCTCCTCACACAGCAGGCCAGCCATCTGAGCACTGCACAGGGTCAGACAGTCAGACAGACGGGAGAGGACACACACACACACAGTCACACACACAGACACACACACAGACACACACACACACACAGACACACACCCACAGACCACTCACCAGGTGACGTGGAAGGCTTGTCGACAGCCCTGGCGGTTGCACGTCATGCAGGCTCCACAGGCAGCCTTGCTCTCTCGCCCGTGGTCTTCACAGATATAACACGTCTAAAGACAGAGGAGGAGAAGAAGAAAAATGGTGGAAAAGAAAGATAAAAAAGAATGACGACTGACCAGAACATATCTCCTCTTATCAACAGCAGATGTCAACCTGAAATCACACACATATGTAATGGGCAGACTTAGCTATGGAAGGTAAATCAGTCGTTCCACGAAATGAGTGGCTTTTGCGTCCCTTTGATATTTTATGTAGAAATTGTGCACAGATATTGCATTTTAAAATCCTGTTATATTACTGTAAATGCCCTTTAATATAGACCACATGGAAGATTTTTTATATGAATAAAGACTTGCTAAAGTGCCAAAATTCAGCAATATGACATGTCCCTCTGTGCATCCTCCGTGACTTATATGAAGATTTTAACCCACTTAACCCCAACATTTGTCCAAGTTTTTACCATCATTGTAAAGCCCTAGTTATTTGGTCGCTTTGACAGTCATTTCTGAAGATAATTATTTATTTCATGTTATTAGTGATTCATTTTAAGGTCAACCCTGTTACGTGAACTGAACTCTCGTTTTAATATGGGGAAAGTATTGCTTTTTTTAAATGGAAAATTCAAGAGACATTGAATATCTAATAGTGAAGTCATAGTTTAAAAGCAGGTAAACTGGTTCTACTCTTTTTGGCCATTTTCTGGCGTTTTGTGGTGGAAAACTGAGCGGGTCGAGCATAACACGTCAACCCTGTTACCCATAGATAGACAGACTATATAAATTGTGAAGCATGCATTCAATTGCCTCTCCCTATCGCACACAACAAGCCTCCATTCCCCCTGTCACAAGGGGATTCATGGCTGATTTTAGATGAAGTCATCAACCCTGTTACTGTATTTGGCACTTAATAGGCACTTACTATAGTCATTTTTTAAGTTGAACATGTGCTCTTTATGACAGAATGATAAAATTAGGTGAAATAAAAAGTTACACTACTCAAAAAGTACCTAATTGGTGGAACGACCCAAATCTAGATGTCTGTAGTGTCCCAAATGCCATCCTATTCCCTATATAGTGCACTACCTTTGACCAGGGCCCATAGGGATAAAAAGTAGTGCACTATACTCTAGGCTCTGGTCAAAAGTAGTGCACCACATAGAGAATACGGTGCCATTTGGGATGCACACTGTGTGATACTGTTCAACTGTATGGGCCTCACCAGCGCCCAGAGCCCAACCCTAGCCTGTCATTGATAGCAGCCTTTTATGAAACATTCTGCCCCCCTTCCTGTTCAAATCTCGCTCCCCCACGGCTACTACCCAGACAGAGGGGGCTGGCTGTCTACGGGGGCACGAGAGGCCTAGCAACAGGTGCTGGACAAAGGAACAGCGGGCTCCTTCTCTTTCTTCTCCCTTCATCTGCCCCTCCTCTCCCCTTCTGAGCCATATGTATCGTGGGCCGAAGGGAAACAGAGAAACAGCATCTGGAGCTACTGTAAAGGAGGGAGGGTGGTGGGCTTATTGAGTCTTCACTCATTGTCTGCATCCCAAATGGCACCCTATACTCTGTGTAGTAAAGCTACTTTTGACCAGGGCCTATAGGGGATAGGGTACTATTTGGGACACGGCCATTGTCCACTCAAACGCTCTCTAAGAATGCAGGGCAGCAAATCCGGATGAATGGCTCTGACAACCCAGACCAGAGAGGTGCAAGCCATTTACTGTAGCTTCACCTGACACTGTAACATGAGACCACTACCAGACAAGCACTCACTATTGTACAGCAGCAAGCATCTTAGTAGCTTCCCATTGACTCTAATAGAAATGTAATCTAATCATATAAAAGCTTTCGTTCAAAAAATCTGTCTGATGGGCGTATGTTGAATATAGATTTTTCCACAATAGCGATCACTCAAGACCATTAGGCCTAAAAGCATGCAGACTGTGGTGGGATACATGGCACATTACCATCCAGATGCCAACTCTAAATGGGCTAACTTGCAGCGAGGACTTCAAAGAGAAGGCTTTGGAAAAACTCTGGAGGATCTCATGAAAGCTTTGCGTGTGCAAAAATATATTGTATACTAATGACTGCCTGCAAATCACAGAATCTGACAAAAATGTCCTCACGCGTTTGTGTGGAATATTCAAGATAGGCACATTGATGAACAACCATTTACTCTGGCTAAATAAACAATATATCCAATTTGATTAAATCTTGATAGGCCTATACAATGCATTTCAAATGACAGTCAGAACACCCTTCACAAAAGACAAACAAGGTTATCAAAAGTTGAAGTGAACAGTGAAGAATACCTTGATGTATCTGTCGTGAGGGACGTACTGCAGCACTATAGGCTCCATGGTGAGAACGTTGGCAAACTGCACCTCGGGAATATAGAGCGCACACACCACATGGGCCCAGCCTGGAGAGAGAACAGCTCACATTAGTACACACACATACACACACCCTGACGTGCATACACACACATTAACACTAATAATATATTTGTAAAACAAGGCAAACGTGGAGGAAGGCGGGATTGATGGAAAGTGGAGGATGAAGGATAGAGGGAAGAAAGTCAGCGTTCAGTTGTTTACCTCCACTGTCTGTCCTCTTGAGGGCGCCATCTTTGTGAGGGCACAGCTCACATCTCTGATGAGAAATGAGAGCACACCTCACAATAACCAACTACGCACAGTAGCTTCAATAGCATACTGTACTATCAGAGTTATTACTACAACAGGCAGGGTTATGCTGTACATTGATAGAGATGCAGTATATTACATTGATTTTAATGAGTATATGGATAATATATTGATATATTGGACATACAGCACCAGTCAAAAGTTTGGACACACCTACTCGTTCCAAGGTTTTTCTTTATTTTTACTATTTTCTACATTTTACATTTTAGTCATTTAGCAGACGCTCTTATCCAGAGCGACTTACAGTTAGTGAGTACATACATTATTTGTATATTTTTTTATACTGTCCCCCCGTGGGAATTGAACCCACAACCCTGGCATTGCAAACGCCATGCTCTACCAACTGAGCTACATCCCTGCCGGCCATTCCCTCCCCTACCCTGGACGACGCTGGGCCAATTGTAGATTGTAGAATAATAGCGAAGACATCAAAACTATGAAATAACACATATGGAATCATGTAGTAACCACAAGAGTGTTAAACAAATCAAAATATATTTGAGATTTGAGATTCTTCAAAGTAGCCACCCTTTGCCTTGATGACAGCTTTGCAAACTCTTGGCATTCTCTCAACCAGCTTCATGAGGTAGTCACCTGGAATGCATTTCAATTAACAGGTGTGCCTTGTTAAAAGTTAATTTGTGGAATTTATTTCCTTCTTAATGTGTTTGAACCAATCAGTTGTGTTGTGACAAGGTAGGGGTGGAATACAGAAGATAGCCCTATTTGGTAAAAGACCAAGTCCATATTATGGCAAGAACAGCTCAAATAAGCAAAGAGAAACGATGGTCCATCATTACTTTAAGACATGAAGGTCAGTCAATCCGGAACAGTGCAGTATCAAAAACCATCAAGCGCTATGATGAAACTGGCTCTCATGAGGACCGCCACAGGAAAGGAAGACCCAGAGTTACCTCTGCTGCAGAGGATAAGTTCATTAGAGTTAACTGCACCTCAGATTGCAGCCCAAATAAATGCTTCACAGACTTCAAGTAACAGACACATCTCAACATCAACTGTTCAGAGGAGACTGCGTGAATCAGGCCTTCATGGTCGAATTGCTGCAAAGAAACCACTACTAAAGGACACCAATAAGAAGAAGATATTTGCTTGGGCCAAGAAACATGAGCAATGGACATTAGTAGGTCAACGGATGATCTCTGCATGTGTGGTTCCCACCGTGAAGCATGGAGGAGGAGGTGTGATGGTGTGGGGGTGCTTTGCTGGTGACACTGTCAGTGATTTATTTAGAATTCAAGGCACACTTAACCAGCATGGCTACCACAGCATTCTGCAGCGATACACCATCCCATCTGGTTTGCGCTTAGTGGGACTATCATTTGTTTTTCAACAATGACCCAACACACCTCCAGGCTGTGTAAGGGCTATTTGACCAAGAAGGAGAGTGATGGAGTGCTGCATCAGATGACCTTGCTTCCACAATCACCCGACCTCAACCCAATTGAGATGGTTTGGGATGAGTTGGACTGCAGAGTGAAGGAAAAGCAGCCAACAAGTGCTCAGCATATGTGGGAACTCCTTCAAGACTGTTGGAAAAGCGTTCCTCATGAAGCTGGTTGAGAGAATGCCAAGAGTGTGCAAAGCTGTCATCAAGGCAAAGGGTGGCTACTTTGAAGAATCTAAAATCTTAAATATATTTTGATTCGTTTAACACTTTTTTGGTTACTACATGATTCCATATGTGTTATTTCATAGTTTTGATGTCTTCACTATTATTTAACAATGTAAAATTTTTTAATAAATTAAGAAAAACCCTTGAATGAGTAGCTGTGTCCAAACTTTTGACTGGTACTGTATATACTCACCACTCTTGCAGCTCTCTCCTGAGACTCACATTTTCGACAGAACCACGGTCCAGTGGGCACCTGGACGATGCCATAGCACGCTGTGACACACACACACACACACACACACACACACACACACATAAAGACACAAATACAGACACATCTTTAGTCTACCACTCAAATGAATGAGACACAAACAAAGGAGCCAAAACCGATACATAACTTATTAGATATGTAACTAACTAACTTCTTGGTATACCTTCAACATTTAATTTGTATTTTTTTTTTTACTGTTGAGAGCAAGCATAGAGTAAGTAAGTAGCCTTGCACAAGCCTTGGCTTGTGAGAGCCGGAACGACTCATAGGAGCAAGAGCTGTTTCTGTAGCTTGAAGCAGCTTGATGTACAAGTACACCCCCTGGACAGGATGCTAGTCTATTGCAGGGCTTTACCCCCAATCTATCTCCTTAATGCTGAGTGCCAAGCAGAGATGCAGCAGGTCCCATTTTTACAGTCTTTGGTATGACTCGACCGGGGATCAAACTCCCAACCTTATCAGGACAGACACTCTTACCACAAGGCCACTGAATTAAGAGAAGGCATAGTTAGGGCATAAAGTTAAGTGTGACAATGATTTATAGATTTCTTGTCACAGATATTCCCGAGATGATCCCAATATTGATAGGCTCTTGAAGTAGGTCACCTTTTTCAAAGAATGGTGGTGGTTTGAATGCAGCCATAGTGGGTTTACTTTGCAAGACATAGGCTGATTTATAATAATATGACATTAATAACAGTTTATAAACTCAGATTGTATTGTGTGTCGGCTACATACGATATTGTAATTGATGTTTCCTTCATAACACAATAAATAAAAGCCTTGGGTGATATCCTGTGAAGGTGTGCACAACTCTTAAAGCCTTACAACTGTAAAGATTTACATATTAAATAATAATTGTTGGCTCTTATTAAAATCCAAACTCATGGACATACAGGGGATACAAAGATGTAAACAAAGCATGTGGATACATAGTTGAGGAAACAATGCATCCGGAAGGCCCGATAGGCCAGCTAGTCTGCTGCTCCAGTAGTAGCAAATGCTTGCTAACCCTGCGTGACTTAGTATCGAATAATAGCCACGCTACCAAAACCGCAACAGTCCGCGCCATAAGGGCTTAATGTAATTTTCTATGTCCCCTCTCTCGCGCTCGCACCACGTCAACGCGTGCTGAAGGAAAACACCCCCTCCCACATAAACACAGACACGCGCGCACGTAGGCACGCACCACCCCATCCTTCCTCAATACCGTAATTACATTGTAATATAGCAAGCTAGTTACCCTGATGCACAGCGACGCTGCACCCGTGCCCATCACAGTATACAAGAGGATTTTCAGCCCAGCCTCGCTCATCGGAACACACGCAGCAACCTCCAACCATTTCCCGCATACTGTTCCCATACGGTATTTTATACGGTTTTGCGACGACTTAATTCGCCAGGGTGTCAAGTAGGCCCTGACTTCAACGGTGTATCAAACATGGTAGTCGGTAGTCGTGCTACACTGCAACCACGAATGAATTTCAGCGTGGGATTCGGGTACGGCGAGTTTTCCGTGATGTCTTCCCGTCCCCTGTAGAACCGATGCAGTGCGCATGCCCACATCTGCAGGCAGAATAGTCTCAATGTGAAGATGACAATATTTCCATCCCTTGAAGTTATGTCCTCAGTTCTCCATGCTCAATGACAATATATATGCACCCTTTCTACATTATAATGACAAAACAGCCCGATCTCTTGCTGTCGAAAAGCAATAATGACAAAAGTGTAGACTAAAGCATGCCTCTTCTCTTTGAACTGTGGATTAAAGCACTTTAAATGCATAGCGCCATCTTTAGGGATCAGACAAAACAGAATTGTCTAGGCCTGCTAGCCTAAATTGAATATCCAGACATAGTTTGGGGAAACTGTTAATATCATTCAAAAAATATGTAGGCCAGGCCAACTACTTTGCAGATTTATTTTGAGACTTTATAACAACTATATCCAATATGTAGGCATATTAAAAAGTATTATCATAATAATAGTCTATAAAACAGAATCAGATAACGTATGTTGTACTAGTGGCATTATAATGTCTCATAATGATGGCTGCTTAAAAAGAGGTCAAGAAAATACAATTGTAGGCTAATAATGCGTTTTATTGGGCACTTGTGTGATGTGTTATGTAAAGCATTGTTGTAAAACCTTAGACTGCAAAGCCTTACATGACTTATTACACGATCTTTCTCAAAAAGTGAACTGTAATATTAGAGATTAATGCATAAACGTGAGAGAAAAAAAACAATACAATATAATAATGTCTGTAATAGCCTAAAGATTACCACTATTGTTCATGAACATAAAATGTAATTGTAATCCAAAGTTTTAATAGGAGTTTATAGCTGAACTCAAAATCAGAGGATGTAATTATCTATCCTTGGAATGACAGACTGCCAGTCAGCCTGTGAGACTTTAATGATATATGAATAACTTTTGAAATGTTGAGCTCTGGCAACAACATCATTGGCATAGCCCCCTCCAGTGGTTTTAGCGTCCACCTGCTCATATGAGGAGATGCTGCCCGCCCCATATTGTAGGCTGCCAACGCCCCTGAAAAACATAAAAACAATAGGTTAGTAGTTGCATCACCTCAATCCAGGAGTGAGTCAATGAGTACCTTTCAGCTTCTGCTCCTTGGTCCAGCTAGGATATCTGAATAGGAGCCAGCCAAAAACTGTGTGCCTTGTTCGATATGTTCCTGACTGTCCCATGCCCCCTGTGGAGGGTGCCAGCACCTGTCAACCTAGAAATATAATAGAGATCTCCAATAGAATTGTAGATTCTATTGATAGAATTGTAGATTCTGTAGACTCATACTGTATTGTAGAATGCTCATCAAACAAGTAATTCTACATTAGACATGACCTCCTGGGAAGCAGTTGCACAGTGGGTAAAAACAAGTTAGAAATTAAACAACCAGATTACAATAATGGGTGTAAAAATGACGTCTCTACAACCAGCATACAATCATGATTGTAATTATGTCATTTCAACCCTTGATCCACAGTCTCACATTCATTCTCACAGAAATGTTTATATTACCTGCATTAGCCCATGGGCATTTCCATTGTCCCCTGAGCCATTGACCAGTCCTGTCCCATCCCTGGACTCTCTAGAGATGATACCACCGAGGACAGCTGGGTCCACTCCATACTTTCTGCCCTGCACTGGTGATGCGGTCCTTGTACTGGTCCACGTAGGGCCGATCATGCTCTGCCATTTCATGAGATGCTGACACGCCTTGATGATTGATTGCAAAGAAAAATAAGAATGTTATTATCATTCTGTGTTTGCTTTTCTATCTAATTGAATTATTAGATGAATGTATGTGTGACATGGTTTAGGTCTTGCCCAGGAATAAGCCAAAAGCTTGCTAATTAACAGCCAAGCTCCACCCACAATTGCAACAAGCTGCACCATGAGACCCACACATAAACCTGGGCATTAATTAAGACATAACCATGTCACATATGGACTAGCAGTATTAATTATTTGTGTGTACTGAATTTATACATATATAAAGTGCATTCGGACAGTATTCAGACCCCTTGACTTTTTCCACATTTTGTTACGTTACAGCCTTATTCTACAATACCCCATAATGACAAAGCAACAAAAAAAATAAGCAAAAAAATAATAATAATAACTGAAATATCATATTTACATACATTTTCAGACCTTTTACTCAGTACTTTGTTGAAGCACGTTTGGCAGCAATTACAGCCTCGAATCTTCTTGGGTACGACGCTTCAAGCTTAGCACACCTGTATTTGGGGAGTTTCTCCCATTCTTCTCTGCAGATCCTCTCAAGATCTGTCAGGTTGGATGGGGAGCGTTGCTGCACAGCTATTTTCAGGTCTCTCCAGAGATGTTTGATCGGGTTCAAGTCCTGGCTCTGGCTGGGCCACTCAAGGACATTAAGAGACTTGTCCCGAGCCACTCCTGCGTTGTTTTGGCTGTGTGCTTAGGGTCGTTGTCCTGTTGGAAGTTTGACATTCGCCCCAGTCTGATATCCTGAGCGCTCTGGAGCAGGTTTTCATCAAGGATCTCTCTGTACTTTGCTCCGTTCATCTTTCCCTCGATCCTGACTAGTCTCCCAGTCCCTGCCGCTGAAAAACATCCCCACAGCATGATACTGCCACCACCATGCTTCACCATAGGGATGGTGCCAGGTTTCCTCCAGACATGACGCTTGGCATTCAGGCCAAAGAGTTCAATCTTGGTTTCATCAGACCAGAGAATCTGGAGCTCTGTCAGAGTGACCATTGGGTTCTTGGTCACCTCCCTGACCAAGGCCCTTCTCCCCCGATTGCTCAGTTTGGCCGGGCAACCAGCTCTAGGAAGAGTCTTGGTGGTTCGAAACTTCTTCCATTTAAGAATGATGGAGGCCACTGTGTTCTTGGGGACCTTCAATGCTGCAGACATTTTTTGGTACCCTTCCCCAGATCTGTGCCTCGACACAATCCTGTCTCGGAGCTCTACGGACAATTCCTTCGACCTCATGGCTTGGTTTTTGCTCTGACATGCACTGTCAACTGTGGGACCTTATATAGCCAGGTGTGTGCCTTTCCAAATCATGTCCAATCAATTGAATTTACCACAGGTGGACTCCAATGAAGTTGTAGAAACATCTCAAGGATGATCAATGGAAACAGGATGCACGTGAGGTCAATTTCGAGTCTCATAGCAAAGGGTCTGAATACTTATGTAAATAAGGTTTTTTATTTTTAATACATTTGCAAACATTTCTAAAAACCTGTTTTCACTTTGTCATTATGGGGTTTTGTGTGTAGATTGATGAGGATTTTCTATTTATTTAATCAATTTTACAATAAGGCTTTAACGTAACAAAATGTGGAAAAAGTCAAGGGGTCTGAAGGCACTTTATAGGCAGGTCTTGATGAACCACCTGACTTCATAGAAGTCATGGCTCAGTCCAGAAACAACCCAAAGCTCCCAACTAGGTCAAACTGAAACTGAAAACAAGCTCCCACTAGGTCCATTTCAAACTGAAAACAAAATGATGATGATTTGTGTGGACATAGTAGGAAATGCATGCTTGAAATCTAAATTGAGCAAAGTGCCTCATTTTAACAGAACAATAGGCCCCATCCAATAAAATGGACCACAGGGATATTAAGATACAAGTCTTTATATTTATTTTACCTTTATTTAACTAGGCAAGTCAGTTAAGAACAAATTCTTATTTACAATGACGGCCTACCAAAAGGACAAAACACACATCATGACAAGAGAGACACCACAACACTACATAAAGAGAGACCTAAGACAACAACACAGCATGGCAGCAACACATGACAACACAACATGGTAGCAACACCACATGACAACATGTTAGCAGCACAACATGGTAGCAGCACAAAACATGGTACAAACATTGTTGGGCACAGACAACAGCACAAAGGCAAGAAGGTAGCGACAACAATACATCACGCGACACAGCCACAACTGTCAGAAAGAGTGTCCATGATTGAGTCTTTGAATGAAGAGATGGAGATAAAACTGTCCAGTTTGAGTGTTTTTTTGCAGCTCGTTCCAGTCGATAGCTGTAGCGAACTGAAAAGAGGAGCGACCCAGGCATGTGTGTGCTTTGGGGACCTTTAACAGAATGTGACTGGCAGAACGGGTGTTGTATGTGGAGGATGAGGGCTGCAGTAGGTATCTCAGATAGGGGGGAGTGAGGCCTAAGAGGGTTTTATAAATAAGCATCAACCAGTGGGTCTTGCGACAGGTATACAGAGATTACCAGTTTACAGAGGAGTATAGAGTGTAGTGATACAGTGGGGAAAAAAAGTATTTAGTCAGCCACCAATTGTGCAAGTTCTCCCACTTAAAAAGATGAGAGAGGCCTGTAATTTTCATCATAGGTACACGTCAACTATGACAGACAAATTGAGAATTTTTTTATCCAGAAAATCACATTGTAGGATTTTTAATGAATTTATTTGCAAATTATGGTGGAAAATAAGTATTTGGTCACCTACAAACAAGCAAGATTTCTGGCTCTCACAGACCTGTAACTTCTTCTTTAAGAGGCTCCTCTGTCCTCCACTCGTTACCTGTATTAATGGCACCTGTTTGAACTTGTTATCAGTATAAAAGACACCTGTCCACAACCTCAAACAGTCACACTCCAAACTCCACTATGGCCAAGACCAAAGAGCTGTCAAAGGACACCAGAAACAAAATTGTAGACCTGCACCAGGCTGGGAAGACTGAATCTGCAATAGGTAAGCAGCTTGGTTTGAAGAAATCAACTGTGGGAGCAATTATTAGGAAATGGAAGACATACAAGACCACTGATAATCTCCCTCGATCTGGGGCTCCACGCAAGATCTCACCCCGTGGGGTCAAAATGATCACAAGAACGGTGAGCAAAAATCCCAGAACCACACGGGGGGACCTAGTGAATGACCTGCAGAGAGCTGGGACCAAAGTAACAAAGCCTACCATCAGTAACACACTACGCCGCCAGAGACTCAAATCCTGCAGTGCCAGACGTGTCCCCCTGCTTAAGCCAGTACATGTCCAGGCCCGTCTGAAGTTTGCTAGAGTGCATTTGGATGATCCAGAAGAGGATTGGGAGAATGTCATATGGTCAGATGAAACCAAAATAGAACTTTTTGGTAAAAACTCAACTCGTCGTGTTTGGAGGACAAAGAATGCTGAGTTGCATCCAAAGAACACCATATCTACTGTGAAGCATGGGGGTGGAAACATCATACTTTGGGGCTGTTTTTCTGCAAAGGGACCAGGACGACTGATCCGTGTAAAGGAAAAAATGAATGGGGCCATGTATCGTGAGATTTTGAGTGAAAACCTCCTTCCATCAGCAAGGGCATTGAAGATGAAACGTGGCTGGGTCTTTCAGCATGACAATGATCCCAAACACACCGCCCGGGCAACGAAGGAGTGGCTTCGTAAGAAGCATTTCAAGGTCCTGGAGTGGCCTAGCCAGTCTCCAGATCTCAACCCCATAGAAAATCTTTGGAGGGAGTTGAAAGTCCGTGTTGCCCAGCGACAGCCCCAAAACATCACTGCTCTAGAGGAGATCTGCATGGAGGAATGGGCCAAAATACCAGCAACAGTGTGTGAAAACCTTGTGAAGACTTACAGAAAACGTTTGACCTGTGTCATTGCCAACAAAGGGTATATAACAAAGTATTGAGAAACTTTTGTTATTGACCAAATACTTATTTTCCACCATAACTTGCAAATAAATTCATTAAAAATCCTACAATGTGATTTTCTGGATTTTTTTTCCTCATTTTGTCTGTCATAGTTGACGTGCACCTATGATGAAAATTACAGGCCTCTCTCATCTTTTTAAGTGGGAGAACTTGCACAATTGGTGGCTGACTAAATACTTTTTTCCCCCACTGTATGTCCTATAAGGAGCATTGGTGGCAAATCTGATGGCCGAATGGTAAAGAACGTCTAGCCGCTCGAAAGCACCCTTACCTGCCGATCTATAAATTACGTCTCCGTAATCTAGCATGGGTAGGATGGTGATCTGAATCAGGGTTAGTTTGGCAGCTGGGGTGAAAGAGGAGCGATTACAATAGAGGAAACCAAGTCTAGATGGGGCGGCAGGTAGCTTAGTGGTTAAGAGTGTTGTGCCAGTAACCGAAAGGTCGCTGGTTCTAATCCCCGAGCCGACTAGGTAAAAAATCTGTCGATGTGCCCTTGAGCAAGGCACTTAACCCTAGTTGCTCTGGATAAGAGCATCTGCTACATGACTAAAATGTAGATTTAACCTTAGCCTTCAGCTTTGATATGTGCTGAGAGAAGGACAGTGTGCTGTCTAGCCATACTCCCAAGTACTTGTATGAGGTGACAAGCTCTAAACCCTCAGAGCTAGTAATCACATCGGTGGGGAGATGGGCATTCTTCTTACCAAACCACATTACCTTTGTTTTGGAGGTGTTCAGAACAAGGTTAAGGGCAGAGAAAGCTTGTTGGACACTAAGAAAGCTTTGTTGTAGAGCATTTATCACAAAATCCGGGGAGGGGCCAGCTGAGTATAAGACTGGATCACCTGCATACAAACGGATGAGAGAGCTTCCTACTGCCTGAGCTATGTTGTTGATGTAAATTGAGAAGACTTTGGGGCCTAGGATCGAGTCTTGGGGTACTCCCTTGGTGACAGGCTGTGGCTGAGACAGCAGATGTTCTGACTTTATACACTGCACTCTATGAGAGAGGTAGTTAGCAAACCAGGCCAAAGACCCCTCAGAGACACCAATACTTCACAGCCGGCCCACAATAATGGAATGGTCTACCGTATCAAAAGCTTTGGCCAAGTCAATAAAAATAGCAGCACAACATTGCTTAGAATCAAGGGCAATGGTGACATCATTTAGGAGTATTTTGGAGATTGCGAGGAGGATATCTTCTGATATGATCAAAGCAACAATATTGTTTCTTATTGAGGTAATTTACAATTGAAGTGTCCTGGCTGCATATCAGTTCAAAATAGAGATGAGGGATAGTTCACCTAAATTAGAAATGTACACATTTGTTTCCGTACCTTGAAAACTATTTATGGAAATAATTACATTTGTGATTTGTGTGAACTATCAATATTCTTCTCAAACTCTTTATTTGTGTAATTATCAATCAAAGCAATTTCTTGGATGCAAATAAGTTAGACCTTGATTCAGTCAGCAGATGTCACTGTGTGCCCTATTCCATTGTGCATTGTATGTTCTCCATTGCCATTTTATTACTCCTGTCTCTCACAGGAGGCTAGTGGCACCTTAATTGGGGAGAACGGGCTCGTGGTAATGGCTAGAGCGGAATAAGTGGAATGATATCAAATACATCAAACACATGGTTTCCAGGTGTTTGATGCCATTTCATTTGCTCCGTTCCGGCCAATATTATGAGCCGTTCACCCGTCAGCAGCCTCCACTGCTGTCTGTGTAAGTAAATTGCTGCTGGGTAACTTGTTTTAAACTTGTGGAAGAGAGAGAGACAGGGAACTTCCCAAGGACACTTGGGCAGACAGAGAAAGTTAGACAAAGGACTGGGTCATCAAACGAGGGAAGTAACAATGACTGGATGTATGCTTTTCTACCATGAACACCTACCCCACCTCTGTACCACTCTACACTCTCCTTTCAACCTAGGAGTCAGTTCTATTTTTTTTTTCTTTTTACAGTTTACTCTCAACATTGATAAATATCTATTCAGCATTATCATTTTTAATGCAGAGATATACAAACCTGTCATCTTTACAATAAACACCCTGATAAGCATATCTGGGCATATTCATTGAGAGCCTGCTATGTAAGTAGCACGTCTCTTCACTCAACTCTGCACTGAGAGAGAGAGAGAGAGAGATGTGCACACTGCCCACAAAATGAGGTGGAAACTGAGCTGCACTTCCTAACCTCCTGTCAAATGTATGACCATATTAGAGACACATATTTCCCTCAGATTACAGCGATCCACAAAGACTTCGAAAACAAACCCAATTTTGATAAACTCCCTTATCTACTGGGTGAAAAACCACAGTGTGCCATCACAGCTGCAAGATTTGTGACCTGTTGCCACAAGAAAAGGGCAACCAGTGAAGAACAAACACCATTGTAAATACAACCCATATTTATGTTTTTTTATTTTCCCATTTGTACTTTAACTATTTGCACATTGTTACAACACTGTATTTATACATAATATGACATTTGAAATGTCTTTATTCTTTTGAAATTTCTGAGTGTAATGTTTACTGTTAATATTTATAGTTTATTTCACTTTTGTTTACTATCTACTTCACTTGCTTTGGCAATGTTAACATACGTTTCCCATGCCAATAAAGCCCTTAAATTGAATTGAATCACCGGCTGAGAGACACACACAGAGAGAGAGAGAGAGAGAGAGAGAGAGAGAGAGAGAGAGAGAGAGAGAGAGAGAGAGAGAGAGAGAGAGAGAGAGAGAGAAAGAAAAGGGAAGTGAGTGCTGATGGAAAGGACAGATAAAGAGGTGTCAACAGCAGGATGAGATGAGAATCACACCTGTTCTGGTGGTCTGAGGCCGGCTTGGCAGCGAAGCGTGACTGACTGTGTCCCTGGTCTGTCTGACATGTGGCTGGCTCATCAACATTGCCTGCTCACTATTACTGATAAGACCAGGGAGTCTGATAAGACTACCTATATGTAAATATCTACCTCAATTACCTCGTTCTTACCTCTGCACATACAGTGTATTCAGAAAGTATTCAGACCCCTTGACTTATTCCACATTTTGTTACGTTACAGTCTTATTCTAAAATTGATTAAAAACAAATACATCTCATACCCCATAATGACAAAGCGAAAACAGGTTTTTAGATTTTTTTGCAAAAATAAATAAATAAATACCTTATTTACATAAGTATTCAGACCCTTTGCTATGAGACTCGAAATTGAGCTTGGGTGCATCCTGTTTCCATTGGTCATCCTTGGGATGTTTCTACAATTTGATTGGTGTCCACCTGTGGTAAATTAAATTGATTGGACATGATTTGGAAAGGCACACACCTGTCTATATAAGGTCCCACAGTTGACAGTGCATTTCAGAGCAAAAACCAAGCCATGAGATCGAAGGAATTGTCCGTAGAGCTCCGGGACAGAATTGTGTCGAGGCACAGATCTGGGGAAGGGTACCAAAAAATGTCTGCAGCATTGAAGGTCCCCAAGAACACAGTGGCCTCCATCATTCTTAAATGGAAGAAGTCTCGAACCACCAAGACTCTTCCTAGAACTGGCCGCCCGGCCAATCTGAGCAATCGGGGAGAAGGGACTTGGTCAGGGAGGTGACCAAGAACCCAATGGTCACTTTGACAGAGCTCCAGAGTTCCTCTGTGGAGATGGGAGAACCTTCCAGAAGGACAACCATCTCTGCAGAACTCCACCAATCAGGCCTTTATTGTAGAGTGGCCAGACAGAAGCCACTCCTCAGTAAAAGGCACATGACAGCCCGCTTGGAGTTTGCCAAAAGGCACCTAAAGACTCTCAGACCATGAGAAACAAGATTGTCTGGACTGATGAAACCAAGATTGAACTATTTGGCCTGAATGCATTAATTTAATCAATTTTAGAATAAGGCTGTAACGTAACAAAATGTGGAAAATGTCAAGGGGTCTGAATACTTTCTGAATGCACTGTAGACTCGGTACTGGTAACTCGTGTATATAGCCATGTCATCGTTACTCGTTGTGTATTTATTCCTTCTGTTATTATTTTTTAAATGTTTCTAATATTTCTCATTTTTTCTCTCTGCATTGTTTGGAAGGGCCCGTAAGTTTCACTGTTAGTCTACACCTGTTGTTTATGAGGCATGTGACAAATAACATTTCATTTGAGTTGGCCCTTAGGTTACTGGTGTGACTGACTGATACTCAGGTGAAGATGGACATAAGCAGTTTCGATTGGTTTGAGAATTTCTTATCTGGATTGGGGTAGGCAAGTTCTCTCCTAAGAGACCTTCTGCCCCTTGGGAATTGCTTACTGTGTGCCAGACTTCTAGTTTCACATTGAGTGGCACAGAAGACTGATACTGTAGCAGAAGAACAGGACTATTTACTCGGTGATGAAACACAGTAGTGACCTGCTTTAGCCACCAGAGGGCATCTTCTAGTAAAAGGAAAAGCAGAATGACATATCAGTGAATCGCCCCAGCATCCGGGTGAGACAACGGATCTCAAAATCCCATGATGAGATTGGAACATTCCCCCAAATCAAATCAAGCATGTTTTTACATTTTGCTCCCACCTGCCATGTCTTTAGCCAACTCTTATATGCAAGCACAGTTCCCCATAAATGTCACACTGTATGTACATAAAATACAGCCTAAACATTGGTATTAAGGAACAATAATCAAGCGGCAATAAATTATAATTGCTACTATCAATCTTACATGCTCTCTATTAATGAATGTCTTTCAGTATACTGTCTACTTGTGCAATAATGTCCCCTCTATGGACAGACTTGCTTCAGCAGAGCCACAGAACATCTCTACAGAGCAGCCCCTCACAGCACGTGTTCATAGCACAACATCTCCTTAACTTCTCGGAGAGCTAGATAAATACTGTAAGTTGAAATCCAGGACAGAGAAACAGTTAGACTTTGAGGAGTTGTGAAGAGGGGAGTGTACTGTGAAGTGATGGCTTTCTTTGAAGCTGTGAACTTCTCAAACCACAGCCTAAAACAGACACGTGACCTTTGAGATCATAAGGATATTTTTTTTTCTATTTGCACATAGACTGTATTAAGAAGCAGTATTTTTCTGTAGTGGCGCTAGCTACTTCTTTCACAAGTTACAGTCCACACATGATCAGAATAGCTTTAATTATCTCTTTTTATTTTCAAACCTCAGTACAGTTAACAGGAAAACAAATATACATCAGAGTCTGTCAGTCAGCTTACAGTCAACGCAAAATGTACTCAGTACTATGTCCTACTACTACTGCTGTACACATAGAGGACATTTGGAAATACTGTAGTATATCACATCCTAAAAGCAGCAGGCATGGCAAAGGTAATGCCAAATATTGACTGCCTATTACCACTTCTATTGAATAAAACGTTGTCCCACATAAAACACATATTTCCATCATTTTAGATGGAAAATAACTATTGATCAATGATTATCTTTCAGATAATCCTGATTTCTTATACTTTGGCCACTTTGTTATTTGTCATAAATAAATGTTGACGCTTGAGTCGAGGCATGACTATCCTCTATAAAACATTTTAAATGCTACTTTACTGAAATGCTACATTTCTTTGTGTGTGTGTATGGTAATACTTGTGCTGATTAAAAACCAAAAGGAAAGTCCCTGACATACTTTTTGTGTGTATGTAATGTATGTACACAATTAATGTGTGTAAGTGTATAAATGTGTATGCATTATTCAGTTTAGGAGTCTGACTACATGTATGGGTGTGTGTGTGTTCACGTGCACATGTGCGACTACATTACTTCAACTCCAAGCGGTGCTCGCCGCGCACAATGTGTGAGGAGAACTCGTAGCGATCCCGGCTGCGGTGGCCACACACATTGCACTCCAGTGGGTCACGGAAGCCGTGGCAGCCCATGTGGATGGTGAACATGACGTAGTCCAGAAACCAAACCCTGCAGTGAACACAGGGGTACACTGCCCCCGCCCCTGTACCTACCCCAACCCCTACCTCCCCCTCGCCCCTTACCACCCTCAGAGCCTCTAGGGGGGGCATGTTGAGCGCATGGGCATGGGCATGGGGGTGCGGGAGGCTGTTGTGAGGACTGGGCCCCAGCAGGTGCCCCAGGCTGTAGATGAGAGGCTGGGAGAGCTGGGCCCGATCGGTGTGGAGTGAGTCCAGGCTAGAGTGGCCCTGGCTGGGCCGGGGCAGGTAGGCGAGACCGGTGCTCTGCTGCTGCTCCAGTTTGTGACCATTGGTGAGGGCCAGGGGGCTCATGTCAGCGCGGCTCAGGGGGATGGGGTAGGAGGCCCTGTGGGGGGAGGCAGAGTCAGGGTCCCGGCCTGTGTAGAGGGGCTGGTGGCTGTGGTGGTTCTCGGGTCCTGGGGAGGTGAGGGGAGGGTCCATGACGTCGGAGCGGTGGATCAGCTCCCTGTTGAAGCTCAGGTCCAGACACACACCGTTGTCCCCTGGATCACCCACACAGGGAGAGACGCCTCAGCACTCACTCACTCAGCACTGTGCAGGTGGGGCCACTAACCCAGAGCCAAAAATATATAAACTGTATATCTCTCTCTATATACACATATGGCCATATATATATACATATATCTCTATATAAATGGCTCTGCAGTAACCATTTCACTCTCAGAAAAAAGCCAGAGACGTACAGTGGAGAGGGAGCCACAATATAGGCACCTGCACTAACTAAGGAGCTTCAGCAGCAAAAGAGCAAGCTTGGTCGCACTTTGAGAAAAAAAGCACATTCTGTACAATTGAAATCTTGATAGCTAGTACAATAGCGAACTAGCAGGCAGCCGCTGACCCTGTAGATAAACGAGTTTCCTACCACAGAACGAACACTGAGAGGGTGTGAGAGGACAGAGAATCTGCGTCCCAAATGGCACCCTATTCCCCATATAGAGCACTACATAGGGAATAGGGTGACATTTGGTGAACTATAGGGAATAGGGTGCCATTTAGGACTCAGTCACAGAGACGAGGAGGAGACGAAGAGGACTCTCCGTCTCCACTGCAACAGCTGCTTCTCCACCACAAGAGGAGACGGAGGCATCTGCTCACGTTTCGCGCTCTCGCCTGTTTTTCTAACTCTGTGGTCGAACACACCACTTCTGTTTTCCTCCTGTGGTCGTCATATTGCAAGATTTCAGTTCATTTGTCAGGGTGATGGGTGATAGGAGGATCTCTTTAGCCCAGACGCTTGCTGTTTTTTTGCAGCGACTCGAATTCCGAAACTAAACACTTCATGATCAGCGGAGACGCTTAACAAGAATGTGTGACCTGGGTATTGGAAATGGGTACACCGCACTTGGGTTTGGGAAGTCAACGTGATGACAAATCACTCATTTACTGAAACTGACAGTTTTCAAACACACAGCAGTAGTAGCAGTGTATTAGTTTCAATGAAGCACTACAACTTGGATGTTTATACTTGTCCGTTTGTGTGTGAGAGAGTTCCAGTGTGCAAAATGCACATCTCCCTCGATTGCTTCATGTTAATGGCATTCTATTCCTATGCGTGGTTAACCAAACCCACCTAACATATACCATATACATCAGGCAGAGAAATTAGGGCAGTGGTCTACCACCCTATGGTGCAGTGCAGCAGATGAGGCTGGCGTTCTGCCCTGAATTCCTGCTTGGCAAGCAAAGCAAGTGGGGACAGGAGAACTGCATTGATAGAGAGACAGAGAGAGAGAGAGAGAGAGAGAGAGAGAGAGAGAGAGAGAGAGAGAGAGAGAGCGAGAGAGAGAGAGAGACAGAGACAGAGACAGAGACAGAGACAGACAGAGACAGAGACAGAGACAGAGACAGAGACAGAGACAGAGACAGAGACAGAGAGACAGAGAGAGAGAGACAGAGAGAGAGACAGAGACAGAGACAGAGACAGAGAGAGAGACAGGGAGAGACAGACAGACAGAGAGAGAGACAGACAGAGAGAGAGACAGAGAGAGAGACAGAGAGAGAGACAGACAGACAGGGAGAGAGACAGACAGACAGACAGACAGACAGACAGACAGACAGACAGACAGACAGACAGACAGACAGACAGACAGACAGAGACAGACAGACAGACATGTAGCTTAGACAGACAACGATATGATACACTTTTTCTTAAATCATTAAAACTCACATTTGTTTAAATTAAATGCAACTGACAGTAAACACTAATACAATAATAGCAGCAGTAGCAGCAGCAACAACAACAAGTAGCAAGGGGTCAGATTATGGTAAAAATAATCTGACAGGTGCAGCAATGAAGCCAGTAATCAGAGACCCATTACACAAAGACATACAATGAATCACATTTCTATTAAATTACCAAATGAGCAATTTCTCAAAAGAATAAGCAATCATCAGTCTAGTCACAAAGTAATCATCAAATCAAAATTGCAATTCCTAATTTTGTTTGAATTATTATATCTATTAAAAAAAACACCCGCAGCTTTTACCGCCCACACACTCGCCCATGCCTAGTTAACCCTTCCAAGGTCACAACCTGCAAGACAGTTGAACTGTCAGTGAGGAATGAGTCAGACTGGTCTTACCAGTGAACTTCTGTGGCATGGAGCTCTTGCGTTTGGCCACGTTGCTCGCCAGCCTGTCAAGCAGCAGAGCGCGCTCCGCGCCCATGTGAGTAGTCCTGGACACGTGGGTGTCCTCACCGGCTGAGAGACACAGAGAGAGAGAGAGAGAGAGAGAGAGAGAGAGAGAGAGAGAGAGAGAGAGAGAGAACGAGAGAGAGAGAGAGAGAGAGAGAGAGAGAGAGAACGAGAGAGAGAGAGGTCTCTTAACAGTACAGAGGTACAGTAAGGACACAGTGTGTGCTTTTTGTCCACTGTGCTGCAACTGTCCACTGCCTCGAGCATTTGAGATTGTGAAATTCGTTTTTTCTTTTACAGAACTAACAAACAAAATGACTAAACTCACGCTCGGAGGAACCAAGGAAAAATGTATTGCAGCCAAGATAACGAGCCCTGTGACCTCACTTCCTGGTGTTTTGCCTCATCGACTACTGAGGCCTGCAGGAGGAAGACCGCAGGTCGAGGATGTGCTTCCTCACCACACACGCTACCGATCTGCCGTACTTACGACATTCAACCGACCACAAAACAACACAGCATTGTTTGTGTCGCAACCGTCCTGGCTGTCCACCATGGCAGCCAAACAGACTTTGGGGGGGGGTGCAGTCAGAACACAACACCCGAGACATTTGTCCTACATCTCTTCTGACTGACTTCCCCGCTGGTTTTCTTACAACACAACGTCTCCCACCGCAACAGCCACAACCTATTTAGCTCTAATGGTGGGGTAACTTACGACCATGAACTTAAATGAAGCTACACAACTCTGCAGCCAGCAAATGTGTATGTGTGTATGGGTGTGTGCACAAATGTGTGAGCAGAGTAAGTGAGTGCCTGTGAATGTTGTATGTATGTGTGTGTGTGTGTGTGTGTGTGTGTGTGTGTGTGTGTTTGCATGAGTAAAGAGTAAAGTGTGTATGTGTGTATGTCTGAAGTGCGTTTGTGTAAGTGTGTGTGTGTTTGTGTGTGTGTGTGTAACAGAGGGTATGTAGGAGTGTTCCAGGGCCTCTCACCTCTCTCAGCGTTGCCTTTGTTCTGGATGTACACATGGCACCTCTCTCTGTGCTCTTCAAGGGAGCTGCGCTGCTTGTAACTGCGACCGCAGTGGTTGCACTTGTAGGGCTTCTCTACTGTGAGACAAGAGCTTCAGTTAAAACTACAAACTCCCACTTCAAACCATCATACAGTATTCACCCCCCTTGGAATTTTTCCTATTTTGTTGCCTTACAACCTGGAATTAAAATTGATTTTTTGGGGGTTTGTATCATTTGATTTACACAACATGCCTACCACTTTGAAGATGCAAAATATATTTTCTTGTGAAACAAACAAGAAATAAGACAAAAAAACAGAAAACTTGAGCGTGCATAACTATTCACCCCCCCAAAGTCAATACTTTGTAGAGCCACCTTTTGCATCAATTACAGCTGCAAGTCTCTTGAGGTATGTCTCTATAAGCTTGGCACATCTAGCCACTGGGATATTTGTCCATTCTTCAAGGCAAAACTGCTCTAGCTCCTTCAAGTTGGATGGGTTCCGATGGTGTACAGCAATCTTTAAGTCATACCACAGATTCTCAATTGGATTGAGGTCTGGGCTTTGTCCCTGCCGATGAAAAACATCCCCACAGCATGATGCTGCCACCCCCATGCTTCACTGTGGGTTTGGTTTCTCGGTGTGATGAGAGGTGTTGGGTTTGCGCCAGACATAGCGTTTTCCTTGAGGGACTTTCAGAACAGGTGTATATATACTGAGATCATGTGACACTTAGATTGCACACAGGTGGATTTTATTTAACTAATTATGTGACTTCTGAAGGTAATTGGTTGCACCAGATCTTATTTAGAGGCTTCATAGCAAAGGGGGTGAATACATATGCACACACCACTTTTCCGTTATTGATCTTTTAGAATTCTTTGAAACAAGTAACACCAATTTGGACTATTTTGTGTATGTCCATTACATGAAATCCAAATAAAAATCAATTTAAATTACAGGTTGTAATGCAACAAAATACGAAAAACGCCAAGGGGGATGAATACTTTTGCAAGGCACTGTACACTTTGCTTACTGAGGCTGTAGTTAAATAATGGGTTAACTACGATCTCTGCAAGAACCTCCTTTAAATGAACGTCACTGACAGGCCCAAGGGATGTAGCTCAGTTGATAGAGCATGGCGTTTGCAACGCCAGGGTTGTGGGTTCGATTCCCACAGGGGGTATGAAAAAAATAAACAAATAATAATGTATACACTAACTGTAAGTCGCTCTGGATAAGAGCGTCTGCTAAATGACTAAAATGTAAATGTAAACATGAAGTGGTATATCTAAATCACTGTGTGCAGACTGGTTATAGGTACCTGTGTGTGTGTGTGTGTTTGCATGTGTACGCATATATTTTGTACAGTAAGTGCGAACAGGTGGAAAATACTTGAGTTTGTGTTATTATATTATGCATGTGTCTGTGCATGTGTGGTTATACATATGTAAACGCAGGTGGCACACAGATGGTGGATAGGTACTTGAGTGAGTGCGCAGGTGTCCACTGAGGGCGTCTCGTCTGCGGCAGGCGTAGCTGCACATGGGACACTTGAAGGGCTTCTCCCCTGAGTGCAGTTTGATGTGGCGAAGCAGGTTTCCCTTCTGGGTGAAGGAGGCACCACACTGGTTGCAGTGGAACGGACGTTCACCTGGGTATAGGGCAAAACACAGGGATCCTATGTCATGGAGAAACTCTGTCAACACTGCCAAGACTTACTGATACAGTAGTTATGTAGCATATACTGTAGTTGAGCTACTGTGGTACGTTAACTGGTATTTCTCAGTAGTACTGTAACTGAATATGAGGAACACTTGGTTTGTTCCACACGTCTAATAAAGCAAACCGTTGAGTGAATAGTAATTACTGTGTTATAGCAGATGTTGAAATTGCATGTAATCAGTACTAGGGCAAGTAATGTAGAGTGCATGTAAAGTCAAATGTGTCAATTCAAAGTGTAACGCATGAGTCACTTTATATATTGAAACACAAATCTTTCAATCAAACACCTTGATCTACTAAGTTTATCAAACAAACAATCAGCAAGGTTGGTTTGGCTGTGCTACTCACCGGTGTGGCTTCGCTTGTGCACGAGCAGCACATTGATGCTGACGCAGGACAGGCCACAGACGTCACAGTTGAGCTGCCTGCTTAGTGAGCTTGCGTCGGAAGGATTCAGGTGGTAGTACTGTCACTGAATATGCTCTCGGACACTTGAATTGCCAGAACGTCTAGGAAACCCTTGGGGATGTACTTTTTTACAGATTTCATTTATGTATCCGTAGGGTAAGTAACGTAGAGCTGCTCGTATAAATGTGTCATCAAGTGAACGCTGTCATGTTTATTGAACTAATCTTGGAACTAAACCATTGTCGTCTAATTTTCCCCCCAGCAATCACAGGGACGTTTGGGACTACAGGGGGCTGGGTTGTACACAATCCCTCCTGGTATAGGACTTCAGAGCACCTGGTAATTGAACTGAACTAGTTCTGATGTTGTGGTGGTAAAACGAATTGTAAAGGCGTTTTGGCCTGTTCTCAGTGACTGGTTTAAAGAGACGGCTGGCTTTAAGGGGAATTCACTTTCTCTCCCCTTTCCCCTTTATTTTTCTGTACCCTTGCTTCTCTTTTCCTCTTCATCAAGTTCAATGACTTCTTTCATCTGGGTACTGATCGTAATTGTTCAAACTATTTTAAACTTTAGTTTGATACAGCTGACTGGTTTCTAAACAGATACTAACTAAGGGGAAATCAGCAGTTGCTACATCTTTTTGGATTATAATAATGATATGTACCCATTGTTCTGAAGAATTAACTTAAAATGCCTCATGAGCTTAGTTCAACTGTCGTAACCCATCAGAACCCAAAATAACTTGTTTTACTCCAAATTTGAAACAAAGAAATGTAAACTATTAGCCTCAAAACATGGTCAAAACTATAATTTTGATATCATGGATGGTCAAATCCTTGCATCCTTAGCTCTGTCTATGAATTTGAGAGTGATTACATTTCTCCAGCCCCATCCCTCAGCTTTTAACCGAACCAGGGTTGGTGAGGCCGCTTTGTTAATGTTTCAACTGCTGATTGCACTTTAAGCCCGAAAGTTGTATTTTCCCCATGTTTAAAGAAAAATGTTGGTATGTTTAAAACTTAAGGGGAAAAAAGTATTTACCCCTGTGATTTTTCGTTTGCCCACTACAAAAAAATGACAGTCTATTTTAATGGTAGGTTTATTTGAACATGGGGAAAAAAATAAAAACAAAAAAAACCAAAAAAACACATGTCAAAAAGTTATAAATTTATTTTCATTTTAAGGGGGAAATAAGTATTTTTACCCCCTCTCAATCAAAAGATTTTGGGTCCCCGGTGCTTTTATACAGGGAAAAGAGCTGAGATTGGAGCCCCTTTTAAAGGGGGTGCTCCCCAATCCAGTTTGTTATTTTATAAAAGACACCTGTCCACAGAAGCAAACAATCAATAATCAAACTTAGGTCAAGACCAAAGAGCCTCCAAGGGTGTCAGGGACAATTTTAGACTAAAAAGGGTGAAAGGGTAAAGACCATCACAAGCGCTTTGGGGAGAAGGTGACAACAGTTGGTGCGATTATTCGCAAATGGAAGAAACACAAAAGAACTGTCAATCTCCCTCAGCCTGGGGCTCTATGCAAGATCTCACCTCGTGGAGTTGCAATGATCATGAGAACGGTGAGGAATCAGCCCAGAACTACACGGGAGGATCTTGTCAATGATCTCAAGGCAGCTGGGACCATAGTCACCAAGAAAACTATTGGTAACACATTACGCCGTGAAGGACTGAAATCCTGCAGCGCCCGCAAGGTCCCCCTGCTCAAGAAAGCACATATACATGCCTGTCTGAAGTTTGCCAATGAACATCTGAATGATTCAGAGGAGAGCTGGGTGAAAGTGTTGTGGTCAGATGAGACCAAAATGGAGCTCTTTGGCATCAACTCAACTCGCCGTGTTTGGAGGAGGAGGAATGCTGCGTATGACCCCAAGAACACCATCCTCACCGTCAAACATGGAGGTGGAAACATTATGCTTTGGGGGTGTGTTTCTGCAAAGGACAAGGACAACTTCACCACATCAAAGGGACGATGGACGGGGCCATGTACCGCAAATTTTGGGTGAGAACCTCCTTCCCTCAGCCAGGGCATTGAAAATGGGTCGTGGATGGGTATTCCAGTATGACAATGACCCAAAACACACGGCCAAGGCAACAAAGGAGTGGCTCAAGAAGGAGCACATTAAGGTCCTGGAGTGGCCTAGCCAGTCTCCAGACCTTAATCCCATAGAAAATCTGTGGAGGGAGCTGAAGGTTTGAGTTGCCAAATGTCAGCCTCGAAACCTTAATGACTTGGAGAAGATCTGCAAAGAGGAGTGGGACAAAATCCCTCCTGAGATGTGTGCAAACCTGGTGGCCAACTACAAGAAACGTCTGACTTCTGTGATTGCCAACAAGGGTTTTGTCACCAAGTACTAAGTCATGTTTTGCAGAGGGGTCAAATACTTATTTCCCTCATTAAAATGCAAATCAATTTATAACATTTTGACATGGTGTTTTTCTGGATTTTTTTGTTGTTATTCTGTCTCTCACTGTTCAAATAAAAGGATTCTACAAATATGGATATCAAAAAGCTTCCCAGATAGCACATACATTCTGAGAACCATATGTTTCTTGGAGCTTGGTGAGAGCATGGTTGTCCTATGATTATTTTGCATACAACCTTCCCAAAACTTTCTGGGAATGGTGCAGGATAGTTGCTTGGCTTTGGAAAATTCTAAATTTTAAGGAACTTGACAAAAAAAACATTATTTTCTTGGTGTTTCACTACTTTAACAGAATGTTTCCTAAAAGTTCAAACATGGTTACTTTTTATTTAAATGTTGGTAATGTTCTAGGAATGTTCTCCAAATGGTTTGATATTGGGAATGTTCTCAAATTGTTGCGAGAATGTTAAGAAACTTAAGAAACAACTTTCTTCTGTGGGAATTTCAGTACTTCAATATAACGTTTCCTACAGGTTTCCTCATGGTTCCATTTAAAATAATGTTCTCAAATTGTTCCAAGAACATCAAGGAACAACATTCTTCTGTGAGAATTTCAGTACTTCAGCAATTACGTTTCCTACAGGTTTCCTCATGGTTCTATTTAAAGACATGTTCTCAAATTGTTCAGAGAACGTTATGAAAACTTTACATAAAAACCACAAGAACATTCTAAGAATGTTATTTAAAAACATACATTCCGTTTTCAGGACGTGAAGAAAACGTCCCATAAAAACCACAAGAAAACTTTTGTAACGTTCAGAGATTAAAAAAGATTTACATTCCATCCTCAGCATCAACAAAACTCTCTCTATCCTCTATCTTGTTAAGTGTGTTCAGGTGTGTTGGCCGTGCCCACTAATTGGCCACACCTGATCTTAATTAATGAGTGCTTGTTTTCTTTTAAATGGGGTCTGTTTGAATAAACTAAAATAAACAGCTTTGTATGCTTAAAAAGAAAACATGGCATGCTAGCTCCATCCTGGTGGTGCAGTGGACTAATTCTATTGATAAAGAACAGAAGATTATTTACATTTACATCATTTAGCAGACGCTCTTATCCAGAGCGACTTACAAATTGGTGCATTCAACTTTGAATCTCACTCATGGCGTGTCACAATAAAAAAGAAAAGTGTTTGCAAGATAAATGCTTAAGGAAATTCATTTTCATGTGTCCTATCTGTGCTTGGATTTCAAAAAAGTTAACCCACAATAAGCTAGCAGTGTTATTAAGTCTTATTGAAACATTAAGTGAAAGCTTTAAGGAAGTTTTTTAAAAAACTTCAAATAACCGATCATTTCCATTCTCAGAGCTTTAATAAAACCTCCCAGGAAAACTTTCAAGGAACCAGAGTAAAACATTCTCATAACCTCCTTGCAACTTAAAAATAAATGTCCTCAGAACGTTTAAAAAACTTTCAGTTTCACCGGTGAGGAAACATATGGCTTAGTTCCCACAACCAATGTGAAACCAAAAATATAAATTCCTATAACTTCCCAAGGCACCAAATGTGCTAGCTGGGTTAGCAGAGCTCCACGGGGCCATGCATCAGACAGAAACGTCTACAAGGCTCTGTGATAAATGCCACATCTCCAATTCTTCATTTGTATTTATGGTTAGAATATTTTAATATATTGACACTAGCACGTCTAATTTAGGCCAAGGCAGAGTTTCAGAGAAAGATTTAGGAGATGTGCTTCGGAGAGAACAGCAAGGCATTTCCTTTCAATGCTCAGAAACCATAACCAGGGCAGGACAAGGTGGCATAGAGAAACCTCTCAGTCAACGTTGAAGGAAAGAAAAGAAAACAACAACCATGCTTCATCTTTTTCTGAACATATAGATTGAGAGCATAGCCTCCCCAAAAGTGTAGCATAGCCTTTCAAGTTAGAAGTGTATACCCCAAACCATGCAAGTGTGCACCCCAAGTCCTAAAAGTGCATAACTCAAACCCAGCAAATGTACACCAATATATGGCTGGGCAATATATTGTGAATACCCACATACCGGTATGGATTTTTACAATACCGTCTTTAAAGGTATTTTTATACAGTGCTAAATAACGTAAAAGTTCAACAAATTGGACTACTTCACTGTCAGTTTTGTCCTAGTTTGATTGCGAATAAAACCATCAGAATTTGTTGGCCATTCTATGGTCATGCACTACTCCTAAAACTTGTATTATTCAGAAACATAAAATACCATAAAATACCGCCATACCGTCAAAAATGAGAATAATATTGTGAAATGATATTTTGGCCATATCGCCCAGCCCCACACCAATAAGCCCAGCAAGAGTAGGCCTACATCCCCAAGCATTGCAAGTTTAAGACCCAAACCCTGCAAGGGTATACCCCAAACCCTGCCAAGTGTATACCCCAAACCCTGCAAGTGTATACCCCAAACCCTGCAAGTGTATACCCCAAACCCTGCAACTGTGCACCTCATACCCTACAAGTAAACCTCAAGCCCTGCAGTGTATAGGCTATGCCCCAAGTCCTACAGTCTGTATATCCTACACCTGCAACTGTGTACACCTCAAGTCCTGGGCTCTGGCCTGCAACGCCTGTCCCTGCTGAGTGTCAACCAACCCTTGTTGAGACTTTAGTTATATTCCATCCAGAAACCACACCGTGGTCTCAGCAGTGGCAGATGTGCTGAAAAGCGGCGCTTGGTTGTCATGCAAAGCGCTCAGTGGTGCGATGGAAACTTTGCACAGAGAGAGGCAGGTAGCTTAGTGGTTAAGAGCATTGTGCCAGTAACCGAAAGGTCGCTGGTTCTAATCCCCGAGCCAACTAGGTGAAAAATCTGCCGATGTGCCCTTGAGCAAGGCACTTAACCCTAATTGCTCCTGTAAGTCGCTCTGGATAAGAGTGTCTGCTAAATGACTAAAATGTAAATATAGAGTCCAGGGCCTGAGAGCAGTGAACTGCGGGGTGTGCTTCAGTAGAAAAGCAGAGATACAGGGTTACACCATGTAGCTGTGGCAAAAGACTAAAATAAGGAAGAGCATGGCCTCCAATAGTAGCTCCAGTAGCCTGTATCTTACAGCACATCGGTAACACTTTATTTAAGGGTCCATAATAAACCATTTACAAGGCATTTAAAAACAGTTTGCTCACCATTAAAAAAAAAAACATTACTCCCACATCTGTAAATGTTAGTAAGTTAGTTATTCACACACATATATATGTTGTGTGTCTATTCTTTTACCAGGTACTGCAGGAATGTCTACCAATGGCCTGCCCATCTTTTGGTGAGAAATTACACTGGTCACTCAAAACATTTATAAAGTACACATAAAGTATAAATAGCGCTCACTTAAGATTAGGGACTGTAAAAAAAAAACGTATGTATACTTATAATTACGAATGATTAATAAATGGTTTATAAATGGTTTATTACAAACCCTTAAACTAAAGTGTTACCAGCAACTCCTCTAACTCAGGCTGTACAATGGAGTCAATGACTGGTTAACACTTTGAATGTGTCCCAGAGAGTATCTGGGCGTCTGACCCCCTTTGTTCGCAGCCTCTGTTACGCCCAAGGGCTTGTTGCATATCATCCCATAGGTCGGTTGCGTATTGAACGCAAGTGGGTCAAACTAGTCAATACAGCATGGTTTTGGGACAATGTTCTCATGAACAATTTAGGACACGTCTCATACAACGTGTGTTTCGTACCTGTCATTCCTTCGTTTCCTGTGGGTTCCGAGCACTCCATTCCACTCTCTGAGTTCTTCTCTGGGGCCTCCTCTTCCTCTCCCTGTGTCTGCCCTGCCTCTTCTCCTCCCTCCTCCTCCTCTGCCTGTGGCCTCTCATCTGTCACAGCGCTGCTAATGTCTGTGAAGAGACCATCACCATCTTAGTCTTTAATACAGAGCCTAACACACATCTCAAACCGTATACGTTTTTTTGGCCACCATTTTTCTTTTGTAAGTCAACTTATGACCATTGCACTATGCACAACATCCTTTTTGCAACAATAAAGATTATTAGCCTACGGTATGGAATGTAAGTCTTATAGTGAAAGTTCTAAGTTGAAAAAAGCTGTCATACCCATCGTTTCATCTTGTGATGACTTGAGCTCTTGTTTTTCCTCTGTGTTCATCTTCAATGATTCTATGTGGAAATAAAACACAAAAGAGGCAGTGCGTCAATCAACCCATTACTGAAAAAGTTAACATTTACCTCAGAAAGTTCTAAATCAGTTATTATATGTGAAATAATAATAATTTAATTTAGCATATTCCCATGGAATTAGTGACTTTTCATGCAAGACTACTTGAACAGCAATATACTTTCACAAGCCATTAAATAGGGCATACTCAATGCAATATGTACATAAATTCAAACATTTAAGTGAAAATAATGGTGAAAACTACTAAATAAATGTGTGGCTAATTGTTCATGCATGGTCCATTGCTCAACCCTAGCAGTTCATTCAAATGAAGAAGAAAAAATATGACGTTCACTGAACATGCATTTCCTGCCAAGTTGATGCAAATAGAAAACTGTGAAAGAGACATCCAACTCCTACGGCAATTTAGCCATACTATTCTCCAGAATATTATTTTATTTTCAACAGAAAAGACACCTTGCAATTGAAGTAGTTAATTTATTTGACAAAATTAAGCCCTATTTCTCCCAGCACACTTACATCTGTTTTTGAGGATAAATTAAAACTAATAGTTGATGCTTAAAATAATATAAAACTCTCTCATTATCACAAGACTTATAGAATTGTAGCTAAATGCACCTATTTTAATGTGAACTATTCTGTTTTTATACAGTAGGCCTATCTTCCTATTCACATTCCCTATTCCTATGAAAAATATGTTTAATTCAAGGAAGACAACAGCAGCTTTCATAATCTCTTTTTAAAATGTCTTACCTGTATGTATCTTCCACCTGATATTGAAGCGTTCACGTGCAGTTTTAAATTCACCTGTCTCTCCCGCCGTTCAGATTCCCTTCTCCGCCACTGGAGAGGCTCGCGGTATGGAAATGCCAAAGTTGACTACGCTAATCTTTGGAGACCGTCTTAAAGGAACAGGGACTGATTTTTACCATAACGAAGTGATGGAAATACTTTGTAATAGTATAAGGAAGATGAGACTGAAGACATTTTAAGAATGGACGTGAAGTGAAACTGTTTAAGTGGCAAATATGCATTATACATTTATGCGTGGTTTTATCATTATGATATGAATAATTACGATCGATCAAAACAGGATATTACAGTGGATGTTCAACGACGGCTCCATATAAGATACAAGTAGCCCTCCTTGTGGCCAAAGACTGCTACTGCCTCCTCTTTCCATTTAAAGTGTTTTTGTGAATGAATCCCTGCCAAATATTTAATAATTTGCCAGTAAGTCTATCCACTGATTGCATGAATAGACCATGACCAAGCATGGTAATGCTTTCAGAATAAACTTTTGTTTGGGTAATGGATAATGATGCATTCAAGTGAAGTGCTGTGGTCGACCGGTTCAAACACAGCCTTTTGTTCTGTCTACCACAGGTAGCCTTTTGGTTATAACGGGATCGTTGCTTTATATTTTCAATTTTTAAATAGGCATATGGATTGTAATTATGGATAACCCACTGACAGCTCTGATACTAGTTGCTGGGTTTGACTGAATGATAGTCAGGTTTTCTATAGCCTGACTATGTGTGTGAATATGTGCTTTTTAGAGTAGTGGCATTGGACATTTCAGACTAAAACAGAGCAGCAAAAAGTGCTTTACTGCAGCTAGGGACATGCGATCAGGTGTGTGTGTGTGTATTGTAGGACACTGACTAACAGAATCACAATCTTATCTGGAAATTTGCTGTAAGGGCTGATGCAGACCGCACATTACTGACTCACCCCCTTTCCCGGCCTCATTGCTAACTAACCACCAACTGACCCAGGCAGCACCCAATGTTGTATCCCTGTCTCTCAAACACATACACATCACACACACACACACACACACAAACACGCACACGCACACACTCACACCTCATAAATGGCACACCACTTATCCAGCAGGTTGAGCTCACTACAGTTGGCCTTATTATTTCAGGAGAGATGGCAGACCAATAAACACCTCCACTGATGACACCTGTGGATTTCTCTACCGCTGTTACAGTACAGGCTTATTCACAATCCAGTTGACATGCCAAAACTAAACAGTTGAAGAAAGGTTTTGTGGTACTATTTGTGTTCTAATATTGTACTAATTTCTTATTCATTACTTAACGGCCCCTATACCAAGAGACTTGGATAGGTATTACAAAAGGTATTACCAAAAAGCAATAATGGGTAATGTGGGGATTTGTACTGAATATCAGTGAGGCCCACTACACCAGTAAAGAGGACAACTAATGTAGTCCAAAATGCAAAATACTTAGATTCACTGTGCGAGACTAGACGTTGATATCTTGCAGAACGCTGAGACATTTGTTGCATGCCCCTGTTGTTTTCTGCTCATTTATCAAGAGAGGGAAGGAAGGAATCTCATTGCTAACAACACGTAGCACCCACCTGAGTGGTACTACACTGCCTAGTGAGGTTTGGCCCACGGCCCATTGCCCAGCCTATGACAGCAGGCCACCAGCCTGAAGAATGAAAAAAAAGAGTGAAGTAAAGCACACAAAGGCATTACAATACATGCTGGGTTACCATGGTAAAATACAAGCAGAGGAACATAAAAGAGAATTGGCGTCGTCCCAGCGCTCTGTAAGCCTTGGAACCAAATTGTTGTGAATGAGAAAGAGCCTGGACACACACATATACACACACATATACACACACAAAATACACAGACACTAACACACACGTAGGTGACCTACTAATTTACATTCTCTAATTTACAAACACACACCCACAATCGAAACACTCCCAGCTAGCAGTGTAGTTCAAAGTTAGCTGGCGAAGCCCTCTGTGGGAGAGGGGAGGCTTTTTTAAGACCTGTGGGGGCAGGGCTACCACATGGAGGGCACTGTCCATTTGCCCTTTTATAGCTGCCCCGCACAGCTAGTTGGAGAGAGAGAGAGATAGAGAGAGAGAGAGAGAGAGAGAGTTTATTTCACTTTTGTTTATTATCTATTTCACTTGCTTTGGCAATGTAAACATATCTTTCCCTTGCCAATAACGCCCCTTGAATTGAATTTAATTGAGAGAGAGAGAGAGAGAGAGAGTGACTAAAGGGCAGATTAAAAGGGAGGAAAAGAGGGATGCTGGTGCCACACACACACTGGCCACACTAACCAAGGCCATGTGCAGGAAAGGGACATGAGGTTGCCCATGCTTTGTTATTTCAACAATGCTTTGTCATTATCTGGAGGTGTATGTGTGTGTCTTTGTGAAAGAGAGTTTAAGATGGTATGGAAGTGATGTTTCTTTATACCCTTTCTGTGTATGTGAATGCCTTTTATTGCGAGTGAGAATAATAGCTTTCCAGATACGTTTTTCTCTCTGTGTGTGTTTGTGTGTCAGTGTACAAGTGCATGTTCATGCTAGTGTGTATTTAGAGAGAGAACGAGAGAGGGGGGGGGTAGTGAGAGAGAGAGAGAGAGAGAGAGAGAGAGAGAGAGAGAGAGAGCGAGAGGGGAGAGTAGAGGTTAGTGCTTCAAGGCAAGCTATTGTAATGATGTGAGTTAGCAAATTTTTGTGTACACAGTCATTGTGTTAGGGTGAAGGTGCTGCCAGCTCTTGAGTCTGTACGTGAGAGAGGAAAAGGCTTTAGTTACATATTTTGTCCCTGTGATTCTGTGTTATTAAGGGACAAAAAGTGAAATACTCATTGTGTGAATATTCAACACAGGGAAAGAGAGAGAGAAAAAGTGAGAGTGGGATAGAGAGAGTGAACGTGTGTGTGTGTGTATGTGTTAGGAAGAACGGGTGAGAGGGTGATTCAGCCCAGTCTTTCTTCCCTGCAATTCTGTGTGAGCATTCAAGATTGAGAGAGAAAAAGTGAGGGAGAGAGTATGTGTGTGTGTGTCTGTGTGTGAGAGCATGAGTGAGAGACAGCAAGAGAAAAAGAGAGAGTGAGGGAGAGAGAGAGAGAGAGAGCGCTTTAGCCTGGCATTTCTTCCCTGTGCCTTTCAGCTCCTCTCCCCCTGAAGAAGGAGGCGTGTCCATTGGCCAGCAGTATAAATTCCAAGAGGAACCACTTGTGTAGAGCCATTCTCAGGAGCAACCCATTGCACTGCACACCAGTGGAAGAGGAAATTGCTACTCGACTTGAAAAACGTGTGTTTTGATGCCCCTTCCCTACACCTGGACATTGGCAAACAGACTTTTTGTCTTTGCACTATAAGAGGCCTCATGGGCTCTGTGTGAATTCTATTTGAAGGGAGAAAGACTCACCTGAATAGACCAGTGGACATCCGTTGGTGCATTTGTTCTACTTCCCAACATATGAAAAACCACTTTGTGCGACTCAAAGACTTAAAGACTTTCGCCGCATGGGAGAGCAAGGACTAGATATTTAACATTCTTTGATCTACCTGCATTCTTTTTCCACAACATCCTAGGACTAGGAAATTCAGCGTAAGAAAAGACGAGGTTAAACAGCAGGGGCATTGTGTTCCAACTCCTGCCAAAACCCCTGCCACCCGAAACACCAACCAGCGGGCAACATCAAAGACCAAACCCTCCATCCGACCTCCCTCCTCCTCCTTACCCTCCAAAACTAAAGCAGAGACCAAACAGTTGTGGGTGAGAGAGCAGAGAAACAGCAGGAATACTAACAAACGAACTGCGGGAAAGTGCAAGAGAAATCAAGGGCAAAGGTTTGAGATCACGCCTTCAGAACTGCCATGGTGCGAGGTGGCGGTGCGGCTATAGCGCCGCCCTGTTGGGGCCTGTGGGCGGTGGGCGCCCTTTCGCTGGCGACGCTGTGCCTGACAGAGGAGGCCATCCGCTGCCCCGTGTGCTCCGAGGAGCGGCTGGCCAGCTGCCAGCTGCCTGATGGCAGCTGTGAAGAGACGGTGAGGGAGACGGGCTGCGGCTGCTGCCCCACCTGCGCCCTAGCCAAGGGGGCGCACTGCGGCGTCTACTCGCCCCGCTGCGGCACGGGGCTCCGCTGCTACCCGCCACGGAACGTGGAGAGGCCCCTCCACTCGCTCATGCATGGCCAGGGAGTGTGCACCAATGAGAGGGACGTGGAAGAGAACTCAGGTGAGACAAGAGGGAAGGAATGGTTGCGGGCTACCGGTATCTTTAACGTTTGTCCACTGATGTGGCTGTATGTGCAGGTGGCATCACTGTGGTCACCCTCCGTTTAAAATGGGTGCTGCATTATGTTATCCCACCTTATTTCTTCAGTGGTTACTTCTGTTGTGGTCCGACACTCCATCTTGTATTTTAGGCTACTGTACTCAACATTCTTAGTGGCGCTCTGGCATGCCTACCCAGAATTAGGACATGTGTGTGTATGAGAACATCGCCACCTCAACAGTACCCTCAGTCGTTTTCCAGGTTAGTACTGTATATAATAGGATGTAACTGTAAATCAAGCCTGGCGGACTGGTTGGCATCTCTCTCACACTCTCTCTCCCTCTCTCTCCCTCTCTCATGTTGGATCATAGCCGGTCCGGTTGGACCATACGCAGTTAAGAGGGCCAGGCCAGGGTGCCGGGGCTGGGCCAGAGTGCTCTCTTCCTGCTCCATGCTCTTACCTGAGCTGGGGAGGGTGTGACAATGTGCTGCTTGTTTGCTCTAATCTCCGCTAAGCCTCGGCCCAGAGCACACACACCAGCTCGTCACGCACGGCCTGACGTGAGAGCACACAGTCCCCCCGCTGTTTTGGCGCCCGGCCGTACACAGTAAAAGGGCACCTTCTGCCTTAGACAGAGCAGAAAAGGTTTCGGTCAGAGAGAGATTCACTGTGGGGATAGTATGGCTGGGCGTGTGTGTGTATGGATGTATCCGTGCTCTGTGTGTGGGTTTGTATCTGTATGCATGTGTTTTTGCGTGTGTGTTCAGTGTGTATGTGTGTGTGTGTGTGTGTGTACGTACGTACACTATATATACAAAAGTATGTGGACACCCCTTCAAATTAGTTGATTCGGCTATTTCAGCCACACCCGTTGCTGACAGGTGTCTAAAATCGAGCACACAGCCATGCAATCTCCATAGACAAACATTGGCAGTAGAATGGCCTTACCGAAGAGCTCAATGACTTTCAACATGGCATCGCCATAGGATGCCACCTTTCCAACAAGTCAGTTTGTCAAATGTCTGCCCTGCTAGAGCTGCCCTGGTCAACTGTAAGAGATGTTATTGTGAAGTGGAAACGTCTAGGAGCAACAACGGCTCAGCTGCGAAGTGGTAGGCCACACAAGCTCACAGAATAGGACCGCCGATGCGTGTAGCGCATAACAAATCTGTCCTCGGGTTGCAACACTCACTACCGAGTTCCAAACTGCCTCTGGAAGCAATGTCAGCACAAGAACTGTTCGTCGGGAGCTTCATGGAATGGGTTTCCATGGCCGAGCAGCCGCACACAAGCCTAAGATCACCATGCGCAATGCCAAGCGTCGGCTGGAGTGGTGTAAAGCTCGCCACCATTGGACTCTGGAGCAGTGGAAACGCATTCTCTGTAGTGATGAACATCTGGCAGTCCGATGGACAAATCTGGGTTTGGCAGAAGCCAGGAGAACATTGCCTGCCCCAATGGATAGTCTAACTGTAAAGTTTGGTGGAGGAGGAATAATGGTCTGGGGCTGTTTTTTATGGTTCGGATTAGGCCCCTTAGTTCCAGTGAAGTGAAATCTTAACGCTACAGTATACAATGACATTCTAGACTATTCTGTGTTTCCAACTTTGTGGCAACAGTTTGGGGAAGGCCCTTTCCTGTTTCAGCATGACAATGCCCCCATGCACAAAGCGAGGTCCATTTGGAAATGGTTTGTCGAGATCGGTGTGGAAGAACTTGACTGGCCTGCACAGAGCCCTGACCTCAACCCCATCGAACACCTTTGGGATGAATTGGAACGCCGACTGCGAGCCAGGCCTAATCGCCAAACATTGGTGCCCGACCTCACTAATGCTCTTGTGGCTGAATGGAAGCAAGTCCCTGCAGCAATGTTCCAACCTCTAGTGGAAAGCCTTCCCAGAAGAGTGGAGACTGTTATAGCAGCAAAGGGGGGACCAACTCCATATTAATTCCCATGATTTTAGAATGAGATGTTCGACGAGCAGGTGTCCACATACTTTTGGTCATGTAGTGTCTGTGTGAGTGTGAACTGAATGTGAATGTGTGAGAATGCATTATATGTGTATTTGTATGTAGTTGTGAGTGTATGCATGAGTGTATTGATGTAGCTGGTGGGTGTATGCACCATATGTGTGAATGAATGTCCATCTCTGTGTGTCTCCTGTTATTGATCTCAGCATGGTGGTCATGCATGTGTATGTGTGTGTGTGTTTGTGGATGTGTGTGTGTGTTTGTGTGTGTGTGTGTGTGTGTGTGTGTGTGTGGGTGTGTGTGTGTTTAATGAGAGGAGGTAATAAAAGCTGCCTGTCTGCCTGTATGAAATGACTCTGTAATGGAGTGTGGCCAGTCTCAGGCTATTAGATCTCTCTGCAATCAGTAATTCATTCTCACTCTCTTCATGGCCCCCATTCCTCCTCCTCCTCTTCACTGGCACTGCAGATGTCTGACTGACTGACTCCCCTTTTACTGGAGATGTCTTGTTCACTTCTCTCGGCAGACATCTTGATTCAACTCCTGTCTTTTTCCTCTTACGGTAGTCACATTCTTCTTCCTACTGCAGCAGCAGAGGTCTGGTTCCACTTTAACATCTAATACTGTATGTCTTATCTGCTATTCCTGTTTCATCTTATTCTTCAGATGGCAACAGACTCTTTTTTTGTTCTTCTGTAGCAGATGAAACTGTTCCTCCTCTTTTATTCTTCCTCTTCCCTTCCAAAGCAGGGGGAAACTCGTAGGCAGTTTTTCACAGTGCCGATTTCCATTATGCCAAATAAGTTTGGTAGCGATCGTAAAAGCGCACCGCGAACGAAGCAATTCTCTCATTTGTTCCAGATCTCATCCACACTGATTGTTCCAACATTGCTTCTTCCACCAGCATCACTGCTGCCGGGACCTCAAATGGTTTTTGGTAATGGCAGTGAACTATCTCCCAGTGCCAAGCAGCACAGCAAGGCAAGACTTTGGACAGACTTGAACAGCTCTCAACTTCCAGGCTGCGTCTGCAATGGCACCCTATTCTCAGGGCTCTGGTCAAAAGTAGTGCTCTACTTTAGGGAGAATAGGTTGCCATTTCAGATGCACTTCCAGAGACTCAAGTCTCCAGTCGTCTCTAGCACTGCTGCATCTGTTTCCCCCTGGGCCTGGGTGAGTTGCTGCTCCTCTCCCCCCCCTGCCTCGGAGCGCATCGCGCACCGTCCAGCTCCGCTAGGATGAGCTCATCGGCACGCTTGCTGCCAGAGCAGAAATGAGAGCCTTCTGCTCTTAGAGCGAGGCCAGCCTAGGTTAGGCCAGCACATTGCTTGACTAAACGGAATCAGAGAGAGGGGGAAAGCTGTTTAGTGCATGATAAAAGGTTGACTGTCTTGGTTTTGGCTTCGTACCGTCCTCTGCATTGCTTAATCTGGCTGAATGTTTTTCCCTGAACATTGTTTACTGAATAACTTCGCCATCCATGCCATTATGTTGTCCGTTTGAGGCGAGCAGCGCTGAAGCAGAAGTGGGCTAAAGTGTGAAGGTTAAGCGGTTTGGGAGTTCTGGTAAACTCTCTCAACAAACTCTCTGGTGCATGGGGTTTCAAAGGCGTTGCACTGAAGTGTTGATGTAAGACTTATTGAGTAGGGCTACTTTGCTTTATGACAGGACCCGGGGGGGGTCAACCAAAGCTCAACACTGAGATAGTGGGATTCCAGAACATTGAAAACAAAACGTCCAAACATTTCGACACCATTTAGCATTTCATCAATCGCTGACACGTTTTGTTTTCAATGTTCTGGAATCCCACTATCCCAGTGTTGAGCTTTGGTTGACCCCCCCCCCCGGGTCCTGTCATAAAGCAAAGTAGCCCTACTCAATAAGTCTTACATCAACACTTCAGTGCAACGCCTTTGAAACCCCATGCACCAGAGAGACAGGAAGAAAAGGGAAAGAGAGAGAGAACAGAGAGAGAGGAAGAGAGAGGTAGGAAGAGAAAAACTCAAGCCACAAGTATACGAGTTCCTTTGTGGCACATTTGCCAGGTTTATCCATTATTAAACCGAGGGGTACATCTCCTTGAGACGCTTCCCGCACTGCCCCAGACCTAGCAACAGTGAACGTGCCTGATAAAAATAGAAGAGGGTTTTAAAAAAATATTTTACGGATTCCCAAAGAAAAGGACACCGTAGGGAGAAGTGTATGACTGATTCTGAATTAACAACACATGTACAGATGAAATACTACCATCATGCAGCAGTCCAAGAGACTGCAATGCTCCCTCATATCCCAATCAAACGGTCAATACTCAGACAATATAACATTTCCTACGTTTTGTAAATAAACTTTTCTCAAAGCTAGCCTACCATTTCAATGGACCGATGCACAGACCATTTAAATCTGATGAATACATGTCCAGATGCAATCTACTGTACACCTTCTGTCACTTTCCTTTGTGAAATACATATGGATACAATGTCCTGGATTGTCCTCTCAATTGAATCAAGTTGAAAGCTACAGTATTCGTAAACTCAATTTCCATAGCAACTGTAAGTACTAGAATACATTCTGCATATTATCATGTCCTGCAGGTCTAATGCAGTTCCTTAAAACCAGATTCTTAGAAACGCTCTCTCAATTCTAATTCTTAGAAATTGTTATGTGGGCTTGAAATCCATTCAAACATTCCGACTGGGTCTCCCTTGGTGTCATATTCAAATGCTTCACTAACCTTTAAAACTTAGAAATGTATAGTATTTACAAGCAGATACAGATGTCAATGGAAAAGTCATTACTGTCATAAGGTGTTGCGAATGCCATTCATGCTGGTTTGAAGCTTACATACGTGTGTCTGATGTACTGTATGTAGAGTATCTGCATTTTAGGCTGGCCTATCGGTGGCACTTCTGGTCAACCATCTGTTCTTGTCAACCATCCACAACTCCTGTTCTTCTTATGATGTGAGGAAAACACTTGTCTGTGTGCTCACTGGAATTTTGAAACGGATTAAATAATTTCTCTGTGGCCGATGAGGATCTGTTGGGAATAGGGCAAACCAATTGCAGATGTCCCTGATGACATGTTTTGGTCCTTATTATTTGTTTACTTTGAGTATTTATCCCATTTGCAGCAGAACTCAGTAAATGTGATTAGCTAATTGCTCCCTCCATGGAACAATGGATCTAGGACCCCCTCCTGGTGTTGGAGCTGTGGAGACAGAGATACACAAACAAACCAACTGATGCTGAGTAACAACACAGAGCGATGATGAGCGCTCACTAGCTGGTCATAAAATTAAAATACGCCTAATCCTCGGAGCACAGTGAATTCAAAGTCCCTCATAAACTGTGTGAGTTCATGTGTGAACGTATTAAACAGCAACCGCAGCAACATGCTTTGTTTGGAAACATCCCATGCAAACACTGATATTACAAACATCTGGCAGGGGATTCAGCCAATGGTGCATTGTTTGAACAATCGTTCATTAATTTTGAATTAAGCCTGTTGTATGTATGTATGCACAGTTTGCACACTAAACATGTAATTTATTAATTCAATGACTCACTTATCTAATGATCCAGAGACTAAAATATACTGCAATTAAAATGTGCTTAATCACTATGAACAATGTTACTATTGGCATGAGTAGTGTGTTTGCTGTAATGTTTTTTGTTGTTGTATTTTCGTGCATGATCCAGTTTTTTGGGATATTCTTACTGTATATGAGCAAAAACAACCCATACCTACCAGTAATTATGGTTCAGTTCTTATTTCATGGATAATTCATTTTGGCCCACTTTTGTGGGGTACCTACCTCTATTTATGGCTGCTACATGGTTTTAGCAGGAAGTCAAATGAAAGTTGAAGAAAGAAAGGGAAGGGCAGTTTTGAACACAGCCCTTTTTATTGTAATGATGTCCACATGTATTATTTTACAGTATAGAAATATGTCACACAAAGCACTTTTCTATGGACCAATAAGCTTAAAATACCCTAAAAAAGTGGAGGGTAACACTTTAGTTAAACACATTGTACACATTCTTGCTAATGCCAGCTTACATAAAGAGCAATGAGTTGACATAGGATATGCAGTGGGAGACAAATTGTGTCAAACGTGCACTATTTACATTTAAGGGTGCCAAACGCCCACTGTCTCCTCACCCAGATTTCCACTGATGCAATGACGGCTGACGATAAGCATCTCGCTAGCTGACATACTATATAGTGTAACAAAGTCCAGCCTACGGAGCCATACATGTCCCCCAGGACAGTGTTGAGACTAGTTCACATGCTCCATCCAGACTCCCAGTGACAGCTGCAACTGGAACATTGGTGTTCCATGCCACTCTCTGAACCTCTGTGGGCTGGGGGCTGGGAGTGGGAACGCACCACCAACACTCATTGGAAGAAGGTTAAGTCAGAGCAAAGTACTGAAAAATGGTTTGCAACTCGGTCGGTTGCAGACTAGTCTGCGCTAATTCAATATGATGGAAGATGACGATGGTTTGAGGGACCCAGATGCTCTTGAACACACATTAACTTTACATGAACCTCCCTGTTGACATGTTCATGGCCTTTGGTTTTTAAACGCTGTCAAAACAGAGGGAAATCATAGAACCTTTATCAGAACAGTCTTAAAATCGAGTCCTTCTTTATCTTGGCTATGCACCTGTGGCTGGGCTTGGATGCGAGTGCATACTGCACACTGTCCATACTTGTGTTCTTCATCGTAACTCTTGACAAAGGAATCTAGCTGAAATGGTTGGCCCTGGCTTTTTTTCTGTTTATTTAACATTATGATTTTTTATTAAAAGAAGATTATACTTGGATTATTTTCCTGGAGTGCGTCCCCCCTTTCTATTCTTCCTCATAGCAGCCTGCCTTGTGCCTAAGCCTGTCTGTGTTTGAAACTGAGATGTTGATACAGTCCTCCCGAAACCACACAATGAAGCAGCAGCTTCCTCCCCAGAGAAAAGCAGTGGCAGCAAACAGGACATGGCACCCCTGACCCACTTTTAAATAATTTTGTGCTTGTGTGAAATGGCACTCCAAAGGAGCATGGATTCGGCAAACCGCTAAATGGCAAAAGAGAGAAAGAACAATTTACAGGGAGACGGGAAAACAGCTGAAGTCGTGCTGGGTCTGGCGGAAAGTGCTGATGAGTAAGGCCAACAAAAACATACAAACAGAGACACTTCCCCCCGGTCGGCAGAGCACAGCCTGTCAATCAACTTCAGAGCAACTCCCTCACCTCAACCTCATGTAGAGAGGTACAGTATAGAAATGTAAACCACTCGTCTCATGACTAAAATATGACTAGAATAGCTAAAGGCAAAACCCTTTACCCCAAGTCTGAAACAGGCAAAGGTCACCGTACCTCACGAGTAGGCTAGTCTATCCGTTGTTCAATAACAAAAATAACTTCACAACAAAACCTGTTGAAAGCTAATTGCCATTTAATCCTAATTACAGGGTGAATTCCCTTGGAAAACTGGAAAGGTCAGAGAGAGCAATGCCTTCACATTGCATAAGATCTGACTATGAGAGAAAGTAGGCTCCCAAAAGCAACGCTGACATGAGATGCCGTTCGTGCTTTGATCTTTCCAGTGATCTGACAGACAAAGCTCACGGCCAGGCTCTGGGTGCTATAGTTGCAGTGCCAACCCATGAAATGCCACAGGTCACAACCAGATCAGCAAAGAACAGTTGGTGGGGGAATAACTTGTTTGGGTTACCAACCTACCCTGTAAAGCCCTCCACACTCCATACGTTTGCCCACCGGCACCTCGTGACACTGCAAAATACCCTCTTACAATCTCCATCTGGCACAGTAAGGGTTTATTCTGCTGTAGGGGAGGGGGGTGCACTTTCCTGAGGAAACAGCTGGCTGTCTGCAGGGCCAAAGAACTGGAGGATTATTGTAAGGTAAATGTGGCACAGGCCACAATGGGTGGGCAAGCAGTGAGGAGAGAGGGGGTGGTAATTTAAAATGCATCAATAGCTCTCCTTGGCAGAAGTATGGTGCCAGTGGTTAAACAAAGACCAAGAGAGCTGAGGTCCAAATTGGGTCAGATCAGTGATATACTGTAAATGACATACATTATATTATACATTTTCATGCAATCAACAAATTGCATAAAGTCTCTGAGAGGTGGTGTAATTGACAGAGAATCTTGTCAAAAATGGCATGGTCTATTGTTTTAACTGTTGTGTTGTGACACGTATGAGTTGCGACACGTATGAGTTGCGACGGGTTGGGATTGCGATTCTGTGTAGGTTATAGCTCTAGAGGTTTCCCTTGTAAAAGAGGTATATTGACATTGATGGGACTTGCAGGATAAATAACGTTTTAAGTAAAATGTCTGTGACTTGTAGTGTTGTGACTCAATGTTAACTCGTGTGTCCCACAGCGATGGAGAGACAGGATGAGATCATCCCTGAGCACCCCAATAACAGCAACATCCGCTGCAGTCCCCAGGACAAGCGCTGCATCCAGAAGACCCTGGCCCGCCACCCCGCCAAATCCACCAATCAGAGAAGCAACAACGCCAGGGAGGACCCAAAGGCTGCCCTGGTGAGAGCACCAACCACCGTTCACATCAGTATAGGAAAAGATTACACATAAAGATTACGTATAGGAAAATATTACATACGCACATTTAAAGTCTTTGAGCAGGTGCTGGGATATTTAAAAAAAATGTCACCCCATAACTTTCAACTAGAGTCTAGTTGAGTCTAGTTACTAGACCAACACAGGTCTAACTCATTCCACCTGTCTTCCTCAGGCTCCATGTCGTGCTGAGCTGCAGAGAGCGCTGGACAGACTGGTGTCCAATACTCGCACTCACGAGGATCTCTACAGCATCCCCATACCCAACTGTGACAAGAACGGAGACTTCCATGCCAAGCAGGTTTGTCGACTAACAAGCAGTCATTATCACACTGTTATCTATATTATGCACTATTCATGAAGGAATCCTTGACGTACTCTGAAATGGCAGCTTATTTATCACCTATATAGTGCACTAATTTTAACCAGAGCCCTATTGGGCACTACCAAAAAAGTAGACCACTATAAGGAATATTGTGCCGTTTTGGATGCAGACATTTATCCAGGTAGTCTGTGGAGAAGGTCTTTAGCAAGGGAGATCCGATCGTCTGTCATTCACTCTGTCTGGTTTCAGACAGGCACATACGAACACACTTGTTTTACTGCGCAAACAATCCCGTCTAATTTCGTAACGGCTCTATTAGCCAAAACACAAAATGTGCGTGTAACAGTATTGTTTTATGTGAGCATTTTCTCCTGCCAAGACTCCACATCTTCAGGCAAGCAAAGTGATTTATCAAAGGAAAATCGAGCTGAACCGTGTACGTACAACACAACACAGTGGTTAACCTAAAATGTTTGACAGTAATCGCTTCATTGCTGTGATGGATGTCATTAGCTTTTCGAATGAATTATTTCTTGCTATGTCTGAAATGGGCAACTTTGTAGATAAGACTGGGAAGAATCTTAGAACATGGAGTCAGATAAGGCTTGTTGCTCTGTAGAGCTGAATACGCTACAAAGCAACAGGCGTAGCAGAGTCAGTCAGTGATGAAAGGCTTACCCTGCCAAGGGCATCAGAGTCTGGGGTTAGGCTCGATTGTGTAACTCAGTTAAAGTACCCTTGTCTGCTCTTTATAGTGTGTCAAAGGCATCTGTTTACTGTTTAACTATAATTGCACTATGGTAGAACTCTACGGCACCATTTGTGAGCATAACTAAGGTTATGAGAGGTCATCTGGCAACTTTTCATTGCACAGGAGGAATCTCAATAGGAAAGTTGAGCCAGGCTGATGGGTTGTTTCAAAACCACCCCAGGCAATGTAGAGATACTAATCATTCAGTGGTTGTGAGTCATCCAACTTGCGGTTTCTATTACATTGATCCATGTTCACACTGCTGAGATTGAGGGGCTTGAGAAAAAGTTAATAACTAAGGGAACAATGTCGAATATAACAGTGGTTTGAATTTTAAGGTACCTCAGGTTTGAATTTTAAGGTACCTTAAAGATGGAATCCGCAGTAGGGGGAAACATCGCAACTGGCCACCCCAACACCGTTGTTATTGTTTTAGTTTTCGTTTCTGAGCTGAGGAGCGTCGTGCAACATGGGAAAAAAATAATTGCAGTACATATTGCGCTCTTCTATCGCGCGTGCAATGATGTCCGAGGGGGACAAAAAGTGTTTGTTTTTTGCAGGATCTAAGTGCTATAACAAACTGCATACCTTATGCCAGAGTCCCCGCGGTTTTTCTGAGCGAAGTTTTCTGAGCCAAAAATATATATTTAGTTGTTAGACATAAAAGACTATAAAGTCACCAGGAAATCAGCTCAAAGTGATTTTAATTTAGAAAATCTGTTCCCAAGTATTCCCATGCATAAATAGAGAGGCATATGTGATCGTATCGCAATGTAATCAAGGTTTGAAATGATTCTGTTTTTGTCAAATACTATATCTGTTTGGGATTCTTGCACCCAATTTGCAGTGTACAAATTATTTATAACTATGACCAATTGGCCCAAGGCTGAATGTATTTGGGGACCCCTGCCTTATGCCATCTATCTATATCATATCCCTACAGTAACAACTAAGTGTTCTTACTTCCTATCATGCAACAAGTGCCATTTGGCTTCTGAGTGATACCTGTCTTGTTTCTTGTGTCTACAGTGCCAGCCAGCGCGTGACGGGCAGCGGGGAAAGTGCTGGTGTGTAGACCAGAAGACGGGCATGAGGCTGCCGGGGCCCCTGGAGCTGCGGGGGGAACTGGACTGCCACCAGCTAATGACTGCAACCATGAGAGAGTGAGGAGGGGACCGGCGGGGCTCCCGGGGGGGGGGCAGGGTTTAGGGCCAGCCAAATTCTACTTGTGCTGATTAGTTACAACTATGGAAGGAAAGGACTTAACCCTAAAGCCTCACTTCACCTGAGGCCAACGGTACTTGTTGAATATGAAAAAGATGAAAGGAAACCATAGAATTTTGTTGAATTTTACTATTGTTTGTTTCCGTGTGTGAGTCTGTATGCATCTTTTTGAGCACGTGTGTGTTTTGATTCTGTGAAGTTAGGCAGGCTCTTGCTTTAAATAACAGGTGGCAAACAACAGGCCCCCTGTTAACATTCTTCTCAAAACAGGACAACATTGGTTTTGTTTAGTCTAGTTGAACTCTGATTTCCATCTCTTAGCATCTTTGAAACAAAAAACATAAAAACTTTATGCATGAGTTAAGTGTCCTAATATGGCTCACCATCGACCATTTAGCAGCAGCTGTAGAAGATAATGAATATTGGGAGTGAGAGAGAGAGAGAGAGAGAGAGAGAGAGAGAGAGAGAGAGAGAGAGAGAGAGAGAGAGAGAGAGAGAGAGAGAGAGAGAGAGAGAGAGAGAGAGAGAGAGAGAGAGAGAGAGAGAGAGAGAGAGAGAGAGACAGAGAGAGAAGCAACCAGAGTCTCCCTGCTTTGAATTACCAATTGATGATAAACCGCAGCTTTTCACAACATTTGGAGACATGAAGTGAAAAGAGAGATTACTTTTGAAAGAATAAACTGTACCTCTGAGAGGAGCCGAGAATAGATGTGCTTTATCGCTATCCCCCCCTTCTCTCCCTCCTCTTCGCATCGCCCCTTCTCTTTGACTGGGAGCTCTCTCTCTGGCTTATTTGTCCAGGGGGACTGGCAGCATAGCTGGGCTCAGAACTCTGTACACTGCTGATAGGATAATCTTGTTTCTCCAGCTGGGGCTGAAGTGCTAAGACGCCAGTGCTGCTGCTCTCATGTTTGTATGAATATGCTTCTATATACAGGATTTCTTTCCAACCAAGAGACTGCTTGTTGGCAGTATTGTGGAGTTTATAGTGGTGCTATACACTCATTGTGCCAAAAAAACCAACTGTTCTTTTCTGTGCTTTTTGGGGCATTGTTTTTAGAAGGAGACAGAGATACTCACTCCCAGATGAGGTGGACAATCTTAGAATGGCCTAAATGTGTGACTGACCACAAATACTGTCTAGTGGCAAAATATCTCCACGTTTTTACTACATTGATGAAATAAAACATACAAGTAAATGCACAGATATCAGTGGGAGCATTACTATAGTTAACTGCCTGACTGTTTTATGGACTAATGTAGTGACTTTGCATGCATAGTAGCATGTGTGGGTAGTGAAAACTTCTTATGGATATAAGAGAAGAGGACTTAGTGACTGCATGATGAAAAAACACGCTCTAGACAGCCTCTGTAATTGCTAGCTAGCTGAAATGTTCAGAGAAACGTCAGATGTCTATATAATAACATTAGAAACCTCACCGAGAGATAGCATCCTGGTCATATATGGACTCCCAGTATCAATAAGTGAAAACCCTTGACCTTTACTCTGGCAGAGCCAGTTATCAGGTTTGACATCATCGATGAAGCAGTATATGAGCCAAGGAATCATTGATTTGTATTATTATGTTGACAAACTTACTGGTGCATCATGCTCTACCTACCTTGCCAATCATACCTTCCACATATACTACATGGACAAGACTGTTAACATCCCTACAGCGATTTGATTGTACTGTATTGCAAATGGGAGGAAAATATCATAATTGGTTCCCTGGGGCTATGATCTATGATCTGATTGGTTGATTGACTGACTCAGGCTAAAGCTGTGGACCACAGGGAGTACAGGAGAGAAGACGACCCTTGAATACATGACAGTCTGATCAGTGAGTTCAGCGAGGTCGGTCGTTTGTCATTTCTAGAAATGGATAGTGCACGTAATCCTCCCCTGAGAGAGTTGGGTTACTAATTGACTCCAGGAAGGATTCATCTCGCCTGGACGTTCATTAGTAGTGTTAATAATACACAGGCACAGTGAGCTTCATGTAGAGCGAGGCGAGGGGACAGGGCCGAGGGGGTAAACCAGACGGACATGGGGAGCTGTTGTCCCGCTTCCTCTTTCAAGAACTGAAAGAACAGTGCCGGACAGGACAGGTTGTCCGAAAACGGACTCCTACAAATGATAGGCAGCTCTTTTTGTCAGCTGAGATGTGAGTGGATAGACTAGAGGCAGAGGAAATAGAGACACCGTGTGATAGAGAGCTAGAGAGTCCCAGCTAAATTTGTATTGCACTGATTTACTCTCACAAAGCCACATTGTGTCCGTAAACTTTTACCATTCACTCTTTCTCTCACATACCCCTCCGGGTTCGACAGAGGAGCCTAGAAATCATTCAAGGGCTTTCCTCTGGCTGTTATCAAGAGCAGCAGAACACATTGCTAGTCCAACTAAGCCCCACATAGCAATGCCCTTCATCATGGTCGTGCTGTCATTGCTGCCATGGGTAGTAAATGTTGGGACAGAAACATCTCATTTCATTAGGCAACATTGAACATTCACACCTCCCAGCCTGGGGACCAAGTAGATAGAACACCATCTGTGCTACATTGCCGTTGAGAATCACAATATCAAAGACATTTGGGTCGATGTGTGACATGACCTGGCATGACATGAGCCGGTCCAAAGATAATTATTGCGGACTTAGCCAACTGTATTGTATATGTAACTTGCTTCCTTGTAAAAAATATATAATAAAAAACTGCCAAAGTTATCCAAAGGATTTATGGGGATACTTTATGGTAATACTGCTGCAGTTTACCTAGTAGTCCCTCAGTCAATGACTTATCTTCTGAACTAATTACTAACCTGTAGAGATTTACTTAGCCTACATATGGTAAACTTTGACGAAAGCTTTGACCAACAAACAAACATCCCCAGTGGGCTGGTTGAACCGACATCCAGTTTTGCCTGCTGCTGGGTCATTAACCTTGAAACTGAGCCTTTATAGTTAATATGAGCTTTTTCTCAATTGACAAGTCCCTAAAACATATTTTTGGCTCTCTGAGGCTATTCAATGAAACAGGATGCTCTTACTTTCCACCACATTCTAACATGACATCCCCTATTCCCATAGAATACCTAAGAGCAGTTCTACCCCAGCAGCCCCCAATGAAAAGCCCATCTTACAAAAGCTGGTCATATTTTAATTGTCATTGTAAAAATTCCTTGTTCTAAACCGTAATCACACATATCTTCAACAAAGCTACTGATGTCATTCCCAACTAGAAAGACATAGGAAATGGTATTAAGGAAGGAGGATATACTGCAGCAGATAAGTTGATTGTATTCCAAACACAATGAAGTGACATGAAGAACGAAAGGTATCTCCAAAGAAGTTACGAGCAAGAATATTTTGAGGTATGAAACCCCAAAAAACTATAGGGGTGCTTTGTGTACATTAAATGTTGATATTCACTTGTCATGTACTGTATGAAAAAACACCATACATAAGTCTAAGGCCTTATCTGAGGCATAGTACATTCCATTTCAGTGCTACTGTAGATATTACCTCTAGGTAAAGTAGTGCTATGTTTCAAGTGAATGGTCCTGGTTTTCCTTTTGGATCCAAGACCTTCAGTGTTTTACCTACATTAAACTGTGTATACTTACGCTATATTACTTGATCTCTAACTTTTGCTCTACTGTACTTGTATTTCTGAGGGATATTCCTGTTTGCCTTGGACTTTACCTGTTAATTTTACTGTAAAAAGATTCAAAGTAATGTTTGCATGTGTAGCCTAACTATATACTGGGTTTAAACATGTCAAGATCTTGTGTGTGTGGTCCAGAACAGGGCCATGCTTTAAATACATTGAAGAAAACGCAGCAAGAATTTGTGCTTGTCATGGAATAATGATTTGGTTACCTTAGAAATGTTTACTCAATGAGAGAATTGTATACATTGTATTAGATCTAATGAAATTATAAACGTGTAGCATCTCATCTCCCGCTTGATTCTTTTCCCGTCTAAACGGCTGCATGGCATGTAGTTAAATTGTTAATGTATGTTAGATCATGTACCAAAATATTCCACCACACAGTAGATACTGAGTTCAGGGAAAGTGCATACAGTGCTGAGTGTAGGCCATACTGATTGCACAAGAACTAAGGGTGCACTTCTAAATGGGTTGTTTCAGTCATTATGTCTGGACCATCAAAGGCAAAGAAAAACATAATCTCATTACCACCACACGATCATAGCTACATTTCAACAGGTCAATCAACCGGGTCAGAAAGGCTGAAGTTTCTGTCAAATGAAAATCTGAAAAATCTCAAGAATGTATTTTTCCGGATGTAACTTTTGAAGACTTGTTAACAGAAATATATTTCTAACTCCACTTAAATATACACGTCGTTAACAGTAATACTCAAGGCATGTCCAACGAATACCTCAGGGATGATACATCATAATAATGTGACTGCCACCGCTTCTAAAAATACCAGCACGGTCCACCACCAGAGTAAACTTTCAAGGTTGCTTAGTTCCACTGCCTGAGTCTATTTTGGTGAGCTCTACAGGCTTAAGAAGAACTGTGCCTGAATCAGAATGGGAATACAGCGGGACTTTCAGAAAAAATTCCTGTGCCTAATCCAAAATGGGAAGTCCATAGGGATTTACGTGGAATCCTCTGCTTGATTTAAAATGGGATTGGCCTTTTCCAGCCTGCAGGCATCCAGAATCCCACAGCTGTGCCTAGGAGGCCTGGGGGTGTGTCAGTTAAGCCCTTACATCTGGCATCTAGTCTAGGGGTCATCCATCTCTGCACACCTCTGTCCAGGACATGAACAATAGGCAATATGAAATACTTACGAAATACAATGGACTACTGCATAACAGGTGCCACACATCAAGTAAGTGATGCAGTGATGGAGGTCAACGTACGCAAGCTGGCCTATCCATAGATATCGAACAGTACTATCTCAATGGGCCTATCTAATGAACTGTTGCAGGTTTTTATGTACTCAAGGTATTTGAACTGTATTCAAGGTTGTGTTGGAGGACAAAACAAATAGAGGGTCACACCATGATCAATAGCCTGACAAATGAAACAACAAATGGATTATAGCAGAGCCATTAAAAAAAAAAAGACACAATTTCAATCCAGGTCAGAATAGTTATTATAATGACTGCAACAAGCAAAGAAAGCATTACTGTTGACATGTACAGCTTGCAAAGAATGTGAGCAAGAATGCAAAGTATTTGAGTTCTAACAACATAGGAGCTACGAATGGACCAGCCTTGGCTTTTCTCAAAACCCTTTTTGTCAGTGAAGCATAATGAATGCAGCTAAGTTTCATGCTTGGGTGACATAAGAAATATGTTTTTGCATTTTTATCATGAAGAATTTGAAGCTAAGGATAACACTCCTCTTGGCAAGCCATGGAATATGAAAATGTATGGTCAGAATGAATTAGCAAGAGTCATTCTTCTGCCATAAGCAGTGGCAGCTCAACCTTGGATCAGTGCACCAATGACAAGACCTGTCATCATGTAACTGCAGCAGCATAGTTCAATTAGTGCAGCTTATATTGGGTTATGTATAAATTATAAATGGTTAATGAATTCTTGCAATGTCCTCCTTATTGTATGTTCATGTTCATTACAGATTCATTCACAGTTCACTATAGTGAACCAGTGTATTCAGATTATTTGATTCCAAATCAGTAATTGGTTAATTATGAATTTGATAGTCTCAAATTCAGTATTATATTGCAACATCATCACACGTGTATTCATTATGTAGCAATTCCTTTAGTAATATATTGATTGAAAAATGTTAACAATGAAATTAAGTGATTCAATTTAGAGTAGGCTAGCCTTGGGGTGTAATGCAAACATGATGCCCTTAACAGAGGAGAAAGGAATAGTTCTGGAAAATTCTACTGAAATGTGTGTGGACCCCATATCATTTTTTTTTTTTTTCATTCTGAGGACTGTTTCTGCTAGCAAGCTAGCTAAACCTGATTCTAGCCTTACACACACTGGTGGGGGACAAAGGATTTTGGGGTGAGTTTGCTTTCCATTACTTTCACTTGCTTGCTATGTTAACTAACCAAAATATGAAAAGCAATAGTATTCATTAATTGATTTATGTTGAATAGTCTTTCAATTGTATGCCAGGAATTTATGTAAAATGCCACTTTTGTTTGAATAACAGATTTACAGATACATGCAAGGTGATGATGTGACCATTGTGACAGCTCTAGCTAGCAAATAGCTTATTCATATACAGCGTAGGAGGTAGTGGCTATCAAGCTAGCAGGGTGCTTGCTAAATTCTCTGATCCAAGGTTTTTCATGGCAAAATCCACATCCAAAACGGTAGTTTATCTGGTTCGGGTATAGTCACTGTCAATCTGCTGTTTTAACGGTTCAAATCAAAATTGAAATGTTTCAGTGACAGCTAGATAGCTAACGTCAGTTTGCTTTAATCTGAATGCTTAGTAGCTATCTAATGCTAGCTAGCTGACAACGTAGGCGGAGTATCAAATATAGTGTTCTGTATCTTAGCTTTTGTTAAATAATTTAAACTGCAGATTATTCGCCTTCTCCACAAGTTACCAAGCTAACTGATTATGTTATCTACGTTTGCATGCTCATCATCTGCTGATCAGATGGTCCAAGTTAGCCAGCTAGCTAGCTATAGCTAGTAGCTACATAGCAAGTAGTTAGCTCGACGTTACTAGCCTCGCTAGCTAGCACAGCTGGGTGTCAGCCAACTGCGCAAGATGACAGCGCTTTATTTTTCAGCAAATGCATTTCCATTTATCTGCTTTATTTACCTATGTGCAATTATAAGCAAATGCCATTTCAAATAATGTAAGCGATGTTTTTGCACGCGAACAGCTTGCTAGTCGTCACATCAAACCACTGTCATGTTCATGCCTGTCCACTGACACTGTTGTGATGTTGCACATACGTCGCCTGACATCATTTTGGCACCAACATCTCTTTTGTCCTCCCTCTCAAACTACTTACTTTCTTTGCTATTCAATGTAGAAGGACTGTAATAACAAATGAAGTTAATGAAACACCTAAATGCTTTTCCCCATTATAATGTGTTTATTACAGACCCAATGACTGGAATAAACTGATAGAATTCTTCCTCTCTACCAAGATGTCAAGTAAGAAATTGTTTGCAATTATAAGTTTAGCCATCAGATAATGAAAATATGAGTACTTCTGTTAGGTCTCTGACAAAGCTGGGCAACTATGGCAACAAAAATGTGAATATACAAATGTATATGTTATCACAATAAAACAAATTGAGTTTCAGCATGAAATATTAACTTCTGGTAGCCTATATGATTTCCTAGTGGTCCTCTGTAGCTCAGCTGGTAGAGCACGGCGCTTGTAACGCCAAGGTAGTGGGTTCGATCCCCGGGACCACCCATACACAAAAATGTATGCACGCATGACTGTAAGTCGCTTTGGATAAAAGCGTCTGCTAAATGGCATATTATTATATATTATAGTATTATAATTGATAGGTTAATAATTCGCCATCATGTATTTGCTGAGAGAGAAATAGAAAATCACAAAATTCATATCTACCTTGATGGGATTGATTTAATCAACATTGAGAGATGTAAAAGGGGGCTTTTTGCCTCGATTTTAACATCTCACCTTTTCTTTCATAACAGAAAGAGAAAGAGAAAGGCCATATGCCCCTCCCCCTCCCCCAGCCCCTACAACAGTAAGTATTTCTGATGGCACATGGGAAGCCATTTGGAAAGGGATGTCCCATAATAACATTCATGCCGGCTATTATCTTTCAATGTTAACTTGCTACTGTCCATTTTGAGAGGCACACATTTTTTTGGTCTAACTTGTTTTTAAAAGTGGAATCCATTTGGCCATGCAATACAGTATACCCTGCAGATAGTCCTGTTACCACAGTAGAGTTGGTCAATGCAATAGGCTTTGCAGTCTCAGATAATAAGCTCCACTCCCTAAGATGTGAGGTACCATTTATAACATACTGTAGACTATACATTATTTTCATTACAAACAACACTAATGTATAGATAACACTGCTGTCTAGATTACCCTTCATGTTGCTTTAGCATGAGTGCAAGTCTTTTTCAGTTGCTTTTTTCAGCTTTCCAACATTCATGTTTTCACAAGTTTTTCATTGATTTTGTCTTGTTTTACCCCATTATTTGATGTCATTTCTCATCTGTGTTTCTATCTCATTTGTCTCCATCAGCAATTGCCCAACACCCCCGGGTTTGTGGGGTACAACCCATACAGCCATCTGGCTTACAACAACTACAGGCTGGGAGGGACAACAAGCAGCAACAGTCGGGCAACGGTAGGAATATAATGACGTAGCGAAAACACAGGGATAAAATCCGAGAGACACAGACAACTGAAGGAAACGAACGTCAATATTTAAAATAACTGTCTAGTTTGATTGAAACGGCCTAATGTAGCTTGCTTAGTGAAACTCAGTAATAACGTATATGCAGATGTGAGCTATAACAGCTCTTGACAACTTTGCTCTTTTGCTTTGTTCAGAAATAGTACTTTTTCCTGTGCTTATAAGAGCAGACATTCTTGCACAGACAGACAGTATGATTCGTCTAACCCATTCCATTACCAAGGCTTTCTGAGATGTATGCCATCCCAACATTCCTCTGCTGCCTCCATCATACTGTGCAGACCGGCCAAGCGTCCATCTGTGTGTATTCAAAATCGCTCGATCCTGCCCTTCAAAGTCTGCATTGCTGACAGCCATGCAAAGTAACCCATGCCATCAGCGTTGCCATGGCATTATAGACCCCATGCTTGGCATGGGTTTCGGCTGCTACGGGAATAATTCAGTCGCTGCATGCAAGATGTGGTTGGCACTCAGATTCTGATAATGGCATTATGTCGCGCAGTGTGCAAATCTCAGCTTTAGGGAGATTTTGTATTTTCTTCAATCAGCGTTACTCAATCATAGTCTCTGTGTGACTTCTGTACACTGGTTGGGCTCAAACAGGCTTTAATTTAAAAAAGGCGATTTAACTTATGGTGTTGTAGTTTGATGCATCTTTGTTGGAATTTTTACATATACTTTGTTGAAGGTTGGATGATCAACTATGTGGATGCGTATTTTTCTGCAGGGTGTTTCTCAGTCGAGACTTTGCTTAGTGTAAAGTTGTATGACTAGTCATTTTTAGCACCAGTTGGTGTCCTAACTTTGACTTCTCTAATAAGTGCCTTTTTATTTCCCAGAATTCTTCAGGAATAAACATTCCAAAGCCACCCAAGCCACCAGACAAGCCGTTGATGCCTTACATGCGATATAGTCGCAAGGTAAGTTGTCTACACGCAACATTAGTTAAACACAAACTGCTCCACCGTGCGCACCATTGCAAGACATATTCAAATGCTGTACTATACCCTTACAACACGCAGCACTTTAGCCAGGGTTAGGGACGAGCACTTTTAAGTTAAACTACACATCGTCTGCCCCATGAGTCCACGGAGGTAGGTGTGAACTGTGAAACTTGACATACAGCAGCCTAGTCATTAGGAGTACTACAGACAGACTGGGATATCTCCCTGGAGATGGACTTTAAACACAGCCTACATAGGTTTGTGACCTATCTGCTTAGAGATAATGAGCCCCTGTCTGGTTCTCATCACCAGGTTTGGGATCAAGTAAAAGCCTCCAATCCCGATCTGAAGCTATGGGAAATTGGGAAGATAATCGGTGGCATGTGGAGGGACCTCACTGATGAGGAGAAACAGGATTACTTGAATGATTACGAAGCAGAGAAGGTTTGTTTTACCGGGGTGTTTATTTACGGGGTTGTTATGGGTGACCAGTAACAAGTGTCTCCAACAGTTGTCAGAAGGGTCCCTCCAGTCATCATTCCTTCCTTTGTAAAAATACTGAGTAACTTTTCTTCAATGTTGAATAGTTTGTTTTGCATTGAAGGGGCACGTGTCTCTCCCTTTGTTACATCTGTGTCTCTCCTCTACAGATTGAGTACAATGAGAGCATGAAAGCCTACCACAACTCTCCAGCCTACCTGGCTTACGTCAACGCTAAGAGCCGTGCCGAGGCTGCTCTGGAGGAGGAAAGCCGACAGCGCCAGTCTCGTCTCGACAAGGGCGAGCCGTACATGAGTATCCAGCCAGCAGACGACCCAGACGGTAAGACACTCTCAGCACTACTAGTATTACCATGTCAGTCACACTCTGGTTCCCACACCATGTTTCAGCAACTGTGACATCACCTTGGTGTCAATTTCTATCCTTCCTCTCTTTGTCACACTTGCTACTTCACCATATAGGCCACACTCCATTTCAGCTCTGTAGTATAAGTCTGGGCCCTGTATTTGAGATCAATGGCTTCAATGAGTTCCAGTAAGGAACAAGGCAACAGACATCACATAGAAAACTGGACTTCTGAGTTACACCCTATACGAAATGATCCTTGTCTCGGATCGAGCTGGATAATGGTATACAGGAAATGCATAAAAAAACTTGTGGTAATTGGAAACACCCAAGATATAAAAATGTAATAATTAGTATCCCTATGGGTTACGTTCTCAACAAGCTGCATGTACATTGATGACTTCAAAAAGATTTGCCACATGAGTTGCTTTATAGACATTTGAAACCCCACCTCTTTAAGGAATACCTGGGATAGGATAAAGTAATCCTTCTACTTTTGGCCTAACGTGGAATAAATGAATTCTCCATGTGTTCAATTGTCACGATCGTCTACGAGAGTGGAGGACCAAAGCGCAGCGTTGGTAGCGAACATATTGATTTTAATGTAATACACGAGAATACAAAAACAAAACACGATCATGAAGTCCTCAGTGACAACGACTGAACATAGAACAAAAACCCACAACCCCAAGGTGAACAATGACAGTTTAAATATGGCTCCCAATCAGAGATAACGAGCCGACAGCTGACACTCGTTACCACTGATTGGGAGTCACTGGACCAAACAATGAAACCACCAATAACAACCCAACTAATCCCCAAACACAAAAAATGAACACACCCTGGCTCAATAATACAAAGCCCCGGAGCCAGAGCGTGACATCAATAAGAAGTTGACCTTATTAAAGAGACAATTTCTTCTCCTACATTTATGACATACTTTGATGTTAGTATTATAGAGGACAGCTTAATTTTACCCTGGATTTTAAAGGAAAGTGTCATGTACTTAGAGCTTGGATGTTCACTTAGTTTCGCAATATCTTCTACTTTTTCTAAGAAATAGTAAGAGCACGAGCGCCAGTAAAAACCACTAAGACGTTTCTGGAGTAAATGTGTAAGGTTTTTGAGATTTAGGGAGAGAGAAAGATGAATCTTTAACTCTCTACCCACACATGAATGTCATTTCACCATTCACCACAACAATGTTGAAACTCCCTTTGTAAATGTGTATAAGTATATTCATACAACAAACATGTAAACAGCCAACTATGCAGACATTTCCTACTGATATAAATGATTTAAACAAACGTAGGTATATAAATGTTAAGATATGTCAGATCAGATTTATTTCCTGATGCCTACGACCTCTATACTTGTTGGGTGAGAACTCCGCTCTGTACCCATTGACAGTTGTATTCATTGAGAGTGCCCAAACTAGCCCACATAGCACCCGCCACGTACCCTTTCATTCTCTTTCCCAGATTACGACGACGGATTCTCCATGAAGCACTCGGCCGCCGCCCGTTTCCAGCGCAACCACCGTCTGATCAGCGAGATCCTGAGCGAGAGCGTGGTCCCCGACGTGCGCTCCGTCGTCACTACCGCCCGCATGCAGGTCTTAAAACGGCAGGTCCAGTCTCTGATGGTGCACCAGGTATGCTACGCTGGGTCTGTCAGTCTTCCTAGATACACATACAGTACCAGTCAAAAGTTTGGACACACCTACTCATTCAAGGGTTTGTCTTTATTGTTACTATTTTTTACATTGTAGAATAATAGTGAAGATATCAAAACTATGAAAAAACACATATGGAATCATGTAGTAACCAAAGAAGTGTTAAACAATATTTTATATTTGAGATTCTTCAAATAGCCACCCTTTGCCTTGATGACAGCTTTGCACACTCTTGGCTTTCTCTCAACCAGCTTCACCTGGAATGCTTTTCCAACAGTCTTGAAGGAGTTCCCACATATGCTGAGCACTTGTTGGCTGCTTTTCCTTCACTCTGCCGTCCGACTCATCCCAAATCATCTCAATTGGGTTGAGGTCGGGGGATTGTGGAGGCCAGGTCATCTGATGCAGCACTCCATCACTCTCCTTCTTGGTAAAATACCCATTACACAGTCTGGAGGTGTGTTGGGTCATTGTCCTGTTGAAAAACAAATGATAGTCCCACTAAGCCCAAACCAGATGCTATGGCGTATCGCTGCAGAATGCTGTGGTAGCCATGCTGGTTAAGTGTGCCTTGAATTCTAAATAAATTACAGACAGTGTCACCAGCAAAGCACACCCACACCATAACCCCTCCTCCTCCTTGCTTTACGGTGGGAACTACACATGCAGATATCATCCGTTCACCCACACCGTGTCTCACAAAGACGGTTTGAATCAGAAATCTCAAATTTGGACACCAGACCAAAGGACAAATTTCCACCGGTCTAATGTCCATTGCTCGTGTTTCTTGGACCAAGCAGGTCTCTTCTTCTTATTGGTGTCCTTTAGTAGTGGTTTCTTTGCAGCAATTTGACCATGAAGGCCTGATTCACACAGTCCCCTCTGAACAGTTGATGTTGAGATGTGTCTGTTATTTGAACTCTGTGAAGCATTTATTTGGGACTGCATTTTCTGAGGCTGGTAACTCTAATAAACGAATGCTCTGCAGCAGAGGTAACTCTGGGTCTTCCTTTCCTGTGGCGGTCCTCATGAGAGCCAGTTTCATCATAGTGCTTGATGGTTTTTGCGACTGCACTTGAAGAAACTTTCAAAGTTATTGAAATGTTCCTTATTGACTGACCTTCATGTCTTAAAGTAATGATGGACTGTCGTTTCTGTTTGCTTATTTGAGCTGTTCTTGCCATAATATGGACTTGGTCTTTTACCAAATAGGGCTAACTTCTGATTGGCTCAAACACATTAAGAAGGAAATAAATTCCACAAATTATCTTTTAAGAAGGCACACCTGTTAATTTTAATGCATTCCAGGTGATTACATCATGAAGCTGGTTGAGAGAATGCCAAGAGTGTGCAAAGCTGTCATCAAGGCAAAGGGTGGCTATTTGAAGAATAAAATATATTTTGATTTGTTTAACATTTTTTGGATTACTACATGATTCCATATGTGTTATTTCATAGTTTTCTTCACTATTATTCTACAATGTAAAAAATAGTAAAAATAAAGAAAAACCCTTCAATGAGTAGGTGTGTCCAAACTTTTGACTGGTAGTGTAGATATTACTATACCTAGCCCTATCAAGTTGGATGTTCCCAGTCATGGTGTTATTGTCATGGTAACCTGGATATCTGATCCTTTCTCCTTATTTGATAATTCAGTAATGATTAAAAACATGTAATCAGTCAGGTAAATTGACAGGTCTCTCTCTGTGTGTCTGGTCCACAGAGGAAGCTAGAGGCAGAGCTACTTCAGATTGAAGACCGCCACCAGGACAAGAAAAGGAAATTCATCGATGCCACGGAGTCTTTCACCAGCGAGCTGAAAAGGGTATGGAATCATCATCTAGGAACTTGTATGCAATCCATTGTGTTGCACATAGTAAATATTACAGTGTTGACCTCAGGCTATGTGCAATGGGCCAGTTCTGTGTTGTAGAGATCCGCAGCTGCTAACTTTATCCATGTGTATTGGCTAACATGCGGCGTCATCACTTAGAATTTGTAGACTGACTCGTTGCAGTTCTGAATCCAGATACTGCACTGTATAGTGAATACACTGTGTAGTCCATACCCCAGGTGGCGCCATTTACTTAGAGTCAATTTACTTCCTCTGCTTCACAATGGGCAAGTCAATGTAGTATTATTGTAGAGGAAACAGGAACTGTGCCAAATCTGATCAAGGTGTACTCACTAATCACAGTCCATGTTACTAATCACAGTTGCACAGGTGTGAGATTGATTGTGAGATTAATAGCGTTAATCCCCAGCATTAATCCCCGGTGGGAGACTCAACATGTTGCCACTCTGTGCCCAGCTGTGTTGTATGAAAGTGGAGGTGGACATGGAGAAGATATCTGCAGAGGTTGCTGCGGCAGAGGAGGCATCCCGCAAGCGTATGTCGGAGCGGGAGAAAGAGGCATCCACGTCCTCTAGTCTGGAGGAGGACGAGAAACCAGTTGGTCCGTCAAACAGCAGCAAAAGCCAGCATGAGTCTGTCAGTGACAGCAGCAACAAGGAGAGAGAGGAGATGGAACCCAGCCTCATGGATACTGGTGGTGAGGCCCAACAGTATTAATAACTAAACTGTATGGTTTTTTAATGTATGGTTCTGGTCAGGTCCCCTGAGTTAGGTTTTCTCTCTTGGGTAGATGCTTCTCTTGGTAGATTGACTGCTAAGCGCATTTTACAACGTTATTTTCACGTTTGAAAGTACATTGGTCCAAACGTGTTTGCTGTCTGCTAATATTTCCTGCTTTCTTGGTTACAGAGAAGTCAAAAGCCTCGGAGGAGTCGGCGGCTCGTCCTGCCAGTGAGGTTGAGGAGGGTGCGCCGTCAGAGGACAAGGAGAGTGTTCCGGAAGGGGTGATGGAGGAGGGCACCAGTGACAGTAACACGGGGTCGGAGACCACCTCTGCCGTGACGGAGGACGCCCCGCCCAGCGAGCCAGCAGCTTCAGAGGGGCCCAGCAGGGCACGCCCTGCCGCCCACTGAGGAGTCAACCTCTGACCTTTGGGCCGAGAAATGTCCATGATGTGTCACTCCATCTCTTCAGTCACACTCAGATGATAACACATTGTACATTAGCATCTATGTGAAAAAATCTGTGTTTAAATGGGCTTTATTTCAAATGTGAAGTTTTATGCAATTGGTTGAATCTTTGGAGCTCTGTTGGCAGGGTCAAAATGGATCTGCTGTCAATTTGCAAAGCGCTTCAAGTCTGCAAAGCAAAGTAATTATCCCAACGAAAGTGAATGACATCTAAATTGAGTCACAATAAGCCCACGTGAATTCACCGTATTTCCATCACAGACCACGGTGGCAGTCGAAAACCAACCATCCATCACCTGTCAATATATCAAAACATATCTCCTGTCTTATTCAATGGTACTATATCTGGCAGACACCAGATCTTACCGATTGAGGCTGGTTGTAAAAACTGTCACAAAAAATAAGTTGTTCAATGTTTAATTACTTGTTCTTTATAGTGTAATGTTATTGTTGCTTTCAATTTTATTTTTGCATGGTGTCGCAACTACTCAAATGGGAGAGTTTGCTTAGTAGCGGCAGGGGTGGGGTGACTCTGCCCGATATTTTTTTATGTTTACTCTAAGTATCAGTATTAAGTGACAGTATTGTCTCAGGAGTTAGTCGAAATAAGTCGTTGTTTTCATTATTTATTATTATTCTTGTGTATTGTGAGTCCTGGGCCCAGTCCATCCGTCCACCAACCTGTTGTATGCTAGGAGTTCATCCATGCTGTACAATGCTCTACCAGTCAGTGTTCTAAAGTCTGCTAGCTCTCAATCAAATCAAAAGCTGTATGCTTAGAACAACCTTTCAGTGTTATGTGATTATGATCAGTAGTACAGTGTTCAACCCAGAACAAACTCTTAAATGTTAATATGCAATGTAATAAGCAGTGTTACAAGGTTTGCTTGAACGTGAGTGGTTTTTCATCTCATCCTAAAGCAACTTGAGCAGAGTGAGTCATCAACATACCGTCTTAAAATCGATTTTGTTTGACATATTTATACCAATAAACTTTTCTACCCTGACATGACGTTTGTTTTCAATGTCTCACGCGGTGTGTATAGAATGGTAATCATTTAAGGTGGTGGTGTTTGTTCATTTTAACAGTTATTCCTCAGGCTGAGGTGACAGAGGATCATTCCATGTTGGAATTGTGACCTATTTGAACTGGCCAGCTTTTATGAGACATAAAAAACTCTAGGCAGAATGTGGTACACTTCCAACGGCTTATCATATACAATCTATGGCACCCAATACTGATGATAGATTTGATACTATATGTTAAAGATGTTCTGGTCTGGTCTGTGTCCTCTTATCTGCAAGGTACAAGGAAGTGGGTGAGATGAAAAGGAATTTGCATTGGTTTCCTGTTTTCAATGTAGCACTGCTCTTTCCAGCTGTCTGAGGTATTGTTATCTTTTGTAGTTACCATGTTTTAAACTACAGTATTTATATTGTATTGACCTGATGTGAGCAAAATAGACAGGTAGAAGATAAACAGAGAAAGATACAGCACCAGTCGTCTTCCTGCTACCTCTGTCACCTTTGCAGCTAGATTTCACGTGCATGAACCACACGAGCTGCCCCATAGAATTTGAATTAGTGGAAAAGACATTCCCATTCAAATCAACATTCCATGATGGGTGGACCGGTGACCTATTGAGTTTACCCCCCCCCCCCCCCCCCCCCCCACCACACACAATCATTACATTTCAATGAGCAGCCTTCTGCAATAGTGATGAGATTTGTCACAGCTTTATTGTAGCTGCAGAGGTGCACAGTTGTCACCCTGCAGCAGTCACCTGGATGCACAGAACTGTGGTTAGTGTTTCTTTGCTGGGTTCCTTTCCTGAGCGCAGTGAAAACTCAAAGCCGCAACCGCACAGGCAGACAGGTGTGCAGCTTGTGCAGAGTTGGGGAGAGTAGAGGAGAATAAGACTGAACGTGACCTTTACTGACCAAGATAAACCAAGACAGCAGTCCAACTGCCACCACTGCCTAAACAAAAGTGTTGTGGCGGTAAACACACAATGACAAACGTATACTGTATGAGTATTGGTTTTACTTTTGGAGAAATTACTGAGACTTTTGTGTAAATTACTCATTTGTGAAGGTTGTCAAAGGGGACATGAAGAAACATTAGTATCTCTCTAATATTTTGGATTAAACACACATAAAGCGTTGATTGTAATGAGTCTGTCTCACCTTAGAAGTGCGGCAGGGGCGGCAGGTAGCTTAGTGGTTAAGAGCGTTGTACCAGTAACCGAAAGGTCGCTGGTTCTAATCCCCAAGCCGACTAGGTGAAAAAAAAATCTGTCGATGTGCCCTTGAGCAAGGCACTTAACCCTAATTGCTCCTGTAAGTCGCTCTGGATAAGAGTGTCTGCTAAATGACCAATTAATTATTATTTATTATTACTCTACATATCAGCCACTTGCTCTGGGAGGCCTGTTTTGTAGTTGTTGATTTGGCAAACATCCAGAATTGGTAAGACACTTAAAAATAGTCCCTTCAATGCATGCAGTTTACAGAATGAGCATCCATCTTGTTTGTTATGCAGTAAATACTGTTCAGTATTTTTTTAAAGTTATAGTTGTACTTTTATTCTAGCTAAATGTAACTCAAAGTGGGATATTTGCTATGATGCTGATTTCATTTTAATACAGACTTTGTAATACAGTCGAAGAACCCTTTTGGAACCCTTTTTCTAAGAGTACATATAGTACATCTATTGTAATGAAAAAACAGTCAGCCCTGTTTGTATATTGTGTTCTCAATGAACTGATGTAACCTATTCTTCACTGCAGACTAGAAAGAAAAAGAAGTCTTAACAGCACAAGCGCAATGGTGTTGTCTTTCTAGTGACTGTGGGTTTAAAATAGAACAGACAATACATTTTCCCTCGACCACTGATGTCACTAAGATATTTGTGTGTCTGAGTGTCTGTGCTGAACATCATGAACACTAATTTCCTCTCATAGGGTGCAATAGCTGTATGCAACAGTTCAGGTAGTAAATCACAAACTACAAGCAGGGATGCAGTAGCTTTTCTCTGTACTGTCACACAAATTATAATACCGAGAGTTGTTTATTAGCCAACAAAATTTGCATTCACTCTCATTCCTAATCATTGTTTTTCACAAGACACCCAGGGGAGTAAAGGTGTTAACTATGAACTAGTGACACTTTTTTTTTTTTTTGCTTAGTTCAAAGGGGAAACTAGCACCTCACACAACCTCATCTAGACTAGCAGGCTGTCTCTCTACTTTCACAACCTGTGTACTGAGAGAAAGAAGAGTTGTAACTCTCAATCAACATGACCGCTGTCAAAGGTGAGCACATCATTCAATGTTTCATGCATTTTCATAACTGTGGAAAAGTGATTTGAACATCTTACTACTGTAATGTAAACCATCTAATTAATGTATTTTAAATAGTTGATTATTCATAGGATATTAGCTTCCTGCAATTTTCCAACTAAGAAGAACAAACACTTGAATTAAAAGGAATATAAATACTTTGTCCAATAAATAAATAGATAAATAAATATGTTTTGTATAAGTAGGGGTTACGTTTAATTAAATTACTAAAAAGGCACTATTATGGGGCAAGTTTAGCAAAACAGTGTGTCAAGTCAATTGCTGCATGCACGTAGGCAATGATATACATAAATAGTAGACATGCTTCCATTAGGTAAACGTAGTATATGTGATGTAGGGTGCTAAGAGGGAAAGGCTGATAACAAGCCATACAGCTGTATAGCTACAGTAGGCTGTAATCATAACATTTTGCTTTTACTTCTTATTAACTCAATATCAGTGAATCGCTGACATCTGCTGCCTTTGTTTAATTAATGGTTTTGAACTGTTAATTAACTTTTTTAAGTGTTTCAAATCAATTGATTATAGAAATACAGTGCCTTGCAAAAGTATTCATCCACCTTGGCGTTTTTCCTATTTTGTTGCATTTCAACCTGTAATTTAAATGGATTTTTATTTGGATTTCATGTAATGGACATACACGAAATAGTCAAAATTGGTGAAGTGAAATGAAAAAAATAACTTGTTTCAAAAAAGTCTAAAAAATAACGGAAATGTAGTGCGTGCATATGTATTCACCCCCTTTACTATGAAGCCCCTAAATAAGATCTGGTGCAACCAATTACCTTCAGAAGTCACATAATTAGTTAAATAAAGTCCACCTGTGTGCAATCTAAGTGTCACATGATATGTCACATGATCTCAGTATATATACACCTGTTCTGAAAGGCCCCAGAGTCTGCAACACCACTAAGCAAGGGGCACCACCAAGCAAGTGGCACCATGAAGACCAAGGAGCTCTCCTAACAGGTCAGGGACAAAGTTGTGGAGAAGTACAGATCAGGGTTGGGTTATAAAAAAATATCTGAAACTTTGAACATCCCACGGAGCACCATTAAATCCATTATAAAAAAATTGAAAGAATATGGCACCACAACAAACCTGCCAAGAGAGGGCCACCCACCAAAACCCACAGACCAGGCAAGGAGGCCATTAATCAGAGAGGCAACAAAGAGACCAAAGATAACCCTGTAGGAGCTGCAAAGCTCCAGAGCGGAGATTGGAGTATCTGTCCATAGGACCACTTTAAGCCGTACACTCCACATATCTGGGCTTTACGGAAGAGTGGCCAGAAAAAAGCCATTGCTTAAAGAAAACAATAAGCAAACACGTTTGGTGTTCGCCAAAAGGCATGTGGGAGACTCCCCAAACATATGGAAGAAGGTACTCTGGTCAGATGAGACTAAAACTGAGCTTTTTGGTCATCAAGGAAAACGCTATGTCTGGCGCAAACCCAACACCTCTCATCACCCCGAGAACACCATCCCCACAGTGAAGCATGGTGGTGGCAGCATCATGCTGTGGGGATGTTTTTCATTGGCAGGGACTGGGAAACTGGTCAGAATTGAAGGAATGATGGATGGCACTAAATACAGGGAAATTCTTGAGGGAAACCTGTTTCAGTCTTCCAGAGATTTGAGACTGGGACGGAGGTTCACCTTCCAGCAGGACAATGACCCTAAGCATACTGCTAAAGCAACACTCGAGTGGTTTAAGGGGAAACATTTAAAAGTCTTGGAATGGCCTAGTCAAAGCCCATACCTCAATCCAATTGAGAATCTGTGGTATGACTTAAAGATTGCTGTACACCAGCGGAACCCATCCAACTTGATGGAGCTGGAGCAGTTTTGCCTTGAAGAATGGGCAAAAATTCCAGTGGCTAGATGTGCCAAGCTTATAGAGACATACCCCAAGAGACTTGCAGCTGTAATTGATGCAAAAGGTGGCTCTACAAAGTATTGACTTTGGGGGGGGGGTGAATAGTTATGCACGCTCAAGTTTTCTGTTTTTTTTGTCTTATTTCTTGTTTGTTTCACAATAAAACATATTTTGCATCTTCAAAGTGGTAGGCATGTTGTGTAAATGAAATGATACAAACCCCCCAAAAAAATCAATTTTAATTCCAGGTTGTAAGGCAACAAAATAGGAAAAATTCCAGGGGGGTGAATACTTTTGTAAGCCACTGTACTAGTGCGGAAACTGGAACCAGGTTTGTAAGTCTGAGATAGTTCCAGGTACAGTCCCCATTTACTCATGATACGTTTCGTAACAGAATCACTTCTGTTTTGAAGGTTTGAGAATTTTCAGTTTTCTGATAATGTGATGAGCCATAGGGGGATTTTTGAAGTTGTTTTTTGGGTATGCTATGATATCTTTGAACAACCAATAAATTGGTGCATCCCCTTCTGTTACCACCAGATGTCCTTACTATGTCTTCGTTGCACCCTGCACAACAGGGATCCTCAATTACATTAGTCCGTGGGACGATATTTCCTTGAGTGGATGGTCGGTGGGACGGAACCTAGTTATAAATGATGTGTACACTGCAAATTAACTGCAAAAATCCCAAACAGATATAGTATTTGACAAAAACAGAATAATTTCAAACCTTGATTACATTGGGATACGATCACATATGCCTCTCTATTTATGCAAGGGAATAATTGGGAACATATTTTCTAAATGACAATCACTTTGAGCTGATTTCTTGGTGATTTTACAGTGTTTTATATCCAATAAACATTTGATGCTCAGAAAACTTGGGGGGCCAAATAAAATCACCTGTGGGATGAATTTGGCCTGCTGGCCGCTTATTGGGGAACCCTGCGGTACAATCTAAATACTTAAACAGTTGAGAAAACTCAGATTAATTATTGACACTTATAAAAACAATTTATGCTAATAACAAGGGACATCAACCCCCATGTGTCTTGAACTCTTTCCAAAGGTTGTTCTTATAGTCAACTAACATATCAGTCTATTTATCGATCAACTGGCACTCTAGAGCTTTAACCACACCTTATCTGATTTTCAGATATTCAAGTCTTAGTACCAGCTCTACTGATCTGGACCTACTTTGACGTAAGAACAATGGATGAACACAATCTTCAGTTTACCATATCATACAATATCATTTATATGAAGTATCAATAGTCTTTAGATCATCTTTTTCAGACAATCAATTAACTGATATGTTGATAACTCACTTAATAACATGACACATACTCTACCCACAAAAACGCACAAACACTACACTGGTACTAACCACAGTCTTTCATTCAAGAGCATACTGTATAGCACAACTTCCTCTCAGGAAGTGGTATACTCATTTGAAAGCATGCCATTTTATCAAGGGGCAGGATGCAGGGTACATTGTGTCTGCTTTATTTTGGACACAGTTTACTGAACCTGAACCAAACACTAATATATTTGAATTACATTTTATTTGAATTCAAGGCATACGATTACACCAGTCAATCATCAATTACCCTGATTTACAGTATGTCCCATTGTCTTTTTTCAGACTTGCTTCTCTCAGAATGAAAACATGACTACAGAGTCCACTGAATACACTGATTACCCCACGGACCAGAATGACTTGGATTATGACTATTGGTCCCAGCAATGCCTGAAGGAATCCAACCGCCACTTCCGCTCCTGGTTCATGCCCACCTTCTACTCCCTCATCTGTTTCCTCGGTCTGGTCGGTAACATCCTGGTAATCGGTACCTACGTCTACTTCAACCGACTGAAGACTGGGACCGATGTGTTCCTGCTCAGCCTGTCCGTTGCCGACCTGCTGTTTGCCGTGTCGTTGCCCCTCTGGGCGACCAACTCCATGACGGAATGGGTGCTGGGGCTGTTCATCTGCAAGGCCATGCACACCATCTATAAGGTCAGCTTCTACAGCGGCATGTTCCTCCTCACCTCCATCAGCGTGGACAGGTACGTTATTGCAAATGAGAACGTGTTCTCAAAGACTAATCTGGTTAAATAAAAGCCTGAGAACAATCTGTTTGGTCGAAACGTGTTGCAGTATGCGTCCTGCTGTGACCTAATAGGCTGATCTGCTCCTATCTCTGCTGTGACCTAATAGGCTGATCTGCTCCTATCTCTGCTGTGACCTAATAGGCTGATCTGCTCCTATCTCTGCTGTGACTTAATAGGCTGATCTGCTCCTATCACTGTAAATATTTGTGTATGGTTCACTAAAGTACTATATGTGCAATATAAAAGCCTACTTTTTGTCATTTTTCCGACAGGTACTTCGCCATCTCCAAGGCCGTCTCTGCCCACCGCCACCGCTCCATGGCAGTGTTCATCAGCAAGGTGACCTCTGTGGCCATCTGGGTGACGGCGCTGGTCTTCTCCATGCCCGAGATGTCCTACACCACCATCAGCAACAAGACCTGCACCCCCTACGCCGCCGGCTCAGACCAGGTGCGCGTGGGCATCCAGGTGAGCCAGATGGTCCTGGGGTTCGTTCTGCCGCTCCTAATCATGGCCTTCTGTTACGGCGCCATTGTGAAGACCCTGTGCCAGGCCCGGAGCTTCGAGAAGAACAAGGCCATCAAGGTGATCTTGGCTGTTGTGGCGGTCTTCCTGCTCTGCCAGGTGCCCTATAATCTGGTACTGCTGCTGACCACTCTCGACGCGGCCAAGGGGGGCAGCAAGGACTGCGCCTACGACAACAGCCTCCTCTACGCCTCTGACATCACCCAGTGCCTGGCTTTCCTGAGGTGCAGCCTCAACCCCTTTGTGTACGCGTTCATCGGGGTGAAGTTCCGCCGCGACCTCCTGAAGCTGCTGAAGGATCTGGGCTGTATGAGCCAGGAGAGATTCTTCCAGTACACCTGCGGCAAGAGGAGGAGCTCAGCGGCCGCCATGGAAACCGAGACCACAACCACTTTCTCCCCTTAAAGCTGCCAATGCTGCCTAATCTGTCAGCCTTTTCAACATGGACAAGACCTTGAACACAGCCTGTGTTTATTTCAGATTATATTTTATACGTTTGCTTGTAAGTGTTCTATAGGTCACTGAAAATGTCTAAATGACATATATGTTTGATGTATCAGGCAGCTTACTTGTCGCCACCAGGTATTGATTTAGATCAAGTCTGTACCTTTCAATTTTTTCCCGTTATAGAGCTGCCAGTGGAGGACCATCACTGTAAATACTCAGTCTTTGTATTATTTCTGTGTTGTTTTGAGTCTTATTTTCAAAGTCTTGTAAATAAAAAAGTGTACTCTGGTCTCTGAGCTGTCATTTGACCACTTGTTCAAGTGACCACTTGTTCAACAACCCACATGAAAAAATACTAAAGGATACTATGGTATAAATACTGTAGTATTCACTGTAGTGTTTTTGTGGACTTTACATAGTATTCACTGCAGTGTTTTTGCGTACTTTACTGTAGTATTTACTATAGTGTTTACTGTAATATATTGTATACTGTAGTATTTACAGTTAACTATAGTATAAATACTGTAGTACAGTTTTTTCCGACTGCTTACACACAAAATATTTTCATGTCACACGATTTTTGAAACCTCTCACTCAAAGTGCAAAACTACACACCAAATCTCCAAAACCATAAGCTATTTCTCAGCCTTTGACTCAGTTGTCAATTGCATAAAACACTTTTTTCAAAACACTACACACAATTCTCTACCTAAAACACAAAAATCTAACAGGAAGTGACTTACTTTCCTTTTCCAAACACAACCATTCAAAATGCTACACTTATTCACCAGGTCACACACACACTCTTCACATGTGCAAACACTAATTGCTTAACTGATCACTAACCAATCACTGCTTTACTGTAGTATAGGCCTATAAATAGGTCAAAGGTCAGATTACCTGTTTTGAACAATGGATGCCAACAATGGACAGAGAGCAAGAGGAGTAGGAGGGAGAGGCAGGGGACAACAACGAGGACAAATTCAAAGACGAAGTGTTGGAAGAGGAGGAGGAGGAGGAAGAGGAAAATGAAGAGGAAGAGGAAGAGGAAGAAGAGGACAAGGGCAAAGAAGAGAAGGAAGGAGATTTATTTATGTGGATGAGGTTGGCTTCAACCTCACCAAAACCAGGCGCCGCTGAAGAAATGTAAAAGGACAGAGGGCAATTACCAATGTCCCTGGACAGCGTGGGGGTAATATAACTATGTGTGCTGCCATCACTCAAAACGGGGTCCTCCATCACAATTCCACACTGGGTCCGTACAAGACCGGCCATAGGCTCACTTTTCTGGATGCAATTTACACAATGCTTGTCCCTGATCCAGATCAGGAGCCTGCTGGATTTGTGGTTATATGGGACAATGTTAGTTTTCACCGGGCTGTTCTGGTCCAAAACTGGTTTGCCACCCATCCACAATTTGTAGTTTTGTACCTACCCTCATATTCACCTTTTCTAAATCCCATAGAGGAATTGTTCTCAGCCTGGCGCTGGAAAGTGTATGATTGCCAACCCTATGCCCGCATGCCGCTTCTCCAGGCAATGGAGGACGCATGTGGGGACATAGAGGTTGCCTCTGTCCAAGGTTGGATACGCCATGCTAGGAGATACTTCCCTCGATGTTTGGCAAGAGAAAACGTATCTTGTGATGTGGACAAAGTATTGTGGCCAGACCCAGCCCGGAGAAGAGATGAAGCGTAGCTTAGCACTGGTGACTGCCCACCCCCCTACCAATTCCTGGACTGCCCCCCGGGACCCCACACACACAATTGTGTTCTTTACTGTATTCTAAAGAATATACTTTTGGTTTACATATGTTTATGGTTTTGTTGTGTGCTACTGTATACAACAGTAATGTTTGGCCTAATAAATATTTTCTGTTTCTACATTGCATTGGTGTTTACAGTGTACTTGTTACCCCTCTCAGCAGATTACTTTCACTGTAGAACATTGTATTGAAATGTAGATATAAGCCTATGAAAGACCAAAGAGCTTTAGATTTAGAACAACAGTGTTTACATGGTATATCCAAAAATGTACTATTATGAAAGAAGTGTTTGCCATTTGATGCAAATGCTTCATTCTGACATGTGTTTACGGCATTTTGAATGCAGTGTTACATTTTGAAGGAGATGTGAGGCATTTTGCATTTTGTGTGTGCAGTTTTGGGAATTGTGTGTAGAGTTTTGAAAAAAGGAGACATAGTTTTGAAAACGTGTGTAAGCAGTTGGAAAAAACTGTAAAAGAAAACTGTAGTATATGCTATAATAATTAATGTAGTGTTTTTGCGGATTGTACTATACTGTAGTATTTACTGTAGTGTTTTTGCAGACTGTAGTATACTGTAGTATTTACTGTAGTGTTTTTGCAGACTGTAGTATACTGTAGTATTTATTGTTTTTGCAGACGTGTTTTTGTTTTACTATCTTTGAAATAGAAGTGGAGGCACATTTTTCATAACCTGTAGGTAGGTAGGATTGGGGTCTGAACAGCTAGTTCATCGATTCTGTTCTTTTTTCTAACCTGTAGTGAAATGAATATATGGTCTATACTTGGCATGTACGTTTCTCACTTATGGGTGGCACAAATTGTGATACAGGGGAGGGGAATGGGCAGGGTATATGCAAATTAAATACTGTAATGTTTACTATAGTAAAAAAAGTTTCGTGTTTTTGCGGACTGTAGTGTTTTTGCTGACATTACTGTAGCATTTGCTACAGTGCTTCTTTTGCTGTTCATACTGTAGTATTTACTATAGTATTCTACAGTATACTACAACATTCTATAGTAAGTACTACACATGGTCGAGGGATTCTACAGTGTGGTATAGTATTCCACAGGCAACCCTGGTCCTGGAGTGCCGCAGGCACTTCATGTTTTTGGTTTAACTGACCTGGAAGACCAGGTGTGTTGAATGTAGGCAGTCACTAAACTGATCAACGGTATACTACAGTTTACTGTAGAATTCTATAGTCAGTACAGTAGTATTCTATAGTAAACTGTAGTATTTTTTCATGTGGGAACACTACTTCTAAGCTATTTGACATGTTAGTTTTCCACCAATTTACAGTACCTTGCTTCAATATGGGTCTTTGAAGCCCGTAACACTTTATTTGCATAGTCCATCTAGTCCATCTGTAGATGCTCTACAGACTATCAGTCACAGGAAATGTACAACTTGTAGTGTATTTGAGGTTTAAAAAGGCTTCTGAAGTTTATAATTTCCACTTTAAAAATTCTGACTTTATTTTCCCTTCTGAAAAGGGAAAATCCCTTAATCTCAATTAATTATAATCCACATAATAATTCACATTTCCTGTTGCGGCAGGATTATTTTCCTGTATATGCTTCACACTCTGATGACATCATCATACCTAACCCAGAATTTTAGAGCTGCAAGCAAGGGCTTGTGAAACAGGCTGCTGATTGGATGACAGTAGGAGGGGTTGGGAGCTGTCAATAAAAGCATTCTAGCCTTGGATTATTTTACTTTGAAACCTCAGGGATATAGACAACCCCTTTCCTTACACATTGAGAACAAGACAAGAAAAACAGGTAAGATACCTCAACTATATTTCAACAAATACAGTATAGAGAATATCATACATGTGACGGAGGGTGATTAAGAATGCATTTAATTAGAATATGTATACTGTGTTACACTTAACCCTTTGGAAAAAAAGATTTATGCAAACAAGAATCATAAAACATTACTACTGTATTCATCATATTAGTAATCAACTAAATACTGAAGGATAGATAATTGTGTGTTTCCAAATGTTGGGGTAGTAGTGGTTTTTCAGTAATACATCTATATCTATTATTCTTAAGTGTAACGTGGTGAAGGTGAGAAGGGACCTCATGCACACGCTACCTGCACTTACACATACAAATTAGACGTCCTTCGCAGGGTCTCAGGAAGTTGAATTAAGCAATCTAATGTACAACCTCATGCTTCTGCAACTACAGTATGTGTTGCCCCCAAGGCTGAAAGAATGATTTTGAAGTGATTCATAATGGAGAGCAGTGCCTCAGGCATCAACTTTCCTCACTCTGTCTAGAATGTAGAAATAGTAGGCTACAGTACACTACAGCAACACTAAAGGGGCTCTTTATAGGAGGTAGGTTTTAGATGTAACATATGCACATCTTTTAATTGCTGTAAATACCAGTGGTAAATCAAGATAGAAAACGTATGGGCTCTGATTGCTGTATCAGCAATGGAAGTGTTGGGGGGACAACAAGGGTTGTGTTGTCATGGCGACTCCCTCTGGCCCTGTGACTCACTGGGTGCATTTCCCTGTCTGAGTTCACAAGGGAGACGAGGAGGAGGAAGGGGCAGAGTCTATGATCTCCCTCCTACACACTACACACCCTTCCTCTGACTGCTTCATTTATCCCCTCAACTATCACTGTGAGCAAACCTTTCACTTTCACAAGAGATTGCGTCATACTTTTAGGTCAAACATGTATCTTTCAGAATGACCATGGCCCTTACCTAAACTCTTACATGTGTGATGCTGTAAAGTTAACCATTGCATTGATAAGCCACTGGTAGGCAGAAAACTTGAAGGGAAGCATATGAGTATTTGTTCATTGCCAGTAGCTGTTAAGCCAACAGCAAGTATTACTCATATTTAGATGCAGCACCTTTCACTGGGTTTACAAGGAGTTGACCTTTTCTGACAATACTATCAACAATACAATGACAGTTTGTGGAGGGTTCATGCAGTTCACGGGACAGCTGCAAGTCTATTGAGACTGGGAAAGGCTGGGTGGGGTTAACACATAATGTGGAAGAGTGATATTTGAACTTAATTCACTCAAGATAACGTTGTGTCAAGATAACATTGTGTGTGAATCCAATGAAAAAGCAATATGATGTGAATCATGAAGCAAACATATAAATATTCTACCACATCTGGACTTTTAGTACAGAGCCTTCTACTTGCGTACTGTTTAATTGCAATGTCTTTAACTAACACCTTTTTCCTAGTAGGCAACTCTTGTTAAAATGACGTTTCTTACAACCAGACAGTTCTGCTAACTTTTCCCTGCTGGGTTCCTAAACATTTTATCTGTAATGTAGATTTGTATACATACATGTACATTTTACTAAAGTGTAACTATAACTCATATAGTAGCAGGGTCATGTGTAGGGTAGGCACAGCTGTCCTATTTAGGTCAGTTCGGACACAGTATAATAACCGTCATTAATCCCATTGACACACCATTGTAAGTGATCTCTCTTATGCTAATCAAATCAAATCAAAGTGTAATATCGGATGTTGGAACGAATCCAATTAACAACCCAAATAGCACTCTAACAGTAATCCAAATGCAATCTATACGTATGTACACCGGATGAATTTACACAAGATATGCTAAGAATGATATGTACAGCAGTAGATATATATTAGCGTGAGTTAATCCTACTGGTGTGTCTTTTTCAGAGAGCTCCCCTTTACGTGATGCCTATAGCTGGAGCCATGTCCCACATAATACCCAATCACATTCTCAGGGTGGGTCAGAGTACCCGGCTGGACTCTGCTCATGAGGCGGCTCTAGGGTGCAGTCCGAGCGCCATGATGGACCCTAACGGGGGTTGCAGTGAGCAGGACGATCTGGACATCTCCCTAGATAACCTGAACCAGCTCATTCTGGAACTGGACCCCACGTTTGAGCCCATCCACATCAACAAGAGGTCCCAGTCTAGCAGCCTCCACACAGGTAGGAAAATGAGTGAGAGAGCGTATAAAGCCCAATAGTTATTCATATGCTGTGATATAGGCCTATTTACTTTATACAGTACAAGCGCACATGCTTTATTTAAACTGTAGTTTATCTACATATAAAACAATATATATTTCTACGTAGACCTGTCAGGAGGCCTACGCCTACTGAATTACTTTCGGTCATTCAATTCAACAGTTTTGAACATTGAAACATTTCCAACTTAGTCAATGAAGAGGTTCAGACCTAGGGTACTTTTCCGTGTAAAAAAACAGCGGTTAGAAACATCTGCAGGTACGTTGGCTGGAGATCAAGCCTGAGAACCTTGAATAACAACTTCCATTGTTCCCCATTCATGTACTCATGGCCCGGGGCTATGTAAAAATCCACATCAGTTTAATGTTACAAAATAGAGTACATTTGTCTGGGGTTACTGCCCAGACAAAAAAACATACCACACCCAGAACATCTGAGGCAGACACACAATGGTGCTTTAAATACTGTCAACCTTTTCAACAGTCATTGCCTGACATGGTCTGAACAACTGAAAAACAGAATAGAGCAGAACTCCATATATAGAAGTATTCATTCTTAGAAAACCAAAGAGCAAATGGCGTGGGATGTACTGAATGAGGTCACAGTAATTGTGATGGATATAGTTACTGTTACTACCTACTCATCAATGGATCTCCCCCTTAGTATTAGTCACCTTTCCACGTCAACTCTAGTCACTACATCACACTGACCACAGGATACCTCACCTCAGCGGCATGGGGCAACAGACTTGCCTATTTCAATAGGTCTCTGCCGTTACTGACAGGCAGGTAGATCATACAGTCAGCAATAATTTTTTTGGGACAAGTTGAAACTTCTCTAGAAATTCTCCATGGCAAAGCACTGTATTCTCATCATCACAGCAGGAACACAGTGTTTGCTTGGTGTATTTGAATAGGCAGGGTTGGGACTCTCTTGAACAAGTAAAAGCCTGCATGACGTGGAGGAATTTCAACCTTATATCTTTAGCCTCACAGGAAAACACTTGTGTGGTATACACTGAGTGTACAAAACATTAAGAACACCTGCCCTTTCCATGACATAGACTGACCAGGTGAATCCAGATGAAAGCTATGATCCCTTATTGATGTCACTTGTTAAGAATGGTCCACCACCCAAAGGACATCCAGCCAACTTGACACAACTGTGGGAAGCATTGGAGTCAACATGGGCCAGCATCCCTGTGGAACGCTTTCGACACCTTGTAGAGTCCATGTCCCGACGAATTGAAGCTGTCTTGAGGGCTAAAGGGGAGGGCAACTCAATATTAGGAAGATGTTCTTAATGTTTGGTATACTCTGTGTAGTATTGACATAATAAAGCCACGCCCATCTAATACAGACACAATGCCATAGAAGGGAAAGGAATGGGATGTATGAGTGTGTACACATATGAGATTAAATAAGTCTCCACGATCTGCTCTGACTGTATAGTATGAGTATGTGGCACTTGAAGACATCTATTTCAACATTTCTCATTCATATTACTGGGAAGGAAACGTTTAAGACCTTCAACTTTAAATGTGTGTACTTCTCGTAAATGACTGTATGTTAGAAACACAAGGAGAAAAAAATACCACGAATTGGGTGACTTATTGCTCGCAGAATAGGGAAGTTCAGTTCATTCATTGCTTAAGCCACTGAATATACAGTACCTTCCTCACTCTGATGTTCTTCCTCTCTCCTCTCAGATAACATAACGTTAACAATATAAGATTGCATAGACCTATTAGGTTTTACATTCCCTTTATTTATTCGATACTTAACACCATTTGCTCCAACTTCCCTCTGGCATTCTCCCTCTCTCCTCTCCAGTTGACTTCTCCTCTCCAGATGAAGATGTCTCCAGATGTGTGCTCGTCCCCAGAGGCTGTTCTCCAAGGAACATCTCCACCTCCTTCTCCTCCATCTCCCCCTCCTGCAGCATTCCCATCCCACTGTCCCCTGCTTCTGGCTCCAGGTGCAGCCCCCAAAGCTCCCTGGTGTTCTCTGATGCCTCCTCTCGCCCCCCACTGCCGTGTGGAAGTGTCCTCCGCCGGCAGCAGCCCTCAATGCAGGGAGGCGAGGTGGGCATGTGTTCATCCCCAGGCACCCTGCGCATGTCACACTCTCACAGGAACAGTGCCGTCTCCATGCTCTCCACGTCCCCCGGCTCAGAAACCAGCTACATGATGGGCAGGTCAGACCCCTTCACACTGTGTTAATACATGCTTTTGGAAATGACTTTAATATCTGAGTTAGATGCAAATATAATGGCAAGTTAGACCAGTCATGACTCCATAGAGCAACACTAACTGGTGTTGACACTTGAAAGCTCAACCAATGCTCTGTCTGGACTCTACAGCGCCGTAAACATCTTCTCTCTTCAACTCATCTCTCTTCCACAGCTATCAGTCCTTGCTCAGTGACAGTGAAGGCGACAGCCCCGAGTCTCTCCTCCTCTACCGCACATCCAGCTCCTTCAGCGACGTGTCCAGGTCCTCGACCAGGCCGTTCACCAACAGGCAGAGCCCAGACAAGCCCTCGCCGACCGGCCCATCACCACTCGGCCACTTCCAGGGGATCCACAGCAGCCCTCACAGCAGTCCTGCCTCCCTGGCCGGCTCCCTGACGGACATCCCTGTGGTGTTGGTCAACGGAGCGCCAGAGCGGGAGCTCAGCCCCCAGTCACCTCCAGAGGCAATGGTCCCAGACATACAGATCAAGCAGAGGCCCAGCTCCAGGCCGTCCTCGCCATCTCCCTCTAACTGTGAGTCCTGATGATGATGATCCTCGTCAATCTGTTTCAAATTTAAAATCTCTGTCCAGTGCCCTCTGCTGGGAAAAAGGTTTGTGCGTATTCAATAATAAAATAATGTGCATTTCATTTTCATGGTCCCTCAGCTTTCCAAGGCCATTTCCAAGGCAACCAGCACTCCATGAAGTTTGTCATGGACACCTCCCAGTTCTGGTTCCGCCCACACATCAACAGAGTTCAGGGTAAGCATTTTGAGAAGAAATGAGGAGCCAATATATTTGGCCACAACTGTATATACTTTGTTGCATTTTAGCTGAGCTGTGTCTGTGGTACCTGTGTGATTGTAGCTGAGGCCATAGTGATAGACAAGGAGCCGGGGACCTTCGTGGTGAGAGACAGCACGTCCTTCAGAGGCTCCTTCGGGCTTGCTATGAAGGTGGACCAGGTCAATATATCCCCTACTGGCCAACCAGGTAAACAATCCTTAAGTCCTTCTCAGTACAACACTGCTGCTCAGAACAACCACACACACACCACATCACACAGTCCTTTAAACATAGTATACAACTAAAGCACACTAAATGCCAGGATCAACACCAGTGTGTCCTGAAATGACCTGATAGGACTTACCTAACTCTCGCTGCTGCTGACTTGAGTTGGCATGTCTGTCTGTGTTTATCCTGAAATCTGTGGTGTAACCCGAGACCGCACTTTACTCATAATGTCTAACTCTGTGGCAGTGCAAACACTCAATAGCATTTGATTACCGGGATGTTATCATAGTGTTTAAATCTTGGCTTCTTATATCAACAGTAACTATTATCAATATTACAGTATTATCACAACACCACATCATCAACAATACCACAGTAGAACCAAAGGCATCTGTCAGTATGTGATCTAACTGTCATATCTCATACCAGCTTCGTTTACAGATTCGTTTAGCTACTACACTGCTTATCTGCCTTGTCTCTTTTCCTGACTCTTGGCTTCTTTATTGTAGCGGAGGGCAGCTCAGAGCTCGTGAAGCACTTTCTCATTGAATCGTCAGCCAAAGGCGTCCGTATCAAGGGCTCTTCACAGGAACCATACTTTGGTAAGAAGTAGGCTATGTTAACTTTGTTCATTCATAGCGTGACAAGCTATCAATCCCACACTTCTTTGTTTACCATGAACGAACAATCTGTCAATCGAACGTCTTGACAAAAGGCTCACACCCTGGTTTAGGAGAAGTATGACTCACACCCTGGTTTAGGAGAAGTATGACTCACACCCTGGTTTAGGAATCACAAGACTTGAGTCAGCCATGTCTGGTCGGTCTGCTGACAACTGGGAGGCAGAGGGATGGAGCTGTTTGCTTTTCAGGGCTCTGAGAGATGTGAGCTTCTATCCTATGTCCTGTAAGAAAGTATGAAAGTAGATTAGATTTATATTGGCTGTACCACATCTCAAACAATCACACTACAGAATAATAAAAAACAAAGTTGGGTCTGATTGTGATAATAATATGCCATTTAGCAGACACTGTTATCCAAAGCGACTTACAGTCATGCGTGCATACATTTTTTGTGTATGGGTGGTCCCGGGGATGGAACCCACTACCTTGGCATTACAAGCGCCGTGCTCTACCAGCTGAGCTACAGAGGGCCACTAAGCTATGGAGATCTTAAACACACTTGTTGTTGCCTTGGATCATCAAGGCTACTCTGGGGAATGGATGTAAAGCCACGACTCAGAAAGATCATCCATGCCCTCTTGTGGACATTCCTTGAAACAACATTAATACTTTATCATTTGACATGTACAGTGCCTTCGGAAAGTATTCAGACCCCTTGACTTTTTCCACATTTTGATACGTTACAGGCTTTTAGAAAATGTTGCACAGTTATTAAAAAACTGAAATACCTTATTTATATAAGTATTCTGACCCTTTGCTATGAGACTCGAAATTGAGCTCAGGTGGATCCTGTTTCCATTGATCATCCTTGAGATGTTTCTACAACTTGATCGGAGTCCACCTGTGGTAAATTCAATTGATTGGACATGATTTGGAAAGGCACACACCTGTCTATATAAGGTCCCACAGTTGACAGTGCATGTCAGAGCAAAAACCAAGCCATGAGGTCGAAGGAATTGTCCGTAGAGCGCCGAGACAATATTGTGTCAAGGCACAGAGAAACAAGATTCTCTGGTCTGATGAAACCAAGATTGAACTCTTTGGCCTGAATGCTAAGCGTCACGTCTGGAGGAAACCTGGCACGATCCCTACGATGAAGCATGGTGGTGGCAGCATCATGCTGTGGGGATGTTTTTCAGCGGCAGGGACGGGAGACTAGTCAGGATCGAGGCAAAGATTAACGGAGCAAAGATCCTTGATGAATACCTGCTCCAGAGCGCTCAGGACCTCAGACTGGGTCTACTTCCAACAGGACAACGACCCTAAGCACACAGCCAAGACAACACAGGAGTGGCTTCAGGACAAGTCTCTGAATGTCCTTGAGTGGCCCAGCCAGAGCCAGGACTTGAACCCGATCAAACATCTCTGGAGAGACCTGAAAATAGCTGTGCAGCAATGCTCCCCTCTAACCTGACAGAGCTTGAGAGGATCTGCAGAGAAGAATGGGAGAAACACCCCAAATACAGGTGTGCCACGCTTGTAGCGTCATACCCAAGAAGACTCGATGCTGTAATCGCTGCCAAAGGTCCTTCCGCAAAGTAATAATAATAATATGCCACTTAGCAGATGCTTTTACTGAGTAAAGTGTCTGAATACTTATGTGAATGTGATATTTCAGTTATTTATTTTAAATTAGCAAACATTTGTCATGATGGGGTATAGTGTGTAGATTGATGAGGAAAAAAACAATTAAATCAACTTTAGAATAATGCTGTAACCTAACAAAATGTGGAAAAGTCAAGGGGTCTGAATACTTTTAGTTAAAACAACTGGGACTGTGTTTTTTATCCCCTTGCAGGTAGTCTGTCTGCCCTGGTCTTCCAACACACCATCACTGCCTATGCCCTACCCTGCAAACTTCTGCTCCAGTCACATGGTGTGCTATAATAATGTAACAGATAGCCTACATCTATTAAGCAACAAGCCACTGATGATTATGATTACATAAATTGTATGATGATGTGAAAAATAGCATATTCCACATATAAGACTACCTTTTTATTTCTAAACCAGGCAATTCAATAGTATCTGTTTGGTCTACAGAGCTGAACAAAGGAGAGGAGGGAACAAATGACAGGTCAGCACCAGAAGACAAGGCCAAGACAGGTGAGAATTGTGCACCCACATTTCATCAATAGGTTATCTAGTTGTGGTGTCAATTTGCCAATCAGCTAGCTAGTTTTATATTCTTCTTTCTCTAAAGAATAACTTGCATCAACATCATATCTCATGAACAAGGTTGGTAGGCCTACCCTTACAAAAAAAGATTGCAGTTTTGAAACTGCAATAAAAGTGCAGAACCTGCAGTCGACTGTGGTATTTTGGACACAGTAATTGCAGAATAACTACAGTGTACTGCAGTTGAACTGCAGCTATACTGCACTGTAACTGCAGTTAAACTACAAAAGTACTGCAGTAAAAAAAAACTGTGTTCTTTTGGACGCAGTATTTGTAGCGCACTGCAGTTATACTGCACTCTAACTGTGTGGGGACTGGCTAAAGAAGTAGGCCAAGCTAGCTAGCTATAGTATCTAGCGTTTCATTGTAATATTAGCTAATTATCTGTTAATGGCTTGTCTGAGTAAACTTGCCCTTACAAGAAAAGATTGAAACTGCAGTAAAAGTACAGTAACTGCAGTCGACTGTGGTATTTTGGACACAGTATGTGCAGCATACTGCAGTTATACTGCACTCTGACTGCAATCTTTTTTCGTAAGGGGTGGAAAACTACTGCACTACTGCATTGGTTATCTTGAACTTGTTACAGTTCAACTATAAGTAATTTTCCCCATAATATACCTTTGGAAAATCTTTACATTTGTATGAAGTTAGAGAACTGCATCTTCAGGTAAGCCATGCAGAGATTCCCTAAAAACACCCACTTTGATACAGCTCCAACTTTTTCGTAGCAGGTTAGGATAATTTAAGCAGCAGGTTAGGAGAATTGATGTAGCAGGTTAGGAGAATTCCGTTAAGGTTAGGGTTAGTGAAAATGCTTTCGTTTTTAGGGATTCCCAAGCCGTGCCATGCCAAGAAAGCTCACAGGTGAGGTGACCACCTGACCTCTCGCGACTCCCGCCAATTATCTGGATCATTGCAGTATGCTGGATACAGCCAGAGATTTGGATATTGACGAGATACATATGTCTCCGTCCCAACAATGGAATGGCGGGTTGTCAAGCTCCCACCTATTCCTCTCTTTGGATTGATGGATACATCTAGTTATTTGAATGCAGTTTTGAATATTCGGTGAGGGGTATTGATGTCAACCGCCTGTGTTCAATGGAGAGTGAGAGTCTATGCTAGCTTCATGAATATTACCGTCTCGAATTTCAACAGGGACAACTCTGATATGAAGTGTTTTTCTCAAAGTTGCCAGGATGTCACGTGAACCACACTTATATCAGTACACTCGTAACAACCTAAGCATTATGAAACTTCTATTAGATCAAATAAGCCTCACGTATAAAAATAGCAATTCATGTTTATCTTGACTAAATTCAACACTCTTCATTGCCGCCCATATAAAACTCCTCACCTGCTTAATAATTAAGAATCTGCTTAACGTGGACAGATTTTATACAACGTGGTATGCGTGCAACACAAGTTGCAACAATGTTGCAACTTCTTGCATTAAATAATTTATGCTACATTATAAACAGTCACGGTAGGCTACATTGCACACAGTATATGGTATCCTACAATAGTTTGGAAAGGACTGGTAAGTGTAGAAATCTGCAGTAGGCCAGAGTCTTCCTGTCCTACATGCAGCAGTAGACAGCTGTGGTAAAAAACACCACACTGGTTTTTTAAAATGATCTAGGTTTCTCTTCTCTCAAATTAATTAATGATCTTCCATGTCTTCTCCCTAGCTTGCAATTTCCTCTACCTGAGTGCTATCCCCACTGAGATGCTGACAGGGCCATGTGCTGTACAAAAGGCTGTGTCCTCCACCTTCACGATGGACTTGAGCACCATCACACCCACCATAGTCAACCTGAAGGTGTCACCCAAAGGTGTCACTTTGACAGACATCCAGAGAAAGTAAGAAAAAAAGAATATTACATTTTCTTTAGAGAATTCAACAACTCGAAAGCTGATGATGGTAATGACTTGTAAGACCTTTCTTGATTAAATGAAATCTGATGAATGTGTGTGTTCCCATCAGACTCTTCTTCCGACGTCATTACCCTGCACACCTGCTCAGCTACAGTGGTGAAGATCCAGACAAGAGACTGTGAGTTGATTCTTTCAAAAGCGTGTGTTTAAGGGCCATGAGTTTTCCCTGGTAAGGTTATGTGGTCAGGAAAAACTCAGGGCCTACAAATCAGAAATAAAGTCCACTCTGAATGTTCTGTTTCCCCTTCCATTTTTAAACATAGTTTTAATCTCTAAATTATACCACTTTTATCTTCACAGGTGGCACAAGAGTTCCAAACCAGCAAGGTAATGTTTTTCATTATTCGATCGCTTCAGCATGCATACAACCATATTGTAATAGGTATAATTTTGTGAATGAAAGCTAACAACAATGTAGGCTAATATCCAACTTTGATGATTTTTTTCCCTCCAGGATATTTGGTATAGTGGCAAAGGGCACTGAAGCTGGTATGGAGAATGTGTGCCACGTCTTCGCAGAATACGACTCTCTCCAGCCCTGTAATCCGACCATTGAGTTGACACAGGGCATCATATTCAAACCGTAACCACACTCCGTCCAGTGTGGGAAGATGAGATAAGACAATATCACCAGACTGAATGTCGGAAGCCCTTTAAGTCATTTCCGTCAACGAGGGTGCCCAGAGCCAGACCTGATACAGATACTCTGATGTGTCATAAAGACATGTAACAGGGATTCCTGTAGCATGTTGCAGGTCTGAAGACCCGCTGAGGCCAAAAAGCTTTCCACCAAAGCTAAGACTGTGGTGTCCGTTCAGGAAAATGTGGTACCCCCAATTAATTTCATACAAGGTAGGAAGATACTGTAGATTTCAAAATCGATAAGTAATAGATGTTACAAGGTATAACATTGTATAGTTTGGATGGAAAGGGTTACACAAAGTACCCTACTGATGTACTGTAGATCAGTACCTTGTTTAATAGTCACCCCCTGATTATGTGGAGGGCACAGTAACTGGAGCTATCTTCATTTCTACAGGAAACTGTGATATAGTAGTTATCGTAACGAGGTTGAAAAGCACTAGAGGTTCATTAGATAAGTAGAGACATCCTCTCAGGGACAAATTCTAACTTGAGATCCATGTGTCACTTGCATTTTGGCACAACTCTCCCATTTACACTAATGCATGGTTTATGAGAAAATGCGAGGTATGGGCATGCAAGTTAGAATTCGGCCCTAATATGGGTCATTTGATTTGACAATAATTATATTTCTTCCTGCACTAACTTTATCATATCTATTTTCTCAGATGTTGTATATTCTTGCGTATTGAATACAAAACGTTTCTATTTCATATTATGTCATATTTATTTTATATTTAGGATAATAATAAACTTAAAGTGACAAGAATGTTTGTGTCTTGTCCCACAATGGATCTTTAATATCCCTGCAGGGTGCACCCATACCCCAAATACATACCTGCCAAATACATGAAATCATCTGGAAATACATGAAATAATCTGACTCTGTGAAAATACTTTATCTCTGAAACATTCACAGAATTTGTACAAAAACCCATGACTTGAGAAATATACTATTCTATATTGATACAAAGAAACACAACAGACAGCGTTTGTGGTCTTTTTATTTAAATGAATACATTGTTAGATAAAAGCATCATTCTTCATTCTAAAGTTAAAGTGCTCCAAAAATGAAAAGAAGATCTAGTCCCAAAGTACTCCACGAAGCAGAGCAAATCAAGCACATGAAGAACTGCATAGAAGATCATTGTTTTAAACATTTTTACACAGGAGGCACCCAACTGCAATTCACAATGGTATTATTTTCGCTTCATATATTTGGTGCCAACTCAAAAACATAGCAAAAAATATGAAATAAAGATATTGTCTTATAGAGTGTAATCAGTCATATAGATATTATGAATACGACACCACAATCCCAAAATAAAGCATTCAAGATACTGTAGTGCAACTATTTACAAATACCGCCCCCTGCTGGCTAAACCAGGGTATATCTCTGTGATACAAGAGGCGGGGTTAGATTAGAACAGGGCTCTCCAACCCTGTTCCTGGAGAGCTACCGTCCTGTAGGTTTTCGCTCCTATCCTAATCAAGCGCACCTGATTCTAATAATTAGCTGGTTGATAAACTGAATCAGGTTAGTTACAATTAGGGTTGAAACGAAAACCTACTGGAGGGTTGCTCTCCAGGAAGAAGCCTCACTGCAATTTCGACTCACAGTGAGCAGTGTGGGGGAAATAAATACTATTTCTTATTTTTTTACTGTACATTTCTATTTTCGTTGCTTTGTTTTGACTGTGGCCATATTGTCCATATATAGATACAGCCATAGGCAAACTGTCAGTGCTGGGTTGATCCATGACTGCATAGCAAAACTATTAACATTTTACACACAGCGAATTGACAAGAAAAGAACCACCCTTAAATAGTCCACAGTAGAATGCCACATACAACTCTGTGATGGCTCAGCCTTTTCCATGTTTATATTTTTCACCACCTGTATAAAGGGTTAGTTGTTACTGAGGGATGGTTGGATTATACAGTTGTTAAATGTGGTGACCACAGGGAGTACTATATACTGGTATGATGTATTATTGGCCACAGGGGAAATCTCTTGAACATGGCATGTTGTCACATTTGCCTTGATGGCAAAATCGTAAGTAAGCAATATGACTTTCTACTTTTATACATGACTGAGAAATGTTGATATATCAAATGAATTACATTCACTTATTTTCTGTATCACACATTAACCCCTCATGTGGTCTCGTGTGGATGTCACTGGGATGGTTTGGTCATGGGGGTTGCAAAACGGCTGCAGGTAATGCTGATGTCACAATGATGATTGTGGGTGATAGTGGAGTTGCAGGAACTTTGATGACATGACAATACCACTCTGGTCAATGGCTAGGTTCAAAATATACAGATTAATACAAGAGGATTCTAATTAAGCAATAAGGCCCGAGGAGGTGTGGTATATGGCCAATATACCACACCCAAGGGCTGTTCTTATGCACAACGCAACGTGGAGTGCCTGGACACATCCCTTAGCCGTGGTATATTGGCCATATACCACAAACCCCTGAGGTGCCTTATTGCTATTATAAACTGGTTACCAACGTAATTAGAGCAGAAAAAATAAATGTTTTGTCATACCCGTGGTATATGGTCTGATATACCACAGCTGTCAGCCAATCAGCATTCAGGGCTCGAACCACCCAGTTTATAATATTTCATAACTCTTTGTAATTCATGACACGAGCGTTGCTTGTTAGCAATGGTGCTAATATTTATTAATGGAGCTGGTCGGTCCGATGAAGGTGTTTATTTTCAAACGCTTCCGCATGGAATTACTTCATTGTCTTAACCTTCCCATCTTCAACCTAGCTCAATGGGAAACAATGCTGATCTCATTGTGATATCACTGTCAAGGGTAGGGATGCTGTTGCCAGAGCACGACATTTATGAGGGAGGCGATTCAATGATGATATCACCTATCAATGATAGGTATACTGTTGCCTCGACTATACTGTTGCCTCGACATTTGCCGCGATGGTGGGGATGCTGCGGGACCTCTTCATCACCAGGCGGACCTCCACGTCGGGCAGGCTGTCCTGCTTGGTCTGGGCGCAGCCCTCATCTGCCGCCGCCATGTGCAGGTCGAAGCGTAGCGACACAGACTTCTTCCGCAGCTTGGGGTTCCCCTTGAAGAAGGAGCCCTCCCACTGCTTAATCACCTTGTCGATCCTGTCCGTCCTGGGTGGGGTGTTTGGGAAAACAATGGGTTAGGTTTTAAAATGCAATAGATGCTAGACTACAACTGGAAACGTAGAGTACATGTATAGGAACAATCAAACAAACAATCCTTTACAAAGCTGGTGTTTTGAAGTGTACCCTGGCCACAGTAAACCAGGGTTATATCCTAATATGGTATCTCTAACTGATGATTGGTCCGATATGATTGTATGGGTGGGATTTTTACAGTAAAAAGTATAAGTCAGAGAACCCCTCCCAAACACACGCAATGATTGTACAGTTAATTGTAATAATTATCTCATTCAGAGTTAAGGAAAGTTCACGAGATGACACAGTTAGTAAAAGAACAGCTTAAGCACCAGACACCGGGGGTGGCGTGTCAGAGGGCGACGATGACTCTGAAAGCAAAAATATTTATGCGGCCGTTCCCATCCCAGTTGGTACAGTGTGTGGTTTTAACACCTGATGTATACACAAAGAATTTAGGAATGACAGACGCCACTCCCTCTTGGGAGACGCCGGTGTCTCCACATCTAATGGAGCTCATTAACGAATGTCTCTCAATGAGAAATATTCCCAACAACCCCCAGACCGACAGCTCATGCCAAATTTCGCAACTGAATAAATTGTTAATCACTCCTGGCTTAGGCATGCAGAGATACTTCCCTGTGTGTGTGGTGTGTGTGTGTGTGTGTGTGTGTGTGTGTGTGTGTGTGTGTGTGTGTGGGTGTGGGTGTGGGTGTGCACGTGCATGTCTGCACATCTTGTCTCTCAGACTAGATGTTGCCAGGGAGGGAATATGAGTGTGTCTATTGCTGCCATTATTAGTCGAACAAACACAATACAAACTGAAAGGTGCTTCATGTGAAAGATGCATTCAGCTGCTACCTAATGTGGTAAAAAACCTTCAATTTGTCCTGAATTATATTTAGAATACCTCATTTGACAGTTTGAAAAGTTATCCCTAGTCTATTGAATAACATCATAAGTAAAGCATCACTGCTCCCTTCATCGTAGTTGATACTTTCTGACACTAAGGAACGATTACTCTTCACACTACCTGAACCAGGCGTGGTGGTGACATTGGGACAACGATCACGATTAATAGGTCTGATTAGAGCTGTGGTGGTCACAAAATCTTGTCAGCGCAAATAACTGCCGGTCTCACGGTAATTGACCGTTAATTAACATAAACAATTTTAGCATCTCCTGGCTTCCACACATAGCCTACAAGCCACTGATGCAGACCTTTGGAACATATATATTTTAAAAAGTCTAATAAATCCATGTAATATAGCCTATACCTTCACAATAAATTCATTATTTATTTTAGACAGGTCTAAAGAAACATGATATGAAGAAAATGTAGTCTGTTTCAGAAGAACAGAATAGCATACTCTGAGTTGACCATGTTGCAGCTGTGCCCTTGGGCTAAATATAATAATTATAATTCCCTTCTCCCTAAGTGCTGCCTGCTCCAAAGCACCTCTCACTCACATGGCTCTCCATCACGTGATCGGGTCTTTCTCACAGGCTACAAGTGAAGACAGACACATCGGGGACTGCGCGTGTCCTTATCCAATTCCGAGGTGCATATTGAAGATATTGGAAGAACTGTCCACATTTACTTTTCGTCAGCCAACAAGATGAGTAGGCCTAACAAATGGCAAAAGCACTAGCCTATGTCAATCTACTATCCCCTATAGTACAAAAGTTGACCTATTCTATTCTGTGCGACAGTTGTGGGATGCGATAGATCCCAAATGAATACAACCACTAGCATCAAAAAAACGTTTTTAGGCAATGAGGCTGATGCAACAGATCAGAATGTTTATCTTAAAATGTTGATAAATTATTAGGCTATTTCTTTAAATTATAAGCGCAGCAATGCGCACAGGGCAGTAGGCTATAAGCACAAATGTTCCATTAGCGGGAAAACACCATTTTCAAAAGTGACCGCAAATGCGGTTACGCATGTAATGCCTTTATTATAAGGTGCATTTTTATGGTGAAAATTATCTTCCCCAAACTTGTATGCCAGTTAGGCTCTACACCCCTTGTAAAGTGGATTAATGTGCTTAATTTTAAGAAGTTATTTGGCCACTTTAGTTATGATACAAACCTTATTAAAACATACAGTGGCTTGCGAAAGTATTCACCCCTCTTGGCATTTTTCCTGTTTTGTTGCCTTACAACCTGGAATTAAAATAGATTTTTGGGGGGTTTGTATCATTTGATTTACACAACATGCCTACCACTTTGAAGATGCAATTTAATAAAATTGTGAAATAAACAAGAAATAAGACAAAAAAACTGAAAACTTGAGTGTGCATAACTATTCACCCCCCCAAAGTCTATATTTTGTAGAGCCACCTTTTCTAGCAATTACAGCTGCAAGTCTCTTGGGGTATGTCTCTATAAGCTTGGCACATCTAGCCACTGGGATTTTTGCCCATTCAAGGCAAAACAGCTCTAGCTCCTTCAAGTTGGATGGGTTACGCTGGTGTACAGCAATCTTTAAGTCATACCACATATTCTCATTTGGATTGAGGTCTGACATTTAAATGTTTCCCCTTAAACCACTCGAGTGTTGCTTTAGCAGTATGCCTAGGGTCATTGTCCTGTTGGAAGGTGAACCTCCGTCCAAGTCTCAAATCTCTGGAAGACTGAAACAGGTTTCCCTCAAGAATTTCCCTGTTTTTAGCGCCATCCATCATTCCTTCAATTCTGACCAGTTTCCCAGTCCCTGCCAATGAAAAACATCCCCACAGCATGATGCTGCCACCACCATGCTTCACTGTGGGGATGGTGTTCTCGGGGTGATGAGAGGTGTTGGGTTTGCGTCAGACATACAGTGGGGAGAACAAGTATTTGATACACTGCCGATTTTGCAGGTTTTCCTACTTACAAAGCATGTAGAGGACTGTCATTTTTATCATAGGTTTATCAAAAATCCAGAAAATCACATTGTATGATTTTTAAGTAATTAATTTGCATTTTATTGCATGACATAATTATTTGATACATCAGAAAAGCAGAACTTAATATTTGGTACAGAAACCTTTGTTTGCAATTACAGAGATCATACATTTCCTGTAGGTCTTAACCAGGTTTGCACACACTGCAGCAGGGATTTTGGCCCACTCCTCCATACAGACCTTCTCCAGATCCTTCAGGTTTCGGGGCTGTCGCTGGGCAATACGGACTTTCAGCTCCCTCCAAAGATTTTCTATTGGGTTCAGGTCTGGAGACTGGCTAGGCCACTCCAGGACCTTGAGATGCTTCTTACGGAGCCACTCCTTAGTTGCCCTGGCTGTGTGTTTCATGTCGTTGTCATGCTGGAAGACCCAGCCACGACCCATCTTCAATGTTCTTACTGAGGGAAGGAGGTTGTTGGCCAAGATCTCGCGATACATGGCCCCATCCATCCTCCCCTCAATACGGTGCAGTCGTCATGTCCCCTTTGCAGAAAAGCATCCCCAAAGAATGATGTTTCCACCTCCATGCTTCACGGTTGGGATGGTGTTCTTGGGGTTGTACTCATCCTTCTTCTTCCTCCAAACACGGCGAGTGGAGTTTAGACCAAAAAGCTATATTTTTGTCTCATCAGACCACATGACCTTCTCCCATTCCTCCTCTGGATCATCCAGATGACAGGCAAACTTCAGACAGGCCTGGACATGCGCTGGCTTGAGCAGGGGGACCTTGCGTGCGCTGCAGGATTTTAATCCATGACGGCGTAGTGTGTTACTAATGGTTTTCTTTGAGACTGTGGTCCCAGCTCTCTTCAGGTCATTGACCAGGTCCTGCCATGTAGTTCTGGGCTGATCCCTCACCTTCCCCATGATCATTGATGCCTCACGAGGTGAGATCTTGCATGGAGCCCCAGACCGAGGGTGATTGACCGTCATCTTGAACTTCTTCCATTTTCTAATAATTGCCCAAACAGTTGTAGCCTTCTCACCAAGCTGCTTGCCTATTGTCCTGTAGCCCATCCCAGCCTTGTGCAGGTCTACAATTTTATCCCTGATGTCCTTACACAGCTCTCTGGTCTTGGCCATTGTGGAGAGGTTGGAGTCTGTTTGATTGAGTGTGTGGACCGGTGTCTTTTATACAGGTAACAAGTTCAAACAGGTGCAGTTAATACAGGTAATGAGTGGAGAACAGGAGGGCTTCTTAAAGAAAAACTAACAGGTCTGTGAGAGCCGGAAGTCTTACTGGTTGGTAGGTGATCAAATACTTATGTCATGCAATAAAATGCAAATGACTTACTTAAAAATCATACAATGTGATTTTCTGGATTTTTGTTTTAGATTCCGTCTCTCACAGTTGAAGTGTACCTATGATAAAAATGACAGACCTCTACATGCTTTGTAAGTAGGAAAACCTGCAAAATCAGCAGTGTATCAAATACTTGTTCTCCCCACTGTAGCGTTTTCCTTGATGGCCAAAAAGATCAATTTTAGTCTCATCTGACCAGAGTACCTTCTTCCATATGTTTGGGGAGTCTCCCACATGCCTTTTGGCGAACACCAAACGTGTTTGCTTATTGTTTTCTTTAAGCAATGGCTTTTTTTCTGGCCACTCTTCTGTAAAGCCCAGCTCTGTGGAGTGTACGGCTTAAAGTGGTCCAATGGACAGATACTCCAATCTCCGCTGTGTAGCTTTGCAGCTCCTTAAGGTTATCTTTGGTCTCTTTGTTGCCTCTCTGATTAATGCCCTCCTTGCCTGGTCCGTGAGTTTTGGTGGGCGGCCCTCTCTTGGCAGGTTTGTTGTGGTGCCATATTCTTTCCATTTTTTAATAATGGATTTAATGGTACTCCGTGGGATGTTCAAAGTTTGAGATATTTTTTTATAACCCAACCCTGATCTGTACTTCTCCACAACTTTGTCCCTGACCTGTTTGGAGAGCTCCTTGGTCTTCATGGTGCCGCTTGCTTGGTGGTGCCCTTTGGTTAGTGGTGTTGCAGACTCTGGGGCCTTTCAGAACAGGTGTATATACAGTTGAAGTCGGAAGTTTACACACACTTAGGTTGGAGTCATTCAAACTCGTTTTTCAACCACTCCACAAATGTCTTGTTAACAAACTATAGTTTTCGCAAGTCGGTTAGGACATCTACTTTGTGCATGACACAAGTAATTTTTCCAACAATTGTTTACAGACAGATTATTTCACTTATAATTCACTGTATCACAATTCCAGTGGGTCAGAAGTTAACATTCACTAAGTTGACTGTGCATTTAAACAGCTTGGAAAATTCCAGAAAATGATGTCATGGATGTATTTCAAGGCCTACCTTCAAACGCAGTGCCTCTTTGCTTGACATCATGGGAAAATCAAAAGAAATCAGCCAAGACCTCAGAAAAATAATTGTAGACCTCCACAAGTCTGGTTCATCCTTGGGAGCAATTTCCAAACGCCTGAAGGTACCACGTTCATCTGTACAAACAATAGTACGCAAGTATAAACACCATGGGACCACGCAGCCGTCATACCGCTCAGGAAAGAGACGCATTCTGTCTCCTAGAGATGAATGTACTTTGGTGCTAAAAGTGTAAATCAATCCCAGAACAACAGCAAAGGACCTTGTGAAGATGCTGGAGGAAACAGGTACAAAAGTATCAATATCCACAGTAAAACGAGTCCCATATCGACATAACCTGAAAGGCCGCTCAGCAAGGAAGAAACCACTGCTCCAAAACCGCCATAAAAAAGCCAGACTACGGTTTGCAACTGCACATGGGGACAAGATCTTACTTTTTGGAGAAATGTCCTTTGGTCTGATGAAACAAAAATAGAACTGTTTGGCCATAATGACCATCGTTATGTTTGGAGGAAAAAGGGGAAGGCTTGCAAGCCGAAGAGCACCATCCCAACCGTGAAGCACGGGGGTGGCAGCATCATGCTGTGGGGATGCTTTGCTGCAGGAGGGACTGGTGTACTTCACAAAATAGATGGCATCATGAGGAAGGAAAATTATGTGGATATATTGAAGCAATATCTCAAGACATCTGTCAGGAAGTTAAAGCTTGGTCGCAAATGGGTCTTCCAAATGGACAATGACCCCAAGCATACTTCCAAAGTTGTGGCAAAATGGCTTAAGGACAACAAAGTCAAGGTATTGGAGTGGCCATCACAAAGCCCTGACCTCAATCCTATAGAAAATCTGTGGGCAGAACTGAAAATGCGTGTGCGAGCAAGGAGGCCTACAAACCTGACTCAGTTACACCAGCTCTGTCAGGAGGAATGGGCCAAAATTCACCCAACTTATTGGGGAAACTTGTGGAAGGCTACCCTAAATGTTTGACCCAAGTTAAACAATTTAAAGGCAATACTACCAAATACTAATTGAGTGTATGTAAACTTCTGACCCACTGGGAATGTGATGAAAGAAGTAAAAGCTGAAATAAATCATTCTCTCTACTATTATTCTGACATTTCACATTAAAATAAAGTGGTGATCCTAACTGACCTAAGACAGGGAATTTTTACTAGGATTAAATGTCAGGAATTGTGAAAAACTGAGTTTAAATGTATTTGGCTAAGTTGTATGTAAACTTCCGACTTCAACTGTATACTGAGATCATGTGACACTTAGATTACACACAGGTGGACTTTATTTAACTAATTATGTGACTTCTGAAGGTAATTGGTTGCACCAGATCTTATTTAGGGGCTTCATAGCAAAGGGGGCGAATACATATGCACGCACCACTTGTTATTAATTTTTTTGAATTTTTTGAAACAAGTAATTTTTTTCATTTCACTTCACCAATTTGGACTATTTCGTGTATGTCCATTACATGAAATCCAAATAAAAATCAATTTAAATTGCAGGTTGTAATGCAACAAAATAGGAAAAACACCAAGGGGGATGAATACTTCTGCAAGGCACTGTATAGGCCTATGGGCTAGGCTGCATGAGGTGTGCGACTATGATTAGAAAAAGTCGCAAAAAAAAGGCATTGTTTCTTATGCTGGGCATCATTCACAAGTGATAATATATAATTCACAAGTGATAGGCTAATATTGTCACCCATCAGACTATTCTTGATTTAATCTTGTCTTTACAGATACTAAATAATATATGTGTGAAATTTGTTTTGATTTATAATGGACCATTATTATGCACCTGGGGCAGGGGTAAAAATACATGCACTTAATTGCACTTAAATTGCGAATGGAGGACACGATTCCCGTGGTTAATTTTTATGCCAGCCAGGTAGGCTATACTCCTGTTATAAAGAGAAGCAATGTGCTTAATGTTAGGAAAGTTGAGAAATAAATATAGTAGGCCTAGCCTATAGAAAGCTGATGTGATCCTCTTTTTAATAGAGGCCATCACTCTGTTTTTTCTCACACAATTGCATAGCCTATAGAAATGTTGCGCAACATGAGCTCATGGGCTCTCATTGATGTCAGAGTGATTAGAAGGGACAATAGAGTGCTGAGTACCAGGCAGTTAGCAAGTTTGGTAGGCTACTAATGACCATCAGCAGCATCAGAGCTTGGAGAAGCCTAATTACCATGACTAAATGGTCACGTGGAATTTGACTGCCTTCATGACTCGTGACCGCCAGTGTGGCGGTAATACGGTCACCGCAACAGCCCTAGGTCTGATCAATACTTACTCCACGGTGCCGGTACCCTCTGCACTCTCCCGCACCATGTTGCCTTGGAGGATCTCCTGGGTCTTCACTGTGGAAATTCTCAGATCGTTGTCTCGCTCTGGCTCTGCACATAAAACAAATAAAATCAAATTTGATTGGTTGCACACACAGACACTACATGACCAAAAGTATGTGGACACCTGCTTGTCGAACACCTCATTCCAAAATCATTGGCATTAATATGGAATTGGTCCCCCCTTTGCTGCTATAACAGCCTCCACACTTCTGGGAAGGCTTTCCACTAGATGTTGGAACATTGCTGCAGGGACCTTCAGCCACAAGAGCATTAGTGAGGTAAGGCACGGATGTTGGGTGATAAGGCCTGGCTTGCAGTTGTCGTTCCAATTCAGGGCTCTGTGCAGGCCAGTCAAGTTCTTCCACACCGATCTCGACAAACCATTTCTGTATGGACCTCGCTTTGTGCACGAGGGCATCGTCATGCTGAAACAGGAAAAAGCCTTCCCCAAACTGTTACCACAAAGTTGGAAGCACAGAATTGTCTAGAATGTCATTGTATGATGTAGCATTAAGATTACCCTTCACTGGAACTAAGGGGCCCGAACCATGTAAAAAGAACCCCACACCATTATTCCTCCTCCACCAAACTTTACAGTTGGCACTATGCATTGGAGCAGGTAGCGTTCTCCTGGCATCCGCCAAACCCAGATTCATCACTCCAGAGAACGCCATTCCACTGCTCCAGAGTCAATGGCAGCAAGCTTTACACCACTCCAGTCGACGCTTGGCATTGCGCATGGTGATCTTAGACTTGTGTGTGGCTGCTCGGCCATGGAAACCCATTTCATGAAGCTCCCGACGAACAGTTCTTGTGCTGATGTTGCTTCCAGAGGCAGTTTGAAACTCAGTAGTGAGTGTTGCAAACAAGGACACATTATTTTTAACGCACTACGCGCTTCAGCACTCGGCAGTCCCGTTCTGTGAGTTTGTGTGGCCTACCACTTTGTGGCTGAGCCGTTGTTGATCCTAGATGTTTCCACTTCACAATAACAGCACTTACAATTGACCGGGGCAGCTCTAGCAGGGCAGAAATTTGACGAACTTGTTGGAAAGGTGACTTCCTTATGACGGTGCCACGTTGAAAATCACTGCGCTCTTCAGTACGGCCATTCTACTGACAATGTTTGTCGATGAAGATTGCATGGCTGTGTGCTGGATTTTATACACCTGTCAGCAACAGGTGTGGCTGAAATAGCCGAATCCACTAATTTGAAGGGGTGTTCACATACTTTTGTATATATAGTGCATTTAGCATACTGTATGAGTGTGTGTGTGTGGTACTCCTGCCTGATTGTGTGTATATGAGTGTGTATATGACCGTGAACATTCTATGTGTGTATGTGCCTGACCATGTCCCCCACCTGTGAGGATGACCAGGCTCTGTTGCCTATGCAGCGTTAGCGCAGGGCTCTTCCTCAGACCGTTCTCCGTCACAGACCACCGCTGGGGTCGCTCAGGCAGGGGCTCGGACAGTGGCTCCTCAGGGGTCACCGTGGGGTCACTGAGGCCGTTCTCCTCCACTCCATTCTCCTTGGGCTCCTCCCCTATAGGGTCTGGCTCTCTTATGGGGCCCCTCCAGCGCCGTAGCCCCATCACCTGTCCGTTATGCCCACCTGGGTACCTGTGAATAGATGAGGAAACATGGTGAGTAGGTCCCAATGGAATCTGTGTCGGGGGACACTCCTTTGGCAGCTGTCTCAGATGCTGTCTACCTATTTGATGGATAACTTCAGCCATTTCTGTGCACTCAAAGAAATTGCGGGGCTGAAGGATATCTTATAGTGTGGTCAGCACATCCGAATCATGAAATGACAGAGCAGATTGATACAATACAGAGCCTGGCATCTTGAGTTGAGCGAGTGCATTGTGATCTTCTGAGAATATAGATATAAATCCAATAGACTGGTAGAAGATCTAGGATGCATCATCGAGCGTCACCTTACTCAACCTGGATGGTCATAAAACTAGATAATGCGGGGCACTTCCCAGATAAATAAAAGGTGGTAATAAAAACATAATTATGAGGTCTGCTGGGGTGCTAAATTGAGGGACAGATCTGCGATGTACAAACATTATGGCCGTGAACTGTCTGTGATTGAATGCATTCGTGTGACCAGCCTGTGAATTCCTCAGTGATGATAATTGAGTATAATCTGTAGGCCTGTAAATCGAATGGAATCTTTCCTAATAAAACCAACCTTGATGTTAAGAGGAAACAACATTAAAGATCTGAACGAAAGCCATGAGGTTAAGACGTGAATGTGGGGCTGTCTGGTACAGAACAGCTGGTAGTTTAAAACTCTCTTTTATCTGTGCACACAATGCAGAGGAATGTGTCTGTCTGCCTGTATGTCTGTCTGTCTGCCTGTCTTCCTGCATGTCTGTCTGTCTGTCTGTCTGTCTGTCTGCCTGTCCAGTCTTCCTGTCTGTCTGCCTGTCTTCCTGCCTGTCTTCCTGCCTGTCTTCCTGCATGTCTGTTTGCCTGTCTTCCTGTCTTCCTGTCTTCCTGTCTTCCTGTCTTCCTGGCTGTCTGTCTGTCTGTCTGTCTGTCTGCCTGTCTGTCTTCCTGCCTGTCTGTCTTCCTGCCTGTCTGTCTGTCTTCCTGTCTGTCTGTCTGTCTTCCTGCCTGTCTGTCTTCCTGCCTGTCTGTCTTCCTGCATGTCTGCCTTCCTGTCTGTCTGTCTGTCTGTCTGTCTGTCTGTCTGTCTGTCTGTCTGTCTTTCTGTCTGTCTGTCTGTCTGTCTGTCTGTCTGTCTGCCTGCCTTCCTGTCTGTCTGTCTTCCTGCCTGTCTGTCTTCCTGCCTGTCTGTCTTCCTGCCTGTCTGTCTTCCTGCATGTCTGCCTTCCTGCCTGTCTGTCTGTCTGTCTGTCTTCCTGTACTGTATGTAGGTAAATACACTGAGTGTACAAAACATTAAGGACACATTCCTAATATTGTGTTGCCCCCCCCCCCCCTCCCCCCCAGTTGTGTGAAGTTGGCTGGATGTCCTTTGGATGGTGGACCATTCTTGATTCTTGAAACTGTTGAGCGTGAAAAACCCAGCAGCATTGCAGTTCTTGACACAAACCTGGCACCTAATACCATACCCTGCTTAAGGCTTAAAAATCCTTCTTAAACCTGTCTCCTCCCCTTCATCGACACTGATTGAAGTGGATTTAACACGTGACATCAATAAGAGATCATAGCTTTCACCTGGATTCACCTGGTCAGATTATGTCATGGAAAGAGCAGGTGTCCTTAATGTTTTGAATACTCAGTGTACATTAGCACAAGTCTGGTGAATTTCCAGTAACCAGTAACCAACTGTTATATTGAGTCGCCGCCAGAACATCTCTGTCTCAACCTACAATTATTTTTGATTCTCTATGCAGATAAGACTTTCTTAAGCTGCAACAGTAAAGAAAGCCATCTGTCACACTCCTCAACAAAAGAGAAAGACTCAACACATAAATCGAGCTGTTTTGACAGAGAAACAAAGTGGTAGATTAAGAGGAATCCTTTTTTAAATTACCTTCACCCTTTAAGCTCCTTTTGGATGGTTTTTGGATGTTTAATTTCATTGAACATTTTTGGGAACAAGGTGGTGCTTTCCTATGTACCAGAAACAAAATTGTAGACCTGCACCAGGCTGGGAAGACTGAATCTGCAATAGGTAAGCAGCTTGGTTTGAAGAAATCAACTGTGGGAGCAATTATTAGGAAATGGAAGACATACAAGACCACTGATAAACTCCCTCGATCTGGGGCTCCACGCAAGATCTCACCCCGTGGGGTCAAAATGATCACAAGAACGGTGAGCAAAAATCCCAGAACCACACGGGGGGACCTAGTGAATGACCTGCAGAGAGCTGGGACCAAAGTAACAAAGCCTACCATCAGTAACACACTACGCCGCCAGGGACTCAAATCCTGCAGTGCAAGACGTGTCCCCCTGCTTAAGCCAGTACATGTCCAGGCCCGTCTGAAGTTTGCTAGAGTGCATTTGGATGATCCAGAAGAGGATTGGGAGAATGTCATATGGTCAGATGAAACCAAAATAGAACTTTTTGGTAAAAACTCAACTCATCGTGTTTGGAGGACAAAGAATGCTGAGTTGCATCCAAAGAACACCATACCTACTGTGAAGCATGGGGGTGGAAACATCATGCTTTGGGGCTGTTTTTCTGCAAAGGGACCAGGACGACTGATCCGTGTAAAGGAAAGAATGAATGGGGCCATGTATCGTGAGATTTTGAGTGAAAACCTCCTTCCATCAGCAAGGGCATTGAAGATGAAACGTGGCTGGGTCTTTCAGCATGACAATGATCCCAAACACACCGCCCGGGCAACGAAGGAGTGGCTTCGTAAGAAGCATTTCAAGGTCCTGGAGTGGCCTAGCCAGTCTCCAGATCTCAACCCCATAGAAAATCTTTGGAGGGAGTTGAAAGTCCGTGTTGCCCAGCGACAGCCCCAAAACATCACTGCTCTAGAGGAGATCTGCATGGAGGAATGGGCCAAAATACCAGCAACAGTGTGTGAAAACCTTGTGAAGACTTACAGAAAACGTTTGACCTGTGTCATTGCCAACAAAGGGTATATAACAAAGTATTGAGAAACTTTTGATGTGTTTGGTGATGAGGTTTTGACTGTCTGCATATGCATGGGAAACAAAAGATGGCTCATTATAGGTGTGGGACCCTCATGGGAGAGTTTTTATAGCAAGTTTTCATGTTCTGTTAAAAGCAACTGGGGCATCTTAATTTCGTTTAATTTGCAACCACCCTTCCTCATGTCCTCACAGGTCCTGAGATCATCTTTCTCATACTGACTAATGATTCAACACCTTTACTTTCGATCCCTATTCTTTAAAAGGTATAGTGCCCTCAAGAAGTTTCTCTAGTAAAATAACTTCAAGTTCCTTCACTGTCTTGTTAAGAACTTCAATGAGATACAATTTATTTTTGGACATTATAATATTGTACGAAAACATATCCTGCCTGTTTATTTCAGCCATCTTCACTCTTTAAGCAGAAGATCATTTTGGGTCATGGCATTTTGTACCGCTCAGCACTTTATGGTTCTTATTTATAGTTCAGGTTTACGGTTTAGGATGAAGACCTGCCAGCACATTGTGGTGAATATGCCCTGTAGCATGAAACTGTTTCATCATTTAATACCTTTATATCAACTATCTCACCCTTAGTAGGTGCGTATTCATCTGTGTGCATCTATGTCTGTTTAATTGACCAGAAATCTAACTTAGCTCAGCTGCTCAATTCTAGAGTAAAGCCTTTTGCTCTGGGGGCTACAGTTACATCTCAGGAAAGGATACTCATCACCATGTAGTTTACCAAACCACCTCTGCTACATCTGTCCCAGGATTCCATTTCTGTGACCGTTGGCCCCCTCACCTGCCCTCCTCGCGCTCCAGCAGGCGCCTGTAGTTGGCGATCTCTCTCTCCAGCCTCATCTTGGTATTGAGCAGCTGGCCGTGACGCTCTCGCTGCGTGGCCAGACCCCCCCTCACCTGCTCCAGCTCGCCCTCCAGGCCCTGGATGACCTGGGACAGGCCCTGCAGCTGGCTGGAGTACTGACGCTGGGTGTGGTGGAGGGAACTCTCCAGACCTTTCTCCTGGTGAGGGGAAGGAGGGGGATGGAGGAGAGAGGGTGGACAGGATAAAATGATGTGGGACAGAGAGAGGAGAGAGGGAGCAGGTAGAAAAGGGAGAGAAATGGCAGAGGAGATGGAGGAGAGAGAGGAGAGTGGAAAATAGCAGGATCAGAGAGATGAAAGAATTGTAAAAATGGAGAGGTGGAGAGAGAGGGGATGTAAAAGGTGGAGCACAGTGATGGAGAGTGAGGACAGCGTAGAGGGAAAAGAGGGAATATGATAGAGAGGGTCGATCGGGACGAAAGGGGATGAGAGGATGACACAGAAGGTGGAACAGAAGAGAGAGTGAGAGGGGACGGGGCAAGAGAACAAGAGTGAGAGGGGATGGGGTAGAGGGGACGGGGCAAGAGAACAAGAGTGAGAGAATCACCAATAGTGTTTTCACAATCAATAAAGATGAATGTTCTCCAAACTCTACTGATCCATTACGGGTGTTTGGCAGAGATGGGAAAGTACTGTATGTGTCTGCCACAATGCCGAGGCTATAGTGGTGTGGTGTGTGTGTGTGTGTGTGTGTGTGCATGTGTGCGCGTGTGCGTGCGTGCGTGTGTGCGTGTGTGTGTGTGTGTGCTCACCAGAGCATGTAGGGACTCTATCTCCACCTGCAGGCAGTGCCACTGTTTCCTGGCGTCGGCTAGCTCTGCCCGCGCCTCCCTCAGGGCAGCCCCGCCGAGGTTCACCTGGGCCCATGCTGCCTCTTCTGCATTGAGCTGGGGGAGAGAGAAGAAGGTCAGATAACACACACACACACAAACACACACACATACACCTACACGTGCACACGCAAGTACGCATGCATGCACCTACACACAAACACACACACATCATTCACATGGAAGAACACAAAAATAAAGTTCTGATGGAGATAGATGCTGACGTTCACACAAACAGGAACAGTTCGCATGGAACTCTGGGACACACACACACTCGTACAAATTCGCACCCACACACACTCATAAAAACTGGTACCCACACACACCCATAGAAACTGGCACCCACACACATTGGCACACAGCCAGAGGATTCCGGGCACAGATGGAACAGGTTGATGTGGGTAATCTGACACCCTAGACATTAACACGAACTAATGAACTAACAGGTACACAAAGTAAAACAACTCTAAACCAAGACTTAAACTTGATGACACATTGTAAATAGGCTTCACACCTTGATGAATCTACCTGTAATCATTTTCCCCGCAGATTCCCACAGGGCACAAACATGTTGAATCAAGGTTGTTAGTTAAACATGAAACTTTCACTTGTTCTCAGTGGATTCTTCAAAACTGTGGACTTCATAATATTATTCTGTAATTACCATGTAAATAACCATGTATTAGGGGCACTTACTGTAAATTGGAACCGTAACCAGTAATTTTACAGTAAGAAGCATAACATAATAGCTAGTTAGCCTCGTCTCATACAATATGTACAGTATGTCCTTTAGCCAACTCTGCTTCCCCGACAGATCTGGAACCAGGCTGTAACAGGGCTGTATTCTGCTCCAGACTCCAGTCCACTCTGACATAACGGGGCTCTAACTAGGAGGGCAACAAACAAAGTCATTCTGTAGAGCAGACGCTGGTTAAGTACCAGTCGCTGCCTGCCTGCAGCCATGGGCCAAGGTGCTTAATCAAGCTTGACACATCAAAGTCACTGGTTGCATCCCAAATAGCACCCTATTCCCTAAAATTACACTACTTTTGACCAGAGCCCTATGGGCCCCGGTCAAAAGTAGTGCACTATCTAAGGAATAAGGTGCCAATTGGGATGCAACCAGTGTGCCACAGACGGCAAAACTGACCAGACGGAAACAACACAGCCATGATGAGTGACTCATTCTATTCCCCCTACTCGATTGAAACCGAAACGCTCCTATTTCAAAACCTGAAATATGAGCTGAAATATCATCTCATGGGTAATAAGCAAAACTGACCAGACGGGCTGTGTCGTTGTTGAAAACAACATAGCTATGAGAGGAAGTCATAGGTCAATTGCTAAATATATCCTATTCCCTATTCAACTGAAATCAAAATGCTACTATTTCAAAGCCTGAAATACTGTCCCCATCTGATGTGATGTTGTCGAAAACAACAGCTATGGAAGGTGGCTATAGGCTACATGCCAATTGCAAGTTATCCTTTTAAACTGAAATCTAAATGCTCCTATTTCAAAGTCTGAAAATAATATTGTCCTCAGCTGATGCCTTATAAGTACTTAGCAGTAAACAGATCAGAGAGGCCCATTTCAAGTGGTGTATTACAATGCTGCGATTGTGGTTTACGACGTATCAATATCTAAAGAGGTTGTACGGAGCAGCGTTTCAATATCGTAGTAAAAGTTGATCTCTTCTTCGAGGTAATAGACTGTCTATGGGGTACCTTTATGTATGTGGAGGGGTGTGATGGGGATAAAGAGGGAAGGAGAGAGAAAGAGAAGGAGAGAGAGAAAGAGGGATAGAGGTAAACAACCCATCTCAGACCTCAGACCACCTCAGAGCTCCGACTAATTCAGTACAACAAATCAAAATAAACCAACTCCTCTTCTCTTACCACATATCACTGTGTTGCCTGGAAACAGCCGAGGTGAGCTATGATCAGGGTGTGACTAGGTGGCAGGGAGCCAAAGGAGGATGAAAGGAAAGAGAGAGAGGGATGGAAGGAAGGGAGAAAGGAGGGGAGGGAGGAGGGCAGTGGGACACTGCGTACCTGTGGGAGAGATCCTCCGTGGGCTCGGGATCCGAGTGTGGCTCCGAAAAGGCTAGGCCCGGCAGCGGAGCATGGAGCTTGATATGGGCCGGCGGCCAGGCCGCGGTGTCGGTCATCTGGGACTTGATTTGGGCCGGTGAGGCTGAGGCGGTCGCACTGCGTCCTGATTCGGTCGAGGAGCTGGGAGAGCTCCATCCCTGTGCCATCCTCCTCCCACGCTGTGGCCGTCACTAGCAGCGCATCACAGGAGTCGGCCTGCTGCTGCTGCAGAGCACGGGCTGCCTGCACAACGAGCCAACCAGCGAGAGAGAGAGGGAGAGAGAAGAGGGAGAGAGAAGAGGGAGAGAGAGACAGGGAGATATATGAGTGTAAGAGAGTATACAAGAGTGTGTGTGTGACAGCAAGAGGTGATGGATCAGAGAGTGAATCTGAGAGAGAAGGAGAAAAAGGAACAGAGAGAGAACGAGGGCAGAGGAAGAGAGAGAGAGAGAGAGAGAGAGAGAGAGAGAGAGAGAGAGAGAGAGAGAGAACAGTCTGAGAGCAGACACACGCAATGCAGGGGAGGGGTAGAGTCTGTTATTGAGCATGAGCCTGTGAGTGTGGGACAGTGTGTGTGTGTGTGTGTGTATGTGTGTGTGTGTGTGTGTGTGTGTATGTGTGTATGTGTGTATGTGTGTGTATGTGTGTATGTGTGTATGTGTGTGTGTGTGTGTGTGTGTGTGTGTGTGTGTGTGTGTGTGTGTGTGTGTGTGTGTGTGTGTGTGTGTGTGTGTGTGTGTGTGTGTGTGTGTGTGTGTGTGTGTGTGTGTGTGTGTGTGGGAGAGAGAAGCTGGATCACGTAAAGACCTGAGTGGAGGAAGGGAAGGGGAGTATTAGTCAGCAGGAATAAAAAAGGGTTAGTAAAAGAGAGACAGAGAGAGTGAGAGAGAGAGAGAGTGAGAGAGACAGAGAGAGTGAGAGACAGAGAGAGTAAGAGAGAGAGAGAGAGACAGAGTGAAAGAGAGTGAGAGACAGAGAGAGTGAGAGACAGAGAGCGTGAGAGACAGAGAGAGAGAGTGAGAGAGAGAGAGTGAGAGTGAGAGACAGAGAGAGTGAGAGAGACAGAGAGAGTGAGAGACAGAGAGAGTGAGAGACAGAGGGAGTGCGAGACATAGACAGTGCGAGACAGAGATAGAGAGAGAGTGAGAGTGAGAGAGAGAGAGAGTGAGAGACAGAGAGAGTGAGAGACAGAGAGAGTGAGAGACAGAGAGTGAGAGAGAGGGTGAGAGTGAAAGAGAGAGAGTGAGAGACATAGAGAGTGAGAGAGATAGAGAGTGGGAGAGATAGAGAGAGTGAGAGATAGAGTGAGAGAGAGAGAGAAGGGTGGGAGGATGAAAGGAAAGCAGTGAAAGGGAAAGGAGGGCGTGAAACCTAACAAGCCTTGCCACTGAGGTCAATAGGGGAGGTATGAGAAAACAAGAGTAGGCATTCTTCTGGCTAATGGGCTACTGAGGAGAAGGTGTTCTGAGACGCTGCTCTTTCTTTACAGTAGCTTTCTTGTGTCTTTCTCTCTCTCTCTCTCTATCTTGTCTCACCTTCCTTCTGTCTCTCTCTCTCTTTTCTTTCTCTCTCTTTCTCTCTCTCTTCTCTCTTTCTCTCTCTTTTTTGTCTCACCTCTCTCCCCTCCCCCACACACAAACATAAAAAAAAGAATGAGACAATGGGAGTTATCAAGGGCGGCAGGTGGTAGCTTAGTGGTTAAGAGCGTTGTACCAGTAACTGAAAGGTCGCTGGTTCTAATCCCCAAGCCGACTAGGTGAAAAATCTGTCGATGTGCCCTTGAGCAAGGCACTTAACCCTAATTGCTCCTGTAAGTCGCTCTGGATAAGAGCGTCTGCTAAATGACCAATTAATTAATTTTAAAAAATCAAAGGTGGAGTATACTGTACAAACACACTGGATGCTGATCAGTAAAAGGTCAATGAATTTCCTCCTAATTGGAAAAGGACGTAGAGTTGGCTAACCCCTGCCAGAGTAACTTCCCACTGGGCACAAACTGGTTGAATCAACGTTGTTTCAACATAAGTTTTGATTGTATTGTGATGTGGAATCTACGTGGAAAATACATTGGATTTGAAAAAAGTAATCAAAGTAAACTGTAGTTTAAATGTTGAAACTTCAACCACAGGATTATGTAATCATGGTAACCAAATATCAACATAGACAAACCTTGTATAAAATTTGTTGAATTTGTAACTTTAAAACAATGTGAGATCTTCAACGTTATATCCAGTATCAGAAGAAAATACTATAGGCTGGGCAGCACCTCCTACTGGAGAATGTATATATCTACAGCTATCCTTTGGTCTCCCAAGCCCAGCCCTGCTTAGCCTTGATATTTGTCACTGACTATTACCAATATGCTATCGTGAGAATGATCTCCACTTAAAAACAAAACATATTCACTGTTGTTATCGAAGTCACGCTTAATAGAGCAAATAAATTGTGGCCATACTTTATCACTCATATATCATCAATGATGGTATTTAGGCTTATATAACAATTACAAAGTCATCAATAGTTATTGTTTCAATTCAACCCAGAATTCAACTTAAAATGGTCAATACAATAGGCCTAAGGTTTCAAGCTCTGGTTGATTTCAAATGTAATGATATTTAGTGATATTGAATTATTTTTGGTTGTCAACGCAACCAAATTAACATTTGAAGGAGATGTATCTTCTGCTTGGATAGTTCCATCTGTGCCACTGACTTAGTCTGACTTTCAATTTTGTCTACAAATTAACAATTGATATGTTGGATTCACGTCTGCATCTCAACCAAAAATCTAAGTTAAAGAATAGGACTGAATCAAAACAAACTTTGATTAATGGCCATTTAAAGTTTGATTTGATTTAGTCCTGTTCTTTAACATAGATTTTTGGTTGAGATAGATGTAAATCCAACATATCAATTATTAATTTGGAGACAAACTGGAATTAAATCCAGACTAAATCAGTGGCACAGATGGACCTATCCAAGCAAGAGATAAATCTCCTTCAAATGTTGATATTTGGTTGCGTTAACCACCAAACAAAATTCAATATTACTTTTGAAAAACAATAAATAGCCTGTTAACTTGTCGACATGTTAACAAATTACAGTTGAAGTCAGAAGTTTACATACACCTTAGCCAAATACATTTAAACTCAGTTTTTCACAATTCCAGACATTTAATCCTAGTAAAAATTGTCTTAGGTCAGTTAGGATCACCACTTTATTTTAAGAATGTGAAATGTCAGAATAATACTAGAGAGAATTATTTACTTTCATCACTTTCCCAGTGGGTCAGAAGTCTACATACACTCAATTAGTATTTGGTAGCATTGCCTTTAAAATTGTTTAACTTGGGTCAAACGTTTCGGGTAGCCTTCCACAAGCTTCTCACAATAAATTGGGTGAATTATGGCCCATTCCTCCTGACAAAGCTGGTGTAACTGAGTCAAGTTTATAGGCCTCCTTGCTCGCACACGCTTTTTCAGTTCTGCCCACACATTTTCTATAGGATTGAGGTCAGGGCTTTGTGATGGCCACTCCAATACCTTGACTTTGTTGTCCATAAGCCATTTTGCCACAACTTTGGAAGTATGCTTGGGGTCATCGTCCATTTGGAAGACCCATTTGCGACCAATCTTTAACTTCCTGACTGATGTCTTGAGATGTTGCTTCAATATATCCACGTAATTTTCCTTCCTCATGATGCCATCTATTTTGTGAAGTGCACCAGTCCCTCCTGCAGCAAAGCACCCCCACAGCATGATGCTGCCACCCCCGTGCTTCACGGTTGGGATGGTGTTCTTCAGCTTGCAAGCTACCCCCTTTTTCCTCCAAACATAACGATGGCCATTATGGCCAAACAGTTCTATTTTTGTTTCATCAGACCAGAGGACATTTCTCTAAAAAGTACGATCTTTGTTCCCATGTGCAGTTGCAAACCGTAGTCTGGTTTTTTTATGGTGGTTTTGGAGCAGTGGCTTCTTCCTTGCTGAAAGGCCTTTCAGGTTATGTCAATATAGGACTTGTTTTACTGTGGATATAGATACTTTTGTACCTGTTTCCTCCAGCATCTTCACAAGGTCCTTTGCTGTTGTTCTGGGATTGATTTGCACTTTTCGCACCAAAGTACATTCATCTCTAGGAGACAGAAGGCGTCTCCTTCCTGAGCGGTATGACGGCTGCGTGGTCCCATGGTGTTTATACTTGCAAACTATTGTTTATACAGATGAACGTGGTACCTTCAGGCGTTTGGAAATTGCTCCCAAGGATGAACCAGACTTGTGGAGGTCTACAATTTTTTTTTATGAGGTCTTGGCTGATTTTTTTGATTTTCCCATGATGTCAAACAAAGAGGCACTGAGTTTGAAGGTAGGCCTTGAAATACAGTGGGGGAAAAAAGTATTTAGTCAGCCACCAATTGTGCAAGTTCTCCCACTTAAAAAGATGAGAGAGGCCTGTAATTTTCATCATTGGTACACGTCAACTATGACAGACAAATTGAGAAAAAAAAATCCAGAAAATCACATTGTAGGATTTTTAATGAATGTATTTGGAAATTATGGTGGAAAATAAGTATTTGGTCACCTACAAACAAGCAAGATTTCTGGCTCTCACAGACCTGTAACTTCTTCTTTAAGAGGCTCCTCTGTCCTCCACTCGTTACCTGTATTAATGGCACCTGTTTGAACTTGTTATCAGTATAAAAGACACCTGTCCACAACCTCAAACAGTCACACTCCAAACTCCACTATGGCCAAGACCAAAGAGCTGTCAAAGGACACCAGAAACAAAATTGTAGACCTGCACCAGGCTGGGAAGACTGAATCTGCATTAGGTAAGCAGCTTGGTTTGAAGAAATCAACTGTGGGAGCAATTATTAGGAAACGGAAAACATACAAGACCACTGATAAACTCCCTCGATCTGGGGCTCCACGCAAGATATCACCCCGTGGGGTCAAAATGATCACAAGAACGGTGAGCAAAAATCCCAGAACCACACGGGGGACCTAGTGAATGACCTGCAGAGAGCTGGGACCAAAGTAACAAAGCCTACCATCAGTAACACACTACGCCGCCAGGGACTCAAATCCTGCAGTGCAAGACGTGTCCCCCTGCTTAAGCCAGTACATGTCCAGGCCCGTCTGAAGTTTGCTAGAGTGCATTTGGATGATCCAGAAGAGGATTGGGAGAATGTCATATGGTCAGATGAAACCAAAATAGGACATTTTGGTAAAAACTCAACTTGTCGTGTTTGGAGGACAAAGAATGCTGAGTTGCATCCAAAGAACACCATACCTACTGTGAAGCATGGGGGTGGAAACATCATGCGTTGGGGCTGTTTTTCTGCAAAGGGACCAGGACGACTGATCAGTGTAAAGGAAAGAATGAATGGGGCCATGTATCGTGAGATTTTGAGTAAAAACCTCCTTCCATCAGCAAGGGCATTGAAGATGAAACGTGGCTGGGTCTTTCAGCATGACAATGATCCCAAACACATCGCCCGGGCAACGAAGGAGTGGCTTCGTAAGAAGCATTTCAAGGTCCTGGAGTGGCCTAGCCAGTCTCCAGATCTCAACCCCATAGAAAATCTTTGGAGGGAGTTGAAAGTATGTGTTGCCCAGCGACAGCCCCAAAACATCACTGCTCTAGAGGAGATCTGCATGGAGGAATGGGCCAAAATACCAGCAACAGTGTGTGAAAACCTTGTGAAGACTTACAGAAAACGTTTGACCTGTGTCATTGCCAACAAAGGGTATATAACAAAGTATTGAGAAACTTTTGTTATTGACCAAATACTTATTTTCCACCATAATTTGCAAATAAATTAATAAAAAATCCTACAATGTGATTTTCTGGATTTCTTTTCTCATTTCGTCTGTCATAGTTGACGTGTACCTATGATGAAAATTACAGGCCTCTCTCATCTTTTGAAGTGGGAGAACTTGCACAATTGGTGGCTGACTAAATACTTTTTTTCCCCACTGTACATCCACAGGTACACCTCCAATTGACTCAAATTATGTCAATTAGCCTATCAGAAGCTTCTAAAGCAATTTTCTGGAATTTCCCAAGCTGTTTAAAGGCACAGTCAACTTGATGTATGTAAACTTCTGACCCACTGGAATTGTGATACAGTGAATTATAAGTTAAATAATCTGTCTGTAAACAATTGTTGGAAAAATTACTTGTGTCATGCACAAAGTAGATGTACTAACCGACTTGCCAAAACTATAGTTTGTTAACAAGACATTTGTGGAGTGGTTGAAAAACGAGTTTTAATGACTCCAACCTAAGTGTATGTAAACTTCCGACTTCAACTGTATGTGTTGGATTCATGTCTCCAACTTGAGTTGAAGAAGTTGAATAATTGGATTAAGCCAGTGGCGCAGTTGGAACTATCCAAGCGGTAGATACATCTCCTTTAAATGTTGATGTTTTGTTGCGTTGTCAACCAAACACAATTCAATATTACTTTTACAGTAAATAGCCTAATGTTAAGGTTATCTTACAAACTAATGTAACATTCAACCTTAAAATGAGTAACACATCCTTGGCTACATTTATTCAATGGATGTCTTTACTTAACGAATGCAGGTGTACGCAACCGTACAGACCCTTGCATGTGCACACACACACTTGCACAAGACCGTACCATATAGTCCTGGTGCATGTCCTGCAGCTCTGTCATGGAGTGGTGTAGCTCCGCATCCAGTTGCACGTTGGTATGCTCCACCCTCATCTTGTTCTCCCTCAGCAGAGCCACCTGTTGCTCCAGACACTTGGTCTGCCTCTCTTCCACCTCACATCTATGACAGGACACACAACACATCTCATCATATCAACTGGGTTGTGTTCATTAGAGCACTCAATGGAAAACGTTTAGAAACGTTTTGAAATGGGAGAACAAAACAATTTGTGTTTCTTACTGGACAGGTAGTCTCTGTTTCCATGTTTCAACTGGTGATATTGACTTGTAATTAGCTTTGACCACAGTGGTCTATGCAAAGCAGCTATAGGCCTACACTTTACCAAGAGGTGGTGATGGTTACATAGAAAATGTTTTTCAATGTAGGGCTACTGAATGTACCCGACTCTGGGTAAACTAGTCAGGGTACTCTACATGGGTGGTGAAACAGCTACACATACTGTGCATGTAAGTAAACACTGTGACACAGTATATGGAAATGTTACAGCCGCACATCCATTGTATCTAAGCAGGTGCGTAGCCCTTTCCTGCAGTCAATGACCAAAAGCACCCTCTTTGGCCTCATGGCTGAAATGTTATTAATATTTTTCTTAATTTCATAATTAATGAAGTTGGGGTTTTTTTTACCGACGAAAATCCAGTGTTTCTATGTCGAACGGTTTTGTTATATTTCAGTCTTCTGTGATGCATATAAAGTGTAATAGTGGGATGCAAGCTCAAAATGGAATACATTTCAACTCTATATCTGACATGGTACAGGTGTTTTCTTTTTTTAAAGCCCTTAACCATGTGTGTGAGGTGTATACTTTTGTTTCAAAGTAGATTTGTTTAAGACTACCAAGAATCACTCTGTGTGACCCTGATTTAGCCCACTGCAAAAGGTTTTAAGATATACAAGTGTTTTCAGGTAAAGGTACATAGACTGCACACTGCAATCTATGCTCCCATGTGTTTTAGTGAGCCTTACGTCTTCATCAGATCTGACCTAATCACGTAAAAGTCCTTATCTCACAATGGGATAAAAAAATCTTGCAACAGTCATTCAGTAGTTGCAATAGTCCTCACTTCCCAAAAGATGCTAAAGTCACAGACATCAAATCAAAGTTTTTTGGACGCGTACACAGCTTAGCAGGTGTTATAGCGGATGCAGCGAAATGCTTATGTTACTAGCTCCTAACAATGCAGTAAAATGTCAACAAGTACATATAATATAATAATAACAAATAAATAATAACAAATACAATATAAACCTTGTGACACAGTGATGCAGACAACATTGTGACAGTGACCCAGCATATAAATAGAGGAGATGTGTATTCATAGCTCATAGCTGCCTGCATGTTGTTGCCCTCCCTTGCCCTTCAGGGGTTAATGGATCTCTGTCTGCGTCCCAAATGGCACCCTATTCCCTATTTAGTGCACTACTTTTGACCACACTCCGATGGGCCCCTGGTCAAAAGTAGTGCACTAAATAAGAATTAGGGTGCCGTTTGGGACGCAGCGTCTCTGGCAGTAGCAGCGGGGCCGGTGTGTCACTCTGCATCAATACAGATGGGAAAGTGCCGACGAGGCACAACGCAGCCGGGTTGCGATTTGTATGCAGGTTGTTGAACAGGAGTGGGAACGAGCCGAGTTATAACAAAGCGTGGACTGTACTGCTGCTACAGTAGAGAAGTGATTATAAAGTATCTGATAATAAAATATCTGATTGTTATTCAAGAGGTGCATTTAAAGTGCATTTAAAAGTGATATAATCTGAAATCGGTCGTTAGGTATTGTACTAACAGTAGGAGTAGGATTTGATGGATTTTAGCCCTTAAAATAAGATGTTTACAGAAGGCATTCACAACTGCTATGGTATATCTGTGTTTCTTTAGATATGATGAAAATAAATACTATGAGGCTATGTGTTACTGTATTAGTGGATGGCCCTCCATAGGCCTAACCTAGTGTGTCCCAAACACTACTGACCTGGCCTGGATGGTAGAAGCCTTGGACTTCATGTGGTCAGACTGCAGCGCCAGCTCAGCATTCTCCATCAGCAGTTTACCAACCTACAGAACCAAAACACAGTCAACACACGCAAGACAAAATAACAAGGAAGTGAATAAGATGTGACGAGAAGCATGCAAAACATGAACGTTTTCAGAATGTGTTCAATCTTGTTGATCCATGTAATGTAATTGGTCCAATAGGTAGGAAAACCCAATAAAACATGAAATCACATACAACTACACCTCAGTACACTGGAAGTTCACATTGACAGGTGCTGCATCAAATGGGGTCTTTCTCAAAATGTGAAAACGTGGGTGAGGCTTATCAAAATAGAACAACTGTAATAAAGGTTTCGCTTCCTTGTATTACACTAGCCTCGGCTCATACTGTATGGCATGACAATGACCAATAGAAGAGTTGGCTACAGCACATGGAGCATGGGACAAGGCTAATGCACTAGCACAAGCATAAAATAGAAGCCTTTGAAAGTTCATCAAAGAAAGGAAGTTGGAACAGAGGTAGTTTTGCGGGCCAATGTAAGTTAGAGGTAGTTTTGCGAGCCAATGCTAACTTCCAGTCATTGCTAGTTTTGGCACTGGAAACCACCTCTGACGTCCTTCATACTGGACACAGTGACATAACAATGGTATCCACGATTCCATCTGACTCTGGGGAAGTAGATAAAGGGCCTCATTGCCAAAATCCCGAAGTATCTCTTTAATCAATTTATACAAGCCAGTTGGAACTACTCTTTGTTTTGTGAGAATAAGATAACTTGAGGTTGATCCATTTCACATCCATTTAAAAGACTGTTCATGCTTGTCAGATTGCCACCAGCTCAATGAGTCAGTTTTATTACATGACGACGTCCCACGATTTGGGTTCATTAAGACAAGGCCTGAAGCAGTTGTGGCACAGATATTAAATCCAAAGAGCCTCTCCCAGTAATTCTAGTGTTTAACCTGATAAACCATTTATTGTTGGCTTTAACTGCAATGTAAGTACATGAAACTTAAACTAACGTTATCCAAAATCCCTTGCATCTTTGATATTTACATTTTTACTGTACAACCTAGGGCCATTTTGAGCAAACAGAGTTTCAATGTTGACTCTTCCTTTGCCAATCACAATTCACAATGCTTACTCAAGGCCAACACACCCATTTTGAAGGAAATCTAGGAATAACTTGGACTATTGTGTGGTATTTGCTTACAGAACCGCCTCAAAGATTATGATCATATTTTAATTGTTTTTAATTGTATCCTTTCCATTATCTTAGCTCTTCCAGTTATTCATCTCTGACTGTGTTGATTTATAGCCCTGTGAGAGTACAAACCAGATATCAGCACTTTGTTTTCTTCCAAAAGGGCACGTCTCCAACTGAACATTAACTGATTGATTTCAAATAAAATCACATCAAATTGTATTTGTCACATGCTTCGTAAACAACAGGTGTAGACTAACAGTGAAATGCTTACTTACAGGCCCTTCCCAACAATGCAGAGAGAAAAAAAGAAAAAACTAGAAAAAAAACTAGAAAAATAATAATGAAGAATAAATACACAATGAGTAATGATAACTTGGCTATATACACGAGGTTCCAGTATTCCTTATTATGGATCGTTATTCAATGCTTTTAAATAGAATGAGGGTGGCACCTGGTCTTGACACTTAAACCCACAACAATAACACTAGTCTAGGACTGAAACCGGACTTGAAGAAGATGCACATAACAAAAATAATTGTTACTATAAATCAATGGATTCATGTCAAAGGAAGATTTGAAGAATGTTATCAGTTATGCGTATGTCAAGTCACTCATTTTTAATTTAATTTGATTTATTTAGCCAGGATAGTCCACTCAGTAACAATTGCCACTGTTGTCCAGGGAGTCCTGGCTTTCATAGAAGTCAACATTCTAGGTATTAGTCCAGGCGAAAGTGTAAGGAAATGTCATACATGAGTACATTTGTACATTATATATATTCTCACATGGTAAAGCCTGCAGATATGATATCAATGCTGCTATGCATGATGGATCTTTATGATGATCAATGGATTGGCAATCGCTCATTTTTTACGCAACACTCTCACTGAAAGTAAAATTGAGCATAAAAGTCAACCGTCCCTTTGGCTTCAATACTAATAGGTCAGATCTAGGTGGTTTCTTCGCCTTTGTCTCCATTCACATCCAGAGACCATCAATCAAGGACTGGTTGCAAAACCTCCAATCAGCTCATGCGAGCGAGCTGACGATTACAGCAGCCTGTGTTAATGGTCTACTAGGGCAACGGCATTTAAATCAATAAAAGGATCCGCATTCTTGAGTGTGACATTGGAATGATGGCTCGTTTCCAAATGTCATGACATAGAGTGTGACACTACTTCTCATCCTCTGTAATAGTGGACGTTGTCTTGGTATGAACCACTTTGTGATATGTCAGTTTTAATTTGACTGCTATTAAGTGTAATCATCACCAGGACTGAAAATGGTTAATAACTGGTTTGTTCAGCCAATGCTGTGTCTGTCTCAAAGCCAAAACCCTGCTAGCATGAAAACATATTTGAAGTAAAGATGCTTTGTACGCTATTTTCAGAGACATTTTGTCTGCTTTGGTCAACTATGGTTAAAAATGATATGGATAATATACAGTACAATGGGCAAGTTAGATTCTAAAAGTCAGTCCTACTTGCTACTGTATGGCCACAACACACTAGCTCAATCAAATCAAGGCATTACAGTACCTCAGCATAATCACTGGCAAACAAATGGACTGTCAGTGGACATAACAAAAACCATGTTTTGAATGAGTTGGGGTCCCTCAGGGCTCAATGTTTGGACCAATTAAAAAGGGAATAGATGCTAGTCTCACCTGGAAATGGAGCTCTTCCACAGTCCTCTCCTGCTGGGTCGATTCCTGGGGGTGCGGGGCATTCCTCAGGCCCCAGTCTGCTATCTGGTCCTCCAGACGCCGGTTGTCCTCTTGCAGCTTGTTTACCTGCTCCAGGAAGCCTTTCAGACGGCTGTTGAGGCCCTGCATGGTCCACCGAGAGTCCTGCAGAAAATCCATGGTGCCCCTACACAGTGGACACCCAAAAAACGCACACAGACGCCTCTCAGGGGTGCTATCAAACACTTACAGCCACGCCAACGCAGGAGAGTGTCCGATACAAAGTGTCAACCCAAACGTACAGTAAACACTTATGCCATCCAAAAACTCTTTCACTACTATTGCAGCATACGTCCACACCACAGCCACTTCTACCCACTTGCAACCCTGGCCTGCCACCGATACTGATGAGATTACGGACTCATGAGGTGTTTACTGGGTAAATATTTACCCAGCAATACTCACCTGTGAGGCAACGTGGCGTCCCTCTCTCTCTCTCTCTCTCTGTCTCTGTCTCTCTCTCCAGGCTAGGCAGCACCGTGTGTTGGCAGTGGTAAGGCAACTACCAGTCCCAGTAGTCCCTGGTCACTGCAGCGAGCTGGTCCTGATCCTCCCCTCCCAGACGGAGCTGGACCACATTCTTCTCCACTGCTTCAACAACTTTCACTTTCCCACTGGGTCCCAGGTCAGAGATGGTCCCCTGTCTGTGACAGATCAGATAGGTATGGTAGGGTTAGCGCTAGTCTCGCTATCGCTCTCGCACCAACTATGTGTCAGCTGTCATTGAGTCAGCCATGACAGGGCCAGTGGTACTGTCCCTGTTCTTTCCACCCCTAACACAGCCTGCAGCAGTGCTGTAGGGGTGAATGCTGGGGTAAAGCAAAGCACTCACTCGCTGGACACACTGCTGCTTACATCATTAGCGCTCTGAGGCTCTTTGTGCTCTCTGATCCAGGATTACTGAGCCCTGTGTGGAGGGAAGGTTCAGGCACACACTGCGACAACCCTCTCTGTTTGCGTGTGTGTCTGTGTTTGTGTGTGTTTGCGTACGTGTGTGTTTGTTTGCACACCTGTGTATCTTCTAATATTACACTTTATTAATTAATAATGAGAAACTAATGTCTATCCACTGACTCATCAGATCAACATCCTGTAATAAACATTGAACTTTGTGCTGTGTCACATGGGTTGCTCAAATCCTCCCTTGACCACCACTACCCTCTCATTGGCCTGTGTTGTGAGTGAGTGTGTGTGTGTGTTTGTGTGTATGTGTGTGTGTTTGTGTGTGTATGTGTGCATGCATGTGTGTTGTGTGTATGTGTGTGCATGCGCGTGTGTGTGTGTTTGCGTGTGTGTGTGTGTGTGTGTGTGTTTGTCTGGGGGAGCAAGTGAGATCATTTACCAGACATTCTCGCAAGTCACAACTTTTTCCTCCTCTTGAAGTTGACAACAATGTTATACTTGTATAAGAGTTATCAAATGTGTGTTGATTCGTCATGGCAATCATCAACCTTTCTTTCAATGTTTCACTGACTTTTCTTATGACTTTACCTTAAGTAACGTGAGGATGTCATTTCCATTGTCAATTAATCTAACTTAGATCTTAGACATTTTGGCACCAGAACATAAGTCATAACAATACAACCTTTAAGTCAGCTGAGGTAATATGATAAGACGTGTGGTTAAGGTAGGTCTGATGGAAAATGACGCACTAAAACATAGAATCTAAGCCGCTCTGACAGGGTGTTTTGAATGTGAGTCAAGGTAACACAACTCATAGTCTCTCTCTCTCTTGGAGTAGGCACTTTCAAGTCCTTTCCAGTCCTTTACACTCTCAATCTACCTCATTATGTGATAAAGGCATCTGTGGGATTTACTTGTTGGATCAATAAAGGATTTCTCTTCCTTTCTGTGTAAACAGCCGCGCCTGCATTTGACCATTCACAGACAGGATCTAGGGATCATTAATATGAGGTCACACTTAAACCTGCTACAAACACTGTGTCTGTCTAGACTCTATAGTACAATTATCACCATGGAAACACTTTATGGACAAAAAGCAGAGTGGTTAAAGAGACCGTTGAACGTTCTCTCACTGAACTGTTTCCCTCAGAGGTTGCCAGTGCTGTGGTTTCGGCTTTGGGCCATAACAAGCGCGTACTATTAGAGAGAGTCATACAGTCTATTCGGACAGGGACGAGAGAGAGGTGAGAAAGGTTAGACCCACACATCCACCAGACACAAATGTGAAACCAGGTGAGACCTAACAAGCATGTCAAAGGGAAACGAAAACTAGAGCAGGTGGAAGCTAGCGGCCACACAGGGCTGTTAGGGTTCTTACCATCACACATGCCCACGCAGAGCTGGCCCTCAGCCTCGCCTATCCCTCTGGTATAGAGGGCGTTGATGGTTTGATGGTTATGATGAGGGCGGTTGATAGTGCTGTCGTTAACGAGATGAAAACAATTTGGTGTAGCAAGCTCTTCTGTGCGCCTGGGAGAACCGATCTCAAAATGTGAGTGAATGCGCACGGGGAATGCGGCCTAGCCTGTTCCAGTCACTGACGTGCGTTGCTCCCACAAGCCGAGGAAGCAGTTTCGTCTCACGACATTCGGAGGGAACGTTGAGGCACGCAATTAACTGAGGGCATTAGGCAGGCAGGGAGTGACTCGTTGGTCTACATCTATGAAGCTAATAACCAGAGGAAAACCCATTAAAAAAAGGTGTCAGGTCAGGTGGTTATCAACTGAAATGGTCAAGTCGATGCAACCGATTGCAATATCATAAGGAACAACTAATCTTCTGTGTGATAAAATACATATCTTGATGGGTCGAACCCTGATAATGGTGTTACGCTCCACAGAGAGCAAGTAAACAAGTAAAAACCTGATAGAGGTCAGGTGTTGATCTTGACAGTGCTACTGAAGACCTCTAGTTCAGACTCCTTAACCCGTTGCCCCTCTTAATGTACATTCATTCCTCTATATGTTTTCTACAGCAAAAGAGCAATTCTGACAGCTGACATTTTTTAAACCTATTCCTTTAGGCATTGAAGCTTTATTAAAGTAACAGTGGGACCTGCAGGTATCATTTCAAACACACTGTAGCACACAGTACTGTGTTAACGCCAAGAGGGTTTTGTCGGAGAATGATGTCATTATGTAAGCCTCTGAGACTAGAGCCCTGATTTGTAGGGTTATTATGGTATCAATTACAAACCAGTTGAAAGGATTAACTGCAGTTAAACTCTTTAGCATTATCTCAGTAACTGGTCGTGTTTTGGCTTCCGCATACCTGACATGCCATTGTAAACCAGTAAACCATTATTATACTGTTGAAGATGGTCTGGGACATACAATTTATATTTACAATACTTCATAATCACACTTTGTAAGAATAGTGGTAATAATGTCTGTCTGGGCCAAATTCCTAACCTGGTCTGGCATACTATCATGGCCACCTAATTATCCCCAGCTTCTAAATGGCTCATTTAAAACCTGTCTACTTCCTCCTGCAATGCTCCACATGTCTCTGCTGTTAAATAAGTTGCTGTTATAGCTCACTTTCTAAGCTACACCACATTGTGAAAATGGATGTCTTTCGAACTGGTAATGAATTTTCAGGAAAACTGACTGGGTCCTGGTTAGAAAACATCAGTTTTGTTCACTTCGTGGGCCACAAACCTTTGTGAACTAACTTGTGTGAACTTTTAATCTTAATTCATCATGAACCATAGAGCTTCAGTCACTTAGTCAATAAGTCAGTAGAGAGTTCAAAAGGCTAGAGTAAGGCCTATCCATTGGGCCTTTCTCTCCTGTCACTAAGGGAGTGTGCAGGGCTGTTACGTTTTAGACCACCTGCATGGAGAGACACCCCTTAAATCCTACACCCTTTCACGACTTCCTCTGAAGCTTGTTCGGGCAGGCTTCGGCGTTCGTCGTCACCGGCCTTCTAGCCACTGCCGCTCCTCATCTCATCATTCCATTTGTTTTGTCTTGTTTATTACACACACCTGGTTTCAATTCCCCTCATCAGTACCTGTATAAGTGTTCCCTCTGCCCCCTTATCTTTGTGTGAGATTGTTTATTGTGGAGGTTATATGAGCTTGGTGGAGCTCCTTGTACTTTGTATAGACATATTTACCCTCCTGCGCCTGACACCGTCCAAATCACACGCCACAGAATCACACAACCGCCATGGAGTCAGCAGGAGAAGAGCCCATGCCTGGAGTCATGGCACGGGTCCACGAGCATTCTAGGATGCTCACCAGCTTGGGAGAAGCGATGGATCGGGTTCTCCAGGTCGTCCAACGCCTGGAGAGGAGAGGACCCGACCCGTCGGGACCAGCTGAGCGACCGGATCCGGCCACCCACACTCCAGCACCCCGAGGGATTCATCTATCCCGACCGAGGGAGTTTGACGACACGGCTGCCCGCTGCCAGGGATTCCTCCTGCAGCTGGACCTCTACTTCGTGAACTCAGCCCGGCTCTATCGGAGCGGGAGAAGATCTCCGCCCTCGTCACCTGCCTCTCGGGGCAGCCTTCAACCACCCGCCCGAAGGACGAGAGGCTGGCGAGCGTCTGGTCCAACAGAGGCAGGGGACGAGGACCGCACAGGACTTCGCCCTGGAGTTTCGGACCCTAGCGGCTGGGTCCCGGGTGGAACGAGAGGGCCATGATCGACAGATTCCGGTGCAGCCTGCGAGAGGACGTCCGAAGGGAGCTAGCCTGCCGGGATGCCATGTTAACCTTCGACCAGCTGGTGGACATGGCCATCCGGTTGGACAACCTGCTGGCTGCTAGAGGACGTCCTGGGAGTGGCCTGCCCGTTTCAACCCCCCCCCCCCCCCCCAAACTCGGAGTCCGTTCCGATGGAACTGGGTGGGGCAGCGATCCGGGAGAACGGAGGAGGACAGCTTCAGTGTCACTCTTGTGGCAGAAGAGGACATTATACTGCGCGCTGTCGTCAGGGTTCTCCCGGGTCTGGAGGCGGCAGGCAGGACACTCTCGCATCACCCCAGGTAGAGCAAACCCACACTCGGTCAGAGCCCTCTGCTGCACACTGCACCATACACGTCACCTTCCCTGACTACCCCGTAGTTTCCCAGTGTAAAGCGCTGGTTGATTCAGGCGCAGCTGGGAACTTTATGGACAGGTCCTTAGCTCTAAGTCTAGGTATTCCTTTGGTTCCCCTATCCACTCCACTGCCCATCAAAGCACTTGACAGTCGACCATTAGGGTCAGGGTTCGTTAGGGAAGTTACAGCACCAGTCACGATGGTTACCCAAAGGACCCATAGAGAGCACGTCACATTTTTTATTATTTTGTCCCCCAATTTCCCTGTTGTGTTGGGTCTTCCCTGGTTAGCACTACACAACCCCACCTTTTCATGGCCACAGAGGGTTCTCACGGGGTGGTCGCGAGAGTGTCAGGGTAGGTGCCTAGCTGTTTCCGTTGGTGCAACCACGGTGGAAAGTCCAGACACTTCCTCCACCGTGCGCATCCCCCCTGAATACCTCGATTTGGCGCACGTGTTTTCCCAAACGCAGGTGACCAAATTACCACCTCATCGGGGCAGGGGGGATTTCGCAATAAACCTACGAGTAGACGCTGTGCCTCCCAGGAGTCATTTATATCCCCTGTCGCAGGCTGAAACGGAGGCGATGGAGACATACATCTCCGAGTCCCTGCGTCAGGGGTTCA